TTTTCGCTGAGGAACAGGCTAACGTCGAAGGAGAGTAGCATTCGTTATATTCACTATATCCGCCTTTTACTACCCCACATCATGTTATGCAAGGCATGACAAACACTCGCGGGAGGAATGTACCGCCTCCCCAAAGATATTTCATATCCAAGGCATCGGCGCTCATATCTTTCAGGGGTGTGGAGGAGGAGGAGGGGGAACCTTGCTTGATCGGATTTCTGGCCGCTTTCCTTAATGATTTTATTCATGCAACAGACCTCCTTTCTTAACAATGGGCTCACATCTCTCTGCTTTGCTGTTTGCTCCCCCCTTTCACCCCCAGAAAAAGAACGTTGTGGGAAAGGATTCTTGGTTCCCGCCCGTCTACTTTCCACGTCAGAATACAGGAGCGCGGGCGAGAAGCGGCCACATATTTGTAATCAAGCAATGCCTCAGAGCGCACGAGCTATGAACTCGTTCAGTGCGGCCGAGCACAAAAAAAAGCCCCTGAGTTTGGTCGATAGCGATGGACGCGAGTACTTGCAGGCTACACGCGGCCCGTGCTTCTAGTGTCTGCGTGGTGAAATTGTACAGAAGATCGTCTTAGTGGTCTGCTCCACAAAAGATAGGACAGTCTCGATCCTTCTCTCCCCCCTTTTTTTTTCTCCTTTTCTCCTTTGCCTGAGAACGGGCTTGTCCTGCTCTTTCGCCGCTTAGAGTTCTCCACATCGTTCTCACCCTCCAAGCTCACAATCGGGGTCATTTCACACACCTACACCTACCCTGCCCTTGCATTGTTGTCCTGCGTTTTTGTTGTTGTTGTTTTTTGCCCCAACAATCACGAATGGATTACTATGCGTATTTCGAATGTGCCCTGGGAAACAGAGGGAGAAACGCGTCAGACTATTGCCTGTTGTCATCATTTTCTCCCCCTTACCGTCCTGCTGTATCTGAGGCGGGACGCGTGGGTTGCCCAAGTCCCATGGAGATATCCAGGGGTTTGAGGATGCATCCACTGCGATCCATGATAAGTCCATGTGAAGGAGTGACGACGACGTGCATGCTTCTCATGGATGTTGCAAAAAACCACAATCTACCCGCGCATCGTTTTGAAACGGAGAATTCGGAGTGCAGGTTTTTTTTTTTTTTTTTTGGTCACATCCTGACGCGCGACGCGTGCGACGCGTGGCCGCTACGCGATGATGGTCGCCTATATTTTTCAGACTGCGCGTTCTCCTTTTTTTTTTTTTGTCTTATCTTAGATTCCTTATTGATAGCGACTTTTCGGCTCATGGATACTATTCCTGAGATGTTTCTGGGTACCAGAAGCGGTCCTCCCAAGAACAAGTCCATCGTGTAAAATTGTCTTTTTTTTAAAGTATGTGTATGTCCAATATATATTTATATGGCTGATAGGAGTTATCGCAGTACCAGTCACCATTAGGAAGGCAAAGGACGGGAAGGACACGCATTTTTTTTTTATTGCTCAGTTACTGATCATTTGAAAGGCGAGCATGTAGTTGTTGGAGGGCATGTCTTGGATCCTGACCAGCCTCAGCCTGGACTTTTGTCCTGTCACTTTTTGGATCGCTTCAAAATCACGCACACCTCAAGCAGCATTGCGGTCACGAAGGGTCTGATCGAACTGTGTTATCAGGGTCGGAAAAAAAAAGATAATAGTTAGATCTGATAGCCAAACTTCATTCAGGTAGTAAACACCGCGTTTATTCTTCTTTACCTGCTCGTTACTCTCGATGGTGTAGGCCTCAATGCTCGAGAAGAGCGGCATATTATTCTCGATGGGCTGGAAAACGGCATGGGGATACTCCTTTGCGAAGTGGGAGATATGTTGACCAGACCCCGAGCCGACTTCGAGGACTGACCAGAAAGAAAATCATGAGTTACAATTTACAAGAGTTAGGACGCAACACGCTGCATTCAAGATGAAGCATCCAGGAGTGCCAAGAAGACTTTGTCGCCGGTCCTGAATCTGCATGTTTGTTTGATCACGCCGTTGTCATAAACCTGGGCAATGGCATCAGTCGACACCTTGTAGGTGTTGTTTCGTTTCAGTGACAAGGTGAAGGTACGGTGTATTCTAGTTAAAAGAGTAGACGAAAGAAAAAGGGCGTTTCTTTGTTTTTATACATTTATGAGTTCCTCCATATCCCGGGAAAACGACCGCCATAATCATTATAGCCTAATAGCAAAAAACAAATCAGTTAACTTGCAGGCAAGGTAGGGAGATGAGGGAAACTAGGGAAAATCCAATCGAGACGTTTGCTTGGTAGAGGTCTCGCGTTTTCTCTTCGGCGGTTGACCTGTCGAGTAAGCTCGTACATGTCAAAGTATATCCAAGGCAGGGTTCATAGTGCCGAGACAGCCAGGGGCACAAGCATCGAGGGGCGATGATTGCGTATCAACTGCTGAGGGTTCTATTCAATGCTATAGATACTCCCTGGTAAGCCGTCGCTTGTTGCCACTGGCTGAAAGATAGCGTTGAAGAATGATGAACAGCGACACTTTAATGATAGGGCCCGCAGTCTGGTCTTGCCCGATTTTCCACCCCGAGCGCTGGTCTTCACTTCTATTTCTGTGCCCCTACGACGATAATCGTACTTCGTCTTGACTTGACCTACCCTGGCTGCTGCCATGGTAAACTGTGCCCGAGAACACATGGGGCCGGCTATGTGGTGTAAAATCGGCGCCCAGGCAGATCTGGTGCCTTGCCTTCTAGTCGTCGAAAAAATGTGCTTTGAGGTAAAACACCAGTCGGCCTTTCCCATCCCTGGTGATCCTCTGATCCTCTGGAATCTGAAGCTCCTCCGCTATCTCCAGAATATAAGGATCAAAGCAGAGGGCATCTCGAATGGCATTCCGGACACTACGGCTAAGGCTTTCTTCCTGACGCGCTCTCCTTCTCTCCGTCCTTTCCACATCCTCGATGCTTGGTTCTGCCCTGCCGCTGTTGAGGCGCCGTTCCTGGTGTTCCTTCCTGTGCTCCCCCTGATGCTCGTTCCTCCCGTCTACTCTTTCAATATCCTCGGTGCTTAGCTCTGCCTGAACATTAGCATGGCCGTCTTCATCGTCGTCGTCGTCCTCATCACTACTCGCCATAACATCTTCCATTTCAGGGTCATTCAGGTCGTGATCTAAGATTGGATATCCTTTTGCTTTGCCATTCTCGCGGCTCATGTTCATGTATGCCATGCGTTGAATCTAGATAGTCCAATTGCAAACACAAAACGGAAAACGTTAGTACTTGAACATATGTGTTGCTCCACCTTGGGGTAAAACCAGAACCGCACGCTGATTGACCTATGCAAAACCGAGGACGCGTCAATAGTCGGCTCACGTGACAACGCGCGCCGCGCTCTGTCGAAACAAAGACATGCAGCCAGCGAAATGAGATCCAGCCGCAACCCCACTCATCACCATCGCCACTTCGGTATGTGGAAGCCAGGAATTGCTACTACCAACCACGGGAGACACTGGACGTTAGACGTTCTGACATCAAAAAGACATAGGCAATAGATTCAGAATTCTACTAGATCTGTGAAGTGGTCTTTGTCTGGACTGATCCTTTTATGCCTGCAAAAAAACACCAACCCATCGTACTCAGAGTGGTGAAGCAAAGCATCAACTGGAGACATGGATATTGGCTCAGCGCGCAAAAAACAATGAATCCTGATTATATACACTTTGTATCTTTATACTGTCTAACGAAACTATTTTTTACTCAAACTCTCACGCACACCTGTCTCAATGGGACTACTACATACATAAAGCCGAAATGAGCGATTACAGCAGCGGCGACGAACGCAGGGACGAAAAGTCCAAGACCAAGTCCAAGTCCAAAAAGAACCAGGAAGACGAATTCGACGAAAATCTTCAGGAAGTGGACCAGGGGGAGGAGGAGGAGGATGATAACGAGGATGTGTACGAGGTAGAGAAGGTCGTCGGCCACAAGCGGGACCGAGGGGTTTTATCATACCACTTGAAGTGGAAGGGATACAGCGATGCCGACAACACATGGGAAAGGGAGAAGTCCGTTTTTTGCAAGGATCTTGTGGCAGAATATTGGGATGAGTGGGAGCGAGCTGGTGGACGGCGAACGGATATAAGGGGAAGTATCATGAAGCCCAACATTGTCAGGAGGAGCTCAGTAGCACACAAAGCCAGCGGATCAAAAGGTACACAGTCTTCGGTCAAGCGAGCTTCATCTCCTTCACAATCTATGGAGCCGCGCAAGAAGGTCTCTTCATCCGCAAGCGAGAGAGACACTCGAGATCAGCAGCCCGTTCCAGACTCTCCAGCCAAGAAACAAAAGCTGAACATCGCCACTCATGACCATGATGTCCACAAGGATGAAGATCTGAAGGATCATCACCAAGACAAAAAGGATAGGAGTGACAAGGAGGACGAGAGGAAGAAGGAAGAGAACGAGGACCACAAAGATGAGGATGTGGCGGCTAATGACTGGATGCCGCCAGTAGAATGGACTTCATGGGATGAGCACTTGGAGTGTGTCCAGACAGTAGAGCGGTCGCGGAAGAAGGACAAGATGACGGTTCACCTGACCTGGAAGGACGGCAAGGATACGGAGCACCCGATCGAAGACGCACACCAAAAGTGTCCTCAGAAGCTGATCCAATTCTACGAGAAGCACCTCAAGTTCACTCAGGCCGAAGGCGAAGACGATGAAGGGGACGAGTAAATTGGGCACAGCATGGCGCACTGCTGCGGGCTGCAATAAAATAAAGACTGTCATTTTTATCATTATAACACCACTTCATCCTACTTCATCTTCCTCTATCCTCGTCCCTGAGCCCCAGTCCTAACAACAAGAAACGCTCCTTCGGTCGATCAATACATTCAACCTCCACCATGTAAGCAGCTTGATTCCTTACGCCATCAATCTCAAGAAAGAAACAAGGCCATTGTTTTTTTCCTTTTTTTCCTTTTTTTTTTTCTGCAAGATGAGAGAAGCCATGAGAATCGATGCGACATCCATGTGAAGCATGTACTCCTGGATTCGATGAAACGATTCAAAGGTCATCTCGACGGTCGCATACTCTGCCAGAGGGGTAATAATATGGCCATATATCTGCCATATAAAATGGTTACCTCGTTGAGGCCAAGAAGGTCTCAGGAATAGTTCATCACTGTGCTTGTTTGAGGGCAAGTTGGATCAGCAACAACTTCATGATACATATCGGAGCTGCCCACTGACCTCTTCAAATCATATTTATCTGTTTAGAACACTTTTCCCGTGAGATACTTAGCCTTGACTTGACACCTGTAATGGAAAAACAGCGTACGATGTATCATCACAGTACGCAGAGACACCATCTTCACCACCTACAATCTTTCAATCATCTTCAGCAACCTCAGTGCCTGCAGCATTGTCATCACATTCAACCCCGTCATCATCCACAGACCCGGCCAACTGATTCGCTATTACGGGACATTCGACAGCAGGATCAGGCAGATTACACATATCCCGATCAAATGACTCGGAAAAGATTGGCTTCTGGTGTCGAGGATACGTCAACAGGCAAGGTAAAGAGCATATTCCCGAGGCCTGTCCGATGTGGATCCAAGTTTATTGGCTAATGGCGTGCCTACTTTTCTTTCACCTTAGAAGCGGAGTAAAAGGGAGGACAGCCCACAGGGATCATATCGATGGTCAGGATTTTTAGACACGGAGACAAGCAGCGCAGGATTGGCATCGCCTTATTTATTGATGCAACCAGGACAGGACTACTTTCAGTATCGCATAGTACCGCAATATGATCCTTCAACACCTCCTCTGGATCCTGGACCACTTCAGGTGACAAATAACACCGGTTTTTCGCAATCTTTCAGCTCATATCAGCAGGCAATGGACATTGAGGCGCATTATGAGTTACCGCAATGTGTTCGAGAGGGACTATCTATACGTTCGTTGTCACCAGCTCCTTCTTCTCCTAGCGAGAGCATCATTGACCATGAGGGCTCTACCAATCGTGACCAAAACTACCGACCGGACTCTAGTCATGAGGAATATCGATCAGAGACCTGTCAATTGGCTGAAAAGAAGGCAACCGGTGGTAAACCAAGCATCATCATGGGCTATCGTCCCGGGTGCGAGCGTTGCCGGCGGCGTGAAAAAGGGCATTTTGCTCACTTTGGATGATGGTGGCACACAAAGTGATCAGTTCGGCGAAGTCCGCGGCATGTAGTGGCAAAGTACATAAGCGTCAGTTTCGTTTGACGCGTCAAATAAAAGATACGTCCATACTCATTTGACGGACGTGATTGCTATATGGCTATGTCCATTGACTGAACCAGGAATTGGCCGATCTCCTTGGGAGCAGGCCAGATGTCGAAGCAGTGGATGGACTGGGTTGTGTGAACCTGATACTGTGCAACGGGTGTCTTTTCTGTCCAGGAAACCCATGTGGTATCCGTCTACTTGTGTAAAGGTTTGCAGCCATAAATACAAGGTTTACTTGAGCTGCATCCCTCCTTTTCTCCCCTCGCACCTTTACTTCTCTCTTCCTTTTCCACCAACACCACCATCCATCTTACCACCGCTCATCACCTTCGACAGCCCCTCGCAAATCGCTTTCTTTCTTGTACTCCTTCGCTAACCATCACATCTGAAACTTGTACCTGGCTGCTTTCCTCCTCCCCCTGGTTCTCTGCTTGGGTGCTTTCCCTTCTGATTCAAAAGGCCATGTCCTCTGCAGCCGCAGCCAGGGTCCCTGTCAAATCGAGGCCCATGAAGCCGAAGCCAGAGCCAGAGCCTCGCATCAAGATCCTAAAAGACGGAACCGTCAATGCCATCGCAGATCTCATCACAGCAGGGAATGGTAAAACGGCTCTCGAAGAAACGAGACAAAAAAAATACCACTTGCGCCTTCAGACCTCCATGCACCCCTGGACTTGAGGCTCACAGCAATCCACATTCCCCTTCTGTAGCCAAAAACATCATCGTCATGACCGGTGCTGGAATTTCGACTGCCGCCGGCATCAAGGATTTCAGATCACCGGGAACCGGTCTATACGACGATCTCGAAAAATATAACCTGCCATTCCCGGAGGCAGTTTTTGATCTCACTTTCTTCAAGGTGTGTGCAATGGACCACGACACGGTCACTATTGCAACAATGCTTTGATAATATATCGCTGCTGCTTACTCGATTATCTTTACTCTCGTCTTTTTCCATTGTTTTCAGGAAACGCCTCTTCCATTCTATCGCCTCGCCAAACACCTGTACCCTGGCCGGTTTCGAGTGAGTATTCTGTGATGGTGCTCTGACTGCCCGTTCGAGCTCAATTGAACAGAGGACAAGAAAGCTGACCTGTTTTTTTGTTTTTGTTTGTAGCCGACATTGACCCATTATCTGCTGCCGCTTCTTGCAAAGAAGAACCTGCTCCTGAGATCCTATACCCAGAACATTGACTCATTAGAGCGGCTTGCAGGACTGGATGAGGGCCTGCTGGTGGAGGCGCATGGGTCGTTCGCGTCTTCAAAGTGTGTACAGTGTGAGATGACGACTGATCCTGTATGGGTCAAAAGTAAGTCGTCCAAGGAATTTACTTGTTCGTTTATCTTTTAATAGAAAAAGATGATTTAACAGTTGTTCGTGTATTACAGGACATATCATGGCTGGCGATATCCCTTACTGCAAGCGTTGCTCTGGATTGGTCAAGCCAAGCATAACATTCTTTGGAGAGAATGTGCCGTTGCGCTTCTCAGCTATGGCCGAAACTGTACGTCTGTTCGGTGAGATGCCTTCACGTATTCCTTAGAGTGCTTATCATCTAACCATTTTTCTCTTTTTTTTTTTTTTTTGGTATCCGTCCTCCACTCATTTAGGACTTTGAGAAGTGCGACCTCTTAATTGTATTGGGGACGTCACTGAAAGTCGAGCCATTTAACAAGCTCATATCAAAGGTTTCTCCGAAATGTCCACGGCTACTGATCAACCGCGAGATAGCCGGACAGGAATTGCACTCAGGGTTCGATTTCGACGACAAATTGAAATATACTGTGCAGCGCGATGCCTTATTTCTTGGAAACTGTGACGACGGCGTCAAGAAGTTGGCTGCACTCTGTGGTTGGGAGGTAAACCTACTTATTCAGGGTTAAGGTCGGTATTATAGCCGTTTCGCAGAGTTTTAACAACTGCTCCGTGTTACTTATAGGATGAACTTCAGGCGATGTACGATGTCGGTCATACACAGCTGGACCTCGACGAAGAAAAAGAGAAACTGGAGCTCGCGAAAGCAAAGCAGGACGATGAAGACGACGAATCGGAAAACGAGGATTTGGATCCGGAGGACGACACGGACAGGAAAGCTACCAACGAAGTACTGGATTCAACGGACAACCTCGATGAAATTACGGATCGCTTTAAAAAGTCGACAATTCTTTCTCAGAGCGAGGAAAATCAGCTAAATGAAGGTCTCGTTGACTCAAAACTGGAAAAAGCAGACGCCAATTTTAACATGCCGCAGATGACAATAAATGGCAAATCCGAGCACGCTACCCATATTCACAAGGAGTCCGCAAGCGAATCCGCCAAAGCAGGAGGGCCTGATAGTGAATCAAGGGAGAATTCATCGGTGACGACGAGCAAGGACGCAACCCCTTTAATCACTCCTAACGATCGACCCTCGCTTTCTTCAGCGGCAAAATCAGGAGAAACCCATCAAGACGCTTTGCAAGCAGAGGCATCTCAGATACCCGATACAGAACCATTGATCACTCGCAACATCCCGTCGATGACCCCCTCCTCTTCAGAGACAATCCAAACTTTAGCCCCAGAATACCCAGAGGCTACCAATTCGACAACAGTGGCGACAGAGTCTTTGGACCTGAGTGGGCCAAAGGCGGTAACAAAAGAGCTCGCATCAGGAGAATCAGAGGATAAGAAGGATGGAGCCGAAGCAATTGCCGACAGGATCGATTCTGCAGCGGATGATGCAAAACCCGTCAGTGATTCCGCCCCCTCATCACCTGCACAATCCAGGGGCTCGCCGGTTTATACGCCCATGGTTCCGCTCACGGATATAGGATCGAGCACAGCCCTGATGACTTCGTTGGCCTCGCCGATATCGATCTATACTCCCCTCAGTGTCGCAGCAGCTTCACCGAGCCATCAACAGCCATTTCCGACCTGTATCCCAGTAACGACGGTGTGTCCGAACACAGCATCAGAGACTGCGGTTATACATGGGGCTGGGTGCGACAGCTTTACCGGTAGCACGAATGGTGGAATAGACAGTAGCAGTGGCATGGGCAGCAACGGCAGCGGAGGTCGTGCAGACGGGGCAGGATCGCTACAGGTGAGGAGGAAGCGACCAAAAGATTTCGAGAGTGCAGGAAACACAGGATTATTGAAGAGCGAGTTCCGGTACTTGCGAGGGCTAAAGATGGTGCCTCCTCACTACCTGAGCTGTGGACGAGTGACGAAGAGGCGTCGCGTTATGTAAACTAGTCATAGTGTAATAGAGATACGGGAAAGAAGTAGTAGTAGTAATGTATCATCTTTAATAGCTGTAAAACGCTTACTTTTAGCCCCTTGAGGCTTTCTGATTGTTGGACGAGAGTGGATGAATGATTCATGGGAGTGCACATGTGGTGGTTCTTGTTTCCTATCAAGGAATGCTTTTCAACAAAGTCATTAATGTACTGATGCGAAAGATTGTTTCCGTGGTACAAATAGATCTACAACATTGATAGACCATTGAAAGCGATACAATGGAAACCACGCTTATTAGGGTTTCGAAACAAGGGCGAGGTGTGGGAGATGAACAATAAAGGGAAGGGGAGGGGGTGGGGGGGAGGGATGGGCAGACAAGAAGCCAGGTCAAGTTTAGAATACGGTTTCAGGACAATCAGCCGCCAGCGAATCAGGCCGAGTGCTCCTAATTCAGGCACACGTTACTCTTCGATTGCCGCCTCTACTTTATTTTCCCGTCCATCTCAGTCTCATGGTCTGATTCTTTTCATTTCTCCCATCCTTCTCATCTCTCTTCCCATCCCACTCCCCCCTCTTCTTCTTCTTCTTCTTTTTCTTTTCTTCCTCCTCTCTTCTTCCTCCTCTTCCTCCTCCTCTCTTACTCACACTTATTCCCAACACACACTCTATTTCTCTTCTCATTCCCTTTCATTCCATCTCCCTTCATTACCATCGCTCTTCTTCATTTGATCCATCTTTCTGCATTCTCCTTCTACGCACTCTACTGTCCTCATCTTCCCCCCTCTACCTTAACAACGACCTCATACTCCTCTCCGACCTTTATATATCTGCCCTAACGTCTCTCCTCAACCCCTCCTGCAACTAACGACTACCTCCTATACTGCTGCAGCACAATGGCTGGCCTCAAGGTACGCCATCGCTGTCCTCGTCTTACAATTCAACCGCAGACCTATTCTACTCAACGCTCTTGCTGACTCCTCCTTCACTCCTCTCTCTCTCTAACACCCAACCTGGATACATCTTAGTATGAACTCGACCAGTGGAACGAAGGCGTGATTGCGTTCGATCAGGGTCTGTACGAGGATGCCCTGGAGATCTTTGAGGTATATAAAAATTGTTAGCAATACCATGTCTGCGACTACATTCCTTAACTCTGTCACACAAAAAGGAGATCGCTCCCTCCTTCTCCTCCCGTTCAACGCTCAAGGGTTGAGGCTCGAGGGAGACGTCTTTTTTCGTGTTTGCTCCACTCGTGTGCTTGCTGTCAGTGCGAGGCATTAAAAAACTAAAGACTGTCTGGTTGTCTAACCGTCTGCATGGTACCATTTTTTTTTTCTGGCGTCTTTAATACGTAGCCTATTGCAGACTCCGCTAAGATCCATTTCAACATCGGTGTGGTCCTCGCTACCTTGGGCGACTTTGAAGGAGCGGTATGTAGAAAGATATATATATTTGTGCCCCTGCTGCCATAAGCAACCAAGAAAGTAAACGCGTACTGAACCAGGAACTGGATCAGGGCTGTTACATGTTTTAATAACTATGATCACCTTTTGTTTCCATTCATGGTACCACAATGTAGAGTGCCGCTTATGCCCAGGCCACGAAGCTGGATAATTATTTGGCCATTGCTTACTTTCAGAATGGTGTGGCGAATGTTGCGCTCGAGGACTATTCAAAGGCCCTCAACTGTTTTCATGACGCTTATTTGGTAAGTCCCTGTGGTATTTGTTTGTTGTTCTTGATTTTTTTCCGCCTTGATCCATGGGCCGATTATGTGAGAAATGTGTCAAGCGGGGCATTCTATTCGTTCGAGAAATGGATCTATAATCGGCTTCAGCCTGAGAGCCGAGAGAGCAGATTTTTTTTTTCCTGACAGTCGTCTCCTGTGGGGGGATTATAAACGAACCGAACTGACATGTTTCTAATAATTTCTCTTGCATGCATCCCTCTATATGAAATTGGGCTGTATCTTGTAGTATCTCCGAGGAAATATGGTGATCGACTACACGCAGCTGGGGCTGGACTTCAAGCTGTTCTCTTGTCAGGTCCTCTACAACCGCGGACTGTGCTATATCGAACTTGGGGAGACGGATCTAGGCATGACAGATATCTGGCGCGCATCACGGGAAAAGCAGACCAAGGCGCATGACATACTGGACCAGGCACTCAGAAACAAGGGCAAGGACTGCACGGTCTTCACAGTGCCCCAGGGAATTCTCTATCGTCCACCAGAGTCCAAAGTGAAGAATTCGAAAAAGAAGGATTATCTCGGCAGCTCCAAAGTCATTGCTGCCGTCGACGCGTCCGACTCCTTTGCAGGATTCCAGGGCAAGTCCGCCTGGCAGGTCCAGATGAGCGGCCCTACCAATGTCGCTGCAGTGGAGGAGTCTCGGCCCATGACGCCACCTACGGGTAAGTCTGGCACCAATGTCGTTTTATTTCCTGGGATTCAACTCCAAAAATCCACTCCATCTTTTGCCACCACTTTTTTTTTTTCTCTTTCTTCGTCATTTTCGTGCATTCCCTTGGGTTGGGTTTGGATTGAATGAATACTCTCAATCTTTTATTACTCTTTTTGTTTTAATTTTCTGTGAGCAAGCCCATAATTCGTGCGCCTTTGTTTATTTGCTCTTAATTTTTTTCGTCTCCACCCGTGGTTTGTGCTCTCAACTAAGCACGCAGAAAACAGGCGTCAATGTGTGGGCAGCAGCAGCAGCAGCAAAAAAAAAAAACCAACAATAACGCTTATGAGGGGGAGTCTAGAAACGCGTGTTATCTCGTATCACTGGGATTCATCGGCACCATCTCGAATCCCGAGAAATTACATGCATGCATGCATGCATAAGAGCATGAAGTACAGAGACTACGAACGGCGGGGAACCTGTTCTCCAAAAACCTGAGCAGAGTAATTTTTTTAACCAATTCTGTCTATTTCTGGGCAATTGTTCTGCTCTCGTCTCATAATCAAAAAAAAATACATAGGTCTGCAACGCAGAGCCACAGAGCGAGTGGGTCCCAATTTGAATGTACGAGCAAGGAGAGGAACGGACCCCGAGAGACCACAGCTGGAACACGCAGCCTCCTATAACGGTCAGGACGCGTCAACACGTCGTGCAGGACCAGGACCGTCATCCCTTGGCCCAGCTGGATCTGAGCCAAGGCTGTCGCTCCTCTCCCGTCGCAACACGGATGCACAGCGACCCGCACCCTTGAATCTCAATGGATACTCAAACATTGGAGGACCATCCTCGGCAGCACCGGTAGCTAAAGCAACGACGGCAGGAGGAGCAGCAACAGCAGGGGGGACGACCAGGAGTCAGTATCAGGATGAGCTGGATGATCTGGAAAAGCATGTGTACGCACTCAGCATTGAGGCTCAGGAGATTACAGTCGGAGACCGGGCTAATGGATCACCTTATAATATATCGACGACATCCTCCTCGATGGATCTGCGGGTCTCACCGGTACCAACCCGGTCCAATTCAAATGGACGACAGAACGGACAGGGGCTGGCACATCCAATGCCAAGTAAGACCGGCAACTACAACAATCATAACTATGGCAGTAGTCCACCCAGTCGCACGGGTACACCACCTGTGTTCCAGGAATTGCGGAGAGTGGGTAGCAAAAATGGAAGCCTTCGACGGGAAGACAGTGTCCGGAGTGCGGCCTCTGGAGGCAGTGGTGGATCGATGGGTAATGGGATCTATCAACAGCCAAACGGAAACCACTCTGGATACATGCATGGTGCTGAGGGACCGTATTTGGATGAACCCGTCTATGCTGGACTTCGCGATAAGGTATACAAACACTTTCGTCTATTTTTATTTTTTTAATCTTTTTTTTATCATTCGTTTTCCTAATTATTTTTATTTTCTTTCCTGTTGTTAGCTTCGTGTGAAATGCCACTACATCGATACGCGGGCAGTCCTTGTGCGGGCCGATACGCCTCTTCAGGAACTGATCCAGCGGGTGCAGGAAAAATTCCAGTCCAGCCGACCACTGAAGCTGAAGTACAAGGACGAGGACCGTCATATGTTGTCGATGGTCGATGACGAGGATTGGCTGATGGCCCAGCAGGTTCATGTGGAGACCACGGGCAGTCTGGATCGCATGGAGCTGTGGTGCTTTGATGACGAGTAGACAAGTAGAGCGACGGATTCGTCTTTTTTTCATTTTCTATTTTTCATTACATACCTCTTTTCGCAGGCGTTTTGAGGATGCACACAAACACACACACACACACGCACACACATGCACATGCACATGCACACAGACAATTTTAAAGACATCATCGTCTCCATTACCGGCATATCTCCACATAGAAAGGCTTCCTGAACAGAAGGAAGGACCGTAAAAAAACAAAAACAAAATAATAATAAAAAATAAAAAGCACACAACAAGGACAAAGCAACAATAGTAGCTTGACTATCCAAGTGTTTGTTTTCTGAACGAGATGTTTATTATCGATTTTCACAAAAATAAAAATAAAAATAAAACCTCCCCCCCCCCCCTCTCTCTCTCTCCCTCCTCCTCCTCTTCCTCATTTTTTTTTTCTACATCAATAAAAAAGCTACTTTGGTTTGATCCTCATGCTACCATTGCCATTTCCGATCTTGTTACTGTTCGGTCCCCAATGCTGATCCGTCAGGCTGGAGAGACTCGCATTCGAGCATTTGCGAGACCGTGATCGAGACTGTCGCCGATGTTCGCTCAATCCAAAAGTCAGTGGCGGTGGCGGTTGCGAGGTCGGCGGCACTGGAGGTGGTGGACCATGTGCCTGCGCCTGCAAGGTTGCTACCGCATAACTCTGAAGAGAGTTATTACTCTTGAAATGAGGTTGCTGGTGACCCGGTTGTGGCGCACGAGTCGCACCCGGAGCCGAATTCTGTCTCGCATGCGGTTCAGACCACCCAGTCATGGTCGCATGGTGGTCCTGTGCAGCTGCCGGCGCCTCATGGTGCTGCTGTTGCTGCTGTTGCTGCTGATGGTGATAGTTTTGATGATGTCGACGACCCGGCCGCGAATACCCATGTCGCCCTTCCTGCTGCCAGTTCTCGCTTCCACTTCTGCCCTTTCCGTAACTGTTGGATGGGGGATGATGATGATGTTGTTGATGTTGGTGCGTACCGTTGTTTCCGTAGTTGCGCCCACTATCCCTATCCCATGCAGCCGCAGAAGCATTGGTGTTCGTCGACGTCGTAGTCGTACCCGTACCCATAGCGTCCGTTCGGCCACGAACACGGTCCTGTGGGTTCGAGGTCTTGCGTCCAGAAGAAGTCGGCTTCGCCGGCAAAGAACCTATCTCGGATAGGGACCCTCGGTTCGCAGCAACTTGCGAGCGCTCGATACCTGGTTCCTCATGCGTGCCCGCACGGATATGCAGTGATGAGAGCGATGCCGATAAGGACTTTGGAGACAATGGCGGCAAAGGCGGTTGAGCTGCTGCAAGCGATGAGAGGTCCCTGGCGAGTGGGTGCACAGGCGGAGCATGCATATGATAGACATGTCCCTGTCCATGTTGCTGCTGTTGCTGCTGCTGCTGCTGTTGGCGGCCCTTTGATGGGGGAGTAGGAGTACCATTCGTCTGATGGAACCCTGATCCGTTGCCTAGCCGTGGCTTCAACCCTGCTGGAGGGTCACTCAGATAAAACCGAGCATCCTGCGGAGCAAACTGACGTCCTAATCCTTGAGTTGAAGACACCGGCGCCTTTGACTGTCCGTTCGAATGCTTGTTGTCATGGATGGTTGGGGTCACTTCATCCTGGAACGATTCAATTTGAAAGGGTGGGAAAGATACACCATCGTCATCGTCCTCCTCATCTCCCCATCGCGAGTTCGGATCATCCTCCCCCCACGACAGCTTTCGATTCTTCAACGTCGTCTTGGGACTCTCATCACCCCATCGCGCGTTCGGATCGTCCTCGCCCCATGAACACTTTCGGTTCTTCGAACCTGCATCCTGGTTTTCCTCACCCCACAACGAACATGACTTGTCCGTGCCCATATCCGGATACGGATCCGTATTCTCCCACTCAATTTTCTCCTTCGGGAACAACTCCTTCTTTGCAGCTGCATCCGGTGGTGTTGTCGTCCATAACGAAGTCGGACTGTACTCGCGATGATCCGACTTTGGTGGACTGTATTGCGGTCGGTTCCTCCTCCAATCTTTCAACGGATTTTCAGGTTTGCAGCGGTCCCTGGACTTGAACGGATCATCGCCTTTACCATAGGCCCCGCCACGATGGATCGGAACCCCACCAAACGTATTCTCCAGCGACCTGGGCGGGTCCCGATGGCAGCGGACCGTCTGCGCCTCGGCTCCTCGACCCGCACACGATCGCAAGAGATTCTGGAGGTACTCGTAGTCGGGTTCTTCATCAAAGCGCAGACTGCGGGTGTACCCAATGTAGGTCATGAAGCCCCTTGGAAGGCCCTCACACAACTCATCGAGGTCAATGTCCTCCTTGATCTCTCGCATTTTGGCCCAACCCTGCCTCGAATTTCTTGCAGAGATCCCAGACCAGGGCAGTGTACCGATCATCAACTCGAGAAGCATGTATCCGACCGACTCGATGTCATCGCGACGAGTGTGTTCTAAATTTCGTCCCCCCACAGCAGAGGCAGAAGAGCAAATTATAGGAAATGTTAGTCAGTACTTGATAGTGGTGGTGATGCTCAAGGACGCGACTCTTTGGTGTCGCATATTTATATAAATCCCCCCTACCTCGACCACAATGGATATTGATGCTCGCGTATCGAGCCGTGCCGACCTTGTGCTTGGTGCTACCTCGGTTCGGGATATGTTTACCAGAGGCATCCCGGTAGTGGGAAGCCAGGCCAAAATCGACGATCGACAGATGAGGCTTCCCATACGCCGCCAAGATCGGGGACCCCGGCGAAGTCGACATATTCGAATCAAGGCTTTGCTGACGTTTACGTGTGTCGTTGAAGAAACTCATGGTCTGATCCAGGGACGTCGGCGGAGTGTGCGCATGGATGTCCTTGCCCAGCGGAGCATCCGGCAGGGTGATGTCTACGTCCAAGAGAAAGTTCTCTGGCTTGACATCGCGGTAGACGAGTCCTCTGCTGTGGATGAATCTCAGATGTGAGATCTATAGAACGATTTACAGTAAACACATGGGGGGACGCATATTATCTAGGATAATTAGCATTAATGCATCTCAAAGAATAAAGCAAAATACGATTACTCATGTGCGCGACATAAAGAAAAATAAAATTAATACTTGCCACTTGAACGCCCACTTCAATCACAAAACTAAGCGGAAACTTTTCGTTCTCGCGCCTGACTTGCTTTAGGTTGGGTCCCAAGAGGTCAATGACCATGGCGTTATACACGCCCTCCTTCCCGAACCAACGCAGCTTAGGAATGCCGTCTATCGAGCGGAAGGAAAAACAAAGTGCGTAGAGGGTCGTATGGGTACTCTGTCTTGTTCAAAAAATAAATAGGAGACAGCTGTTCATAGGATATAATAAGGGCACAGGGCACAGAGCAGGGGGGGAATGCAGGGCATGACTCTTTTGTATCTCTGCCTCGGTGGTCCATGGAATTGTCACTGGGAACCAAAGGGGTAGTGGGGTGAGAGTATAAGGCCAAATATAGATGCTTTAGCTTACCTCCTCCAGCCAGGATCCCGTACACCTTGGCTTCATGCTCCAGCTGAGGGTGAGGAACGTCGATAGGCTCTCGCTTGATAGCGTAGTCCACGCCCGACGCGATATGGGTCGCTATTTTCATGCATACACCATTGATGCAGATGATATATTAAAAGACAACCCCAATTAGTGATCGCTCATAAAAAAAACCAGAGAGGGACGAGTTTATCGCGAGCCATCGTATTTTTTTTTTCTTTCTCTCAAAGACAGATACACAAACATAAATGAAGCATCGATAGTAGTGAATGAACGAATAAAAGACCAACAAGCTCATGTTCGCTCCAAGCTGGACACCATGCCTGGTCAGCAATGTGGGGAAAGAGTTGTCCCGTTTCGTAGACGACCACTCGTGACCCTCCTCTTCGCTTAAGGTTCATATTCCATAAACTAAGAAGAACCAAGGGCAATGGGCAACAAATATAGATAGCATGGGGGGGGGGGGGAGAAGCATGATGGCCAAGTGCATCAAGGGTCGCACGCATTCAACGGGACATGATATTCAATATAGCACATGTAGTGTGACAACGCGAAACCAATGTGGGGTCGCGTTGTAAAGACATGAGGCCGTGTCGAACATGGATGCAGGTGGGATTTAAATGGAACCATGGTTCTATCACAATTTACCTCGGAATACCTCACCAAAGGAGCCTTCGCCAATCTTGCCCAGGACCAAGTACTCCCCTCCGATGACAGTTGTCGACGAGCCCATTTGCGGAGACGGCGGTGTCTCTGAGCTCTAGAGAAGGAGGTGGGAGTCGAATGTTGGCTGCCCACTGAAGAGAAGGCGGACGAGGACAAAGGTGTGCCAGTGAACAAGGCTGCTGGCGAAGAAGCCCTGTTTTTTTGAGGCAATGATACGAAATTTAGACCAGGACTTGAAGAGTCTGAAGGGTCTCTCTTAGGAGGCCGAGACAACCGAAGCAAAGGATCGAGGTCGTTTGCGACGACTGTGAGTCCTTTGGGGTGACCAAGCAAGGTTGCGGCGTGTGAAGAAATCGAAATGGCCTTGTCTGTCCACAGAAACGATGGAAAGGGCGCCCGTGGTGGTTGCGGGGCTGGGCGGAAATTTTGTTGGCTTTGATTTGATTGCTGTTGTTGCTGCTGCTGCCGAAGAGTGGTTGCAGCAGCAAAGAGGAGGGCGTTGAGTGGCAGTGGCAGTTGCGGTAGTTGTGGGCAGTCGAAGCAATCGCTCAGGGAGAGATGGTGCGGGGCAGACGGGCACCGGTCTTCCTGACTCGCTACAGCTGGGGTGCACACAGCAACAGCGGTGGTAAGAGTGATGATGGGTATGGTGGTAGCGATCGAAAGAGCAAGGACGGAGGGCAAAAGAGGCGGCAGAAGAGAGAGAGAAAGAGAGCCAAGGGAATGCTGGATGCGGGCACGATTGACAATAGGAGCTTGGTGAAGATATGGCTGAGAACAGGGAGGGAAGGCTCGCTTGCTGTGGGAAGTTGCTCTCGGGGTGTAGCCTGAAGCGGCAAGACGCATTCACAGACGAGGAAAAGACACGGGATGGGAGCCGATGGTGACGAGGAAAGGGAGGGGGAGAGGGGGGGGGACGGTATATGGGATGGAGATGGATGAGGTGGAGGTGCGGAGAGGGAGAGAGGGATGGGGGATAGAGGATGGGGATGGGGATGGGGATGGGGATGGGAAAGAGAGAAAGAGAAACACGACGAGTGAGACAAAAGGAGGGATGGGATGGATACAGCGTTTACAGCGTGGATGGTGGATGGTGAGAAGGCGCCGTGTGCAGCAGGCGGGTGCTCCAATTAACCTTGGTGGTGTACATACATGGGCATGGACATGGACATGAATGTACGTGGATGAGTGGATGGATGCATACATCCTACGGGTCTCCTCTCTCGCCTCGCTCTCGCTCGTACTCTGTGGCAGCAGAGTCTCCGCTGCACTGCAGCAAAGGAGGGGACTGGGGGTCGAGACCCTGTCGCAGTCCTCCGCTGCCTCTCGATCGAGTGGCTCTCTCTCTCTCTTTCTCTTTCTTCAGGAGGGAAGGAGGGCAGGCAGGCAGGCAGGCGGGCAGAGGGGGGTCCATCCCGGCGCCCTAATTTAACAAGTAAAAAGCTAAATACCTCTTCCCCATTGCCCATTGCCCATTGCGCATTCTTCATTCATTCTTCATTCTTCATTTTTCATTCTTCATTCCTTATACTTCATTCTTCATTCTTCGTCTCATCCCTCTTCATCATTCGCCTTCTTCTTCCTCTTCTGTCATCTCCCCTTTCACTTTCATCCACCTTACCATCCCTATCCATCGCTCCACCGGCCTCTTCCTCCCTCCCTTCTTTCTATACACCGTTATTTACAGACACTTTGACACTTCTGCGTTGTTGCACAGAGTCAAGATTGCTCAACACTTCCCTCGGTACCCAACTAGCACACACAACACAACCACGCTGCTCGGAAACCATTTAAATGATCCTGTAGTAACTGTCATGTATCTGCACCTCATCCCTCAATGTCATTCCCAAACCATGCGCACGACACCCTGACTGTGTCCACCCGCTCGGCCCCTCGCAGTCGTCGCAGGAGTCACTCGACAAGCGAAACATACAACCACACCACTGCAACTGATAACGCCATTCTTGGATCCAGCAGCCACCCGCCCCCTCGCCTTCACACTCAACGACAGCAGCAGCATCCAAGCATTAACACTACAGCCAGGACAGTCAGCACGCCCTCGCAACAGGCAGCTCCTCATGATCTGACGACGAAGACTCAGGATCAAGAGCATCGCTTCCATAACACTCCGTCTTTACTTCCGAACACCGACGGCAGCTCGGGCTCATCCCCTCTGGATCTCAACCGTCAATCCTCACAGGCGCAGCAGAGTGAAGGGGCGGTCAACGAGGGTGCATCGGATCAATCTGCAGTGATAAGACCCAGGCGACCTCCCCGGCAGCGACCGCATCGCTTGTTGCTAGATCCCACAGCGTTCGAAAACAATTATCGCGTGCTTCCCCTCCTCATTGGTTGTATCATTCCTGTAAGTTTACACAAATGAAGCGCACGGATTTGCGATTGAGAGATGCAGCCAACAGACGACTCTTGTGTCTATAAAAGGGAGGGGGAGGACTCGGTGCTGGTCGTGTGGCCACTATTGCTCTCGGTGCCAAAGAGGTGGCCTTTGCAGACTCATGCTCGTTCAGAATTTTAACACTTTAACACACATAAAATCATAATCTTCTTTTGGGGAACCTGTTGGTAGGTCTCGATTCTAATCAATGTGCCCTCAATTACCTCGCCCTGGGTTGGGATAGCAACGTAAGTTCAAAGCGGTCTTGTTGTTGTGCAAGTATCTAGTGGCATGTGTGTGTATGCAGATGACCATTTTGAATGCCATCTGAATGTCATGGTCATTATCCTTTTCGTCATCGTTGTTGTGTTGCCCATTCAATGTTCTCCTTTGAGGAAAAAATATCTTTTTACATTCTCGAGATGTAAATAGTAGTAATAATAATCCGCGTAGAGTCGGCTAAACCTATTTTATAGATCACGGAGTTCATTGCCCACCATAGAAAACTATACAGTTATAAATAACGCGTCGGTGTCGTTATTCGTACTCTTGTTACCATGCTGCAGGGAACATGAGCAAAAAGGGCTTGCATAATATGAAGAGTACAAGAGGAAGAAATAGTGTTCAAGTGGAAGACTACTCGAAGCTGTACATCTGTACATAGATGCATCCCACCGACAGGCATCTTTCTCATCCGTGCCAAACTCGTTTCCGCCTTTTCTAGGTACAATCAGACAGGCCAGGACTGGGATGATATTCAAGCTATTAGCATCCCTCGCTGGCTCGACGCCATGATCATCCTTGCACTCGTCATGGCCATCATCTGCAACATCTGTATCCTCTTTCGCTTCCTCGAACGACGCATCTGGCACAGTGTCATTCTCTCGCTCATCACTGCGACCCTACAGGGTATGTGTAGTCCTCCTTCGTACAGAGCCGTGCCTGTGAAAGCTCTATTATCATCCCATGATTTACACGCTTGTCACTCTATCTATTGCTTTAGATATTCTTTGTATTGGCGCAGTTATCCCATTCTGCATACTATATCCGCCCAAGGACTACGTCTACCTGGAAGGCTTCTGGACCATGATTGCATCCATGGTATTTTCTCTTACTGCCACGGTCCTCATGTCCATCGATCTCCACCGGACTCCAAACTTTAGGCTACAAGGCTCCGGGGTCACACACAAGCAGCGTATCCTGATTGCTGAGGCTATGTCGCTCTGCTTCTACTTGGCCATCGGGGCCCTGATCTTTATCTATTTGGAGCATTGGACATTCCTGGATGCACTGTAATTTCATTCGAGATGACTTCTCGCCGTGTATCTCGCTTCGTATAGTGCTGTCAGATCTTTCTCACGAACGCGACATCAATCATATATTTTATCCGCCTTAGGTTCTTTGTCATGGTAACGATCACGACAATCGGATTCGGCGACAGGACGCCAGCTACAGCTGGAGGCCGTGCTTTTGTCATCTTTTATGCCGCTGGAGGTATTGTCATGCTGGGTCTCGTCGTGAATTCGATTCGATACGTCATTTTGGAGGATCTACATCGCGAGTTTGCTACTCGTACCAAAGACCGCAAGGCCAAGAGGGAGGCAAGAAGGATCGAACGGAAGGAACAGCGCGCCCGGGAGGAGGAGGGCCGACAACGCGTAAATGACGCGCTCGAGCGCATTCACCAAATGGAATCTGTAGGCAGAGTGGAGGAGCACACGGAGTCGAGCGAAAGCAATCAGTATCACTCGCACTACTTCACACATTTTCCACGCCACTTTACTCTTTCTCGACAACACCATCCGAGGCTGCCAGCCATTTTCACGCACGGTCCAGATACGTCTGAGAGCAAATCGGTTCAAGGAATCGAGGAATCGAGGGTGAGTAATTCGGACTCGACTTTGGGAGACGAGTCGATCGAGATGTCGCGAACAGGCACAGCGCACAAACCATCCATTGACAGTGCACCTGTGAAACCGCAGCACCAAGATACCAGCGTCGCCTTCCAGGATCCACGCCATCCCACACGGCAACAAACCAGTGGGAGCGTCGACGCCGAGGAATTGCCCTACTATACGACCTTGGAGTCTCGTCCAGTGCATGGCCCTGGCGAGAACAAGCATTGGTGGCAAAGAATTTTCAAGATTCAAAAAAAGACTCCACAGTTGGTCATTCACACACTAACGCCCAGTGAGCAACGAGAGGAGGACAGGAAACAGTCGTACAGGGAGACCATAAAGGAGTACCGTGGCCGACTTCGATTCAGTGCCCTCATGTTTATGATCTTTTGGATCGTTGGAGCCATCATCTTCACGTTCGTCGAGTCTTGGGACTTTGGTTCGTCCATGTACTTTGTCGTCATTGCCTTCACCACTATCGGATACGGCGATTTTGTGCCCAAGACCATCGCCGGACGGGCTATCTTTCTGGCCTACTGCTTGCTAGGGGTTGTAACGCTGACGTCGTTGGCATCTTTGATTGCCGAAGTCCTGAGCAAGCGCATGAGGAAGCACGTAGTTGAGTCCCAGATGAGGCGAGTGGAGCGTATTGAAGAGGCCATTGACGAGACACACGAATTAGGCGGAAACGAAAACGTGGGGCTCGAGGAGGGGTTGCAGCTACAGAATGGTGATGGACTCGAGAGAGGAAGGGTGCGAGTCCTCAGCGATCTAGTCGAAGTCGAGCACGAAGAGTCTGAACCGATGGCTGTTGATAATACATGCCAAGGTAGTCTCCAACAGCTGGTCATGGTCTCCAAAATCGTTGACCAGTTGCTGCAAAAGGTACTGGGCATAGACTACTCGGAGGATGAGGGCCATCAAGGACTTTTGGGGTGCGAACCGCCCCGGTTACCACTCCACACACCAGGAGCGATCTTGAATTACCTGGAAAAGGAGGAGGACGCATCGGACACCTATTTGAGTCCGTCGATCTCGAGAGATATCACGTCCACCAGCTCGATCCATAGAAATTCGATCCGGCCCCTGATGCATAAACGAAGGCATTCGGTTGATCCCCGCTCGGATTCGTACTGCGAAACTACCAGCACATCGTCTAATGATACTCCACAATTCAAGATCACAGCCTGGCCAGCGGCAGTGACGAGCACGCCCGGGGTCCATTCATCGGACACAGACCGAGTACGTGCTCCTTCCCCGGCACTCGCCTTACCAGCATCCGCGACTGGGCCATTTGCAGGGCACAGGCACCACAGAGATGGCAATATCACAGTCTCAGCAGTTGAATGGCAGCACTTGATCGACTATGCAAAACAGTTCAAAGTGCTGGCAGTAGCTTGTGAAGAAACCTTGCAAAAGGTCATAGCCTGGGAAGAGTCTGAGAAAAAGCTGCGCCAACGACGTCATGAGGCCCGTCTTCGCCAGAAGCGTCTTTTGGAAGACCGTCGCCGACAATTGCAGGAGCTTGAGGAAAGCCGAGCGGGCGTCGACGGCAATGCGACGGATGAGGACCTTGATGAAGAGGAAGAGCTGGAAGAGTTGGAAGATTGGGATGAAGAGGGGAGCAATGATGACGAGGAAGACGAAGCTTTGGATCGAAGACGAAATAGGATAACGACCTCGTTGCTGGGTTTCTCAAAGCCGATACACCGGAGTCGGAGCCGGAGTCGGGGTCGGAATCGGCAACCCAGCACCACACGGGAGGAACCTGTGGTGGAGCTAAATAACCAGCAGCCGCAACAATCGCGACAATCGCAGCCACCGCATCAACAGCATCAGCGACAGCGCCCTTCTGTATCTCTCGCCTCGAAACTGCAGGCCCGTCTGAGAAGCCAAGACCGGAAGAGCTTCCAAAGACAGGCACGATCGAGGAGCCGCCCGAGAGATTGTGAACTAGGCCGTCGGCGTAGTGGGGATGAAAGCGAGTATCGAGGTAAAAACCGTCCTGCTGGACATCGTCCACAAGTGCGAGCACCCCAGAATAGCGATCCAAGGACTTCAACTTCTTTGGATGCACATTCTTCCCGACCTTCAGAAAGCGAGAGTGGACCTCACCCACTGAGGACATCCAAAGACGCGATTATTATCTCCTCACCATCTTCTTCATTATGATATTTGTAGTATATAATTGCAGTTTCTGTAATATACCATTTGACATTAGCATGCACAAGTACAAAGCGTCTGGCATTGGATTGGTGCACCATGTAAACATTCAGGCACAAACGCGTGCGGGGGGCGCGTCTCGAGCTGGATGGGCTGTGCGTGATACGCGCGACTGTGTAAAAACGACGCGTGGGTGGCTGAGCTCTCTGCCATTCCATTGGGGGAAGGGGGGGGGGGGGGGGGGGGGGGCCAAAAGAAAGATCGCACGCAAACCATTTGATCGTCCATCCTATCTGCTTCATCGTCCCCAATCCATGTCATCCCAAGCTTCCGTCACCAACGCCCCCTCGAACGAGGCGAGGGACCCTGCCTACTTTGGCTACTATGCCATGCTGCAGCATCAGGTACACGGGGCGGGTGAAATCGCACAGCACATGGCCAGACCACGAATCACAAAGGACTCGTGTTGAGTCGAGTCGGTGGCCGAGTTATTTGCCCCCCCCCCCCCCCCCCCCTATTCCCGATGTCATATCTCTGACTGGGCCCCCGTCCGTTATATGTCTACTTTGTATTGAATTTGTCCACTTCTCTAGCAAAACATGATGCAGGACAATGTCAGGACATCGACATATAGATCTGCGATCCTGCTCAATACCGAGTGTTTTGAGGATAAGCTGGTCATGGATGTTGGAGCAGGCATGATAAAAAAAAAAAAAAAAAAAAAAAAAAAGGCGTTATGCTTTGTTTAATTTTATTTTGCTGTGAACCAATGCTATCGCAGATCTTCCAATCCTGACCATGTTTTTTTCTCATTCACCTTTGGATTTTGTGAAATTCACCATCGATATTACTACCGCTTACTCATGATACTTGACGCGATGGTGTGTCTCAGGATCGGGAATCTTGTCCTACTTTGCAGTCCAGGCTGGAGCCAAGAAGGTCTATGCGATCGAGGCGTCGGATATGGCACAGAAGATGAAGAAACTGATTCGTGCTGCGTCCTTGCCTCCTGGGAAATCCAAGAACGAGTTCTTGAAGGACAAGGTCGAAGTCATCCAAGGTAAAGGAAGAAGAAGGAGAAAAAGAAGAAGAAGAAGAAGAAACAATAGCAGGGCTAGCAGTACGTGTACATGAAGTAATGAAGTATATACAATTCTAACGTGTCGATAAATTTGCTTTTGCAATTGGTGCTATGATACGATAGCCAAGATTGAGGACCCCGAGGTCGATGCGCCCAAGGTGGATACCATCATTTCAGAACCCATCGGTAAGGACTCGTCAAAGCATGGATCCTATAATTGAATCCTACACATGGTTTTACTCCCCCTCCCCAGATACTTATACTTTTTTCTTGATTTTTGAATAGGTGTTCTGCTTGTTCATGAGAGAATGGTAAGCTGCTGCCAGAAACCTGCGGAAGAAACTTTCTTGCTTCTGGACAATATGAGGAGTGCTGACATACCGCTGTTCATACCCATGATGACTATTTAGATCGAGAGCTTTATCTATGCGCGCGACAAGTTTTTGAAGCCTGGAGGACATCTTTTCCCCAACAAGGGTACAATGTACCTGGCACCCTTCACAGACGCGGGTCTGTTCACTGAAACCATGGGCAGGGCTCGGTTCTGGGAGCAGACGACCTTTCACGGCGTAGACCTTACGCCTCTTTATCCTGATGCGAAGGCTGAGCTCTTCAGTAAGTGAATTTCTCGGAGAAGACATACCTAATACTAACAATGTTTCACGATGCTATGTGGTTTAACGTATCTCATTATTGTTTATTTTTGCTTTCGCTAGACCAGCCTGTGGTTGGACACTTTGAGCCAAAGTCGCTGTTGGCTGTCCCTACGCCGGGCTTTGACGGATTCGAGTTTGATTTCAACACGATCACGATGCAGAGTTTGCGGGACTTTGTGGTGCCGATCTCTTGGACGGCTCAGTACACTGGACTGATGCACGGTGTGGCTGGCTGGTTCGATCTGTTGTTCTCGGGTAACCCGCTGTCGGCGGCCAGCCAACCGATCGAGATGTCGACTGCACCCCATGCCGAAAAGACACACTGGCAGCAGGTCCGTTTCATGTTCCGGGAGCCGTTGGCGGTCAATTCTGGACAGGCTATCCGTGGGTGGATGCATTGTGTTGTCAACGACATGCGATCCTACACGGTCGATATTGAAATCATTGCGGGAGCCCAGGGGGAACTCTCGGATCCGAGCCAGCCATTTGAGCCATTGTTGGAGAAGCAGGAGAAGCAGCAGGGTTATTCTACGCGGACATCGACAGTTGGTGGGGAAGCTGGACAGGAGGTCGTGGCGGAGGCAGGAGACGACGGTGTGGACGAATTGCAGTTTGTGAGGCGGAGAGGTCGTTGGCAGTTGCATGAGCAGGCGTACAACTATACATACCAGGGTCCGACCAATGATCTGGTGCATCCAGAGCACTTGTGCATGTACGAGCCTCAGAATGTGGAGGATGCTTATGGCGGCATCACTTACACTGTTTAAATATGTGTGGTATTGAAAGAAGAGAGCAGTTGAGCAAACCGAGGGGAAGGGAGGGGAGGGGGGAAGGGTTCTGAAGCCGCATCAGTAAGTATCACTGGCATATATATATATATATTTTATAATAAACAAAAGCTGTGTAGATTGCGACCATCAAAGGAAACCGTGTGCGCGAGTACGATAGGCTTGAGGGGGAAGCTCCTCTTGCTTGATCTGACCTGTAAATGCGGGAGGCTCGCGCGCAAGACAAAGTGCTTTTTTGTTTCGAATGTCGTGTGTCGTGTGTCGTGCGTGCCAGATTTATATTTTTTTTTATCTCTTGGTGCAGGGTTCACAATAAGGTCTCCTCCAATCCTGAATTAAACCTTATTCCACTCCGACTACCATGAGTCGTTGTAGCTACGATGGATGAGATGGTCCCTGCAAATGCGTCTTAATCCTCTTCAATCCAATCCAACGGCGTCTCATTCCCCTGCAGATTCACTGTCCATCTCACAGTGATTGCAATGGTTGTTTTTGTATCTGAGGCGGGGGGGGGAGGAGGGGTTCCTCAAGCTGGCTTCCCGCCTTTGCCGAGTCCCAAGCTACTATTAAAAACATCCCTATAAAAAACAAAATAAAAAAAGAAAACCATCACCATCTCTCCCCATAGCAAACACCACATCTCGGCCCTTACCTCTTATGAACATATTCCACGTCAACGAACCCGAGGTGGTCATAGAAGACAATGCTGTCATCCACTCCACCATGATCACAAATCGCCAAGCCGTTGCTGATGATTAGAGTTTGAAATTGTGAAATTATTTAGGCGCTAGTCCTAATCGGTTATGATGGATTATTGTTGTTCGGAAGGAATCTCAAGACCCTTGTCTGTTCGCTTGGTGTCGCGCGTGTGCTTTATAGAACATACACAAACCGAAACGGGCGTCTTTGTTTTTTCCAAACAAACAGAGGATCGACCCCCTCTTCTCATCGTACGTGCGGTTTTGGGCAGGGGAATTTCTTTTAAAGCAGGTCCCCTCATCTCCCAATCTGGGGTCATGTGCACAGACTGAAGCGGTTGTACAGCCCCTCACACGATCCACATCCCATTTAGGCTAGTCCGGGCTCTTTTTTTTGACATAGGAATAATTTTACTTCATCTGCATGTAAAAAAAAAAAAGGAACAGGCAATGATGTCGACGTTGCGTACATAGACAACGCGTGCCTGATAGAAACAAGGATAATTTCCCTTCCTCGCATTCACACCTTTTTCACAAACGTACACACATGCGCGCATAAGAACAGGAATAAACAGGTTATGCTTGATTCGTCTTTTGGTTTTATTAGGATCAGCAAAAGGGTACTTTCTTTTGTTACAAGCAAATGAAAGGGTACAATTATGTGTAGTAGAGTAATAGGATATCACTATAGTTGCTAAGCGGATCGCAAAGAGGGCACAAGCGTCCATGTCGCCATTAGATCAGAGTGAGACTGAGAGAAAGGATTATTTTACAGGAACTGGGCAAAGGCAAAGGCACCGGCACCGACGGCCATGAGGGCCTTCGCAGGGGCGTTCAAGGCGTTTCCGCTCGAGGGCGAGGTGGTGGGCGCGGTTCCGGCGGTGGTCGTGGAGGGGGTCGCGACGGTGGTGGTGATGACGGTTGGGACACCGATGGTGATGCTCGTGGTGATGCCAATGACGGTCGTCGAGGTCTCGGTTGCGGTCACAACTCCGGAGGAGGTGGTGGTGGTGGCGGAGGGCTTGGCGGCAGCGGCAAGGCCCAAGAAGGCGACAGCGATGGCGGCGGCAGAGAACTTCATGTTGGATGGATTAGATTGGGGCTGGGTGGGGGGTATGTGTGATTTTTTGAGAGAGTAGAGAGTGAGTGATGGAGAACAAAAAAAAAAAAGCGAGGACGGACGGACAAGTATTTATACTGAAGATGGCCTCGGGAAGTCGTCCTTCCCCCCCTTCAGGGCCAGGGCTGTGGAAGGCGTATGGATACGACGGTAGTCTAATTCCGCTACGGGGCAAATGGGTGGAAGTGACCGCGCGGTGACCAAATGAAAATGTCATCGAGAGCATAGACTAGGATGGATACAGGCACCCAGACCAAAATATAAAGGACGCGGCCTCTCATTGGTGCTTATCTCAACGTCCTCTAGCGTGTCTTCAACGGTAATGCGTTGTGTATCCATCCTTTCATTTGCTTGGCCAAGGGGAGGGGGGCAACACTACACACACAGACATCATGGATGTCATCGACCACTGGGAGGCAAGCGGCCGCCCCTCCCCAGTGGTGCGTCTTTCCACGATATGCCCAATACCCTTGGCTCCAGGGGGTTCCTGCGACGCTACTCGTATAGCTATGTAGTCCGCTGTCGGGTCCTGTGTCCACTTGGATTGGACATGCCATATTGAGAAAGGCAAAGAAAAATCCAGCGCTGTCAGAATCTGTCCGATAACAGGAGCGGGAGAACTTGGTTGAGAGCCGAGTTGTGGCACAACAATATGCAGTTCATGAGAGAGGGTTAGCATTAGCATGTATGTTTGCTCCATGGTGCTTCAGCCGAGAGGGCCATGACTTCATCTTGATATCTACATGGAAACACAACCTGTGGGACATTCTGCTCCCTAGCCTACATCGAACGCAGGGGTGTGACGGAAGGATCCATTCGTCCCATCTGGTAGACTATTGAATATATTGGGAGCCTATTTTTGTTTTTCCAGAGTAGCACGTCTTCTTATCCTATCTATGGTCCATCTTAGACTTGTGGGGAAAGCAGACGCCGAGCCTAACTATGACGCGATCGAGTCGAGCACGATCGACCGTCTACGGCACGTGTTCTAGCAGGCCGATAGACTTCTCTTCTTTTCTCTGAGGATCCATCCATATGGTCTTCATTTCACTTATCTGCATGGCGTTTGTATGCTACTGAACTATGCTAAATAGGCACCGCACTACTCTCTGCTCAAGTACCCATGGAACTCCTGCGCCCCCTCCCCTCTCTCCCCCTTCGTTCCCTTTTCACCGCCCTTTTGGTGTTTTGGGAGTCGGGTGTTAGAAATCAGAGAGGTCTTTGTGGCTAAACTTTTTATATTAAGGGACACTTTGAAAAAGCTACAATTGACAATCTACGGGTGTCAAAAATATAATGGAGCTCTAGAGTTACTGGGTTCCTCGCTATGGGCTATGGTCACAACACGCAATTTTATGCCTGATATCTATCAACCACCATCATCTGCCACAGTGCGCGTCGGCATTATCCGTCTTCAACTTCACGTAAGACCACCGATTGACCTGTCATTACAGTGTCATATTGCGTAAGGGTACTCCTTATCTTGCCACACCAAAATGAACGCCACTGTCTTTTTCCCGTCTCTACAAGTCTAGTCCTAGAAGCATCATCCATAGCCGCTGTATCTTAGGACAACTCGTCTAGCGGGAGCACAAAGGAAAAAAAAATGGCGAGTATATGAAGCGGAGACTAAAGGATGGTCGATCAACATGGCATGATCGACAGGGGAAGGAATTTCGGAGAGGAATTGGCCCCTTTCTTGCGCACGAGCATGTCCTGCTCTTGAAAGGTATTTTGCTCTTGTCAACCATCTACTTCATGGAAACGGCTTTGTTGACGGTCTTCCTGGCCCGTTGACTACCATGAGCCAAACCCTCGCCCTTCTGGCACCCATCCACCACCGGATTCAGTTTTTTCCTCTTTATATATCTTAGTTCGTCCAGCACGACAAAGAGATCAACATAGTGGCACTTCGATAAAAGAAGTCAATGGATTTCCCACAAGAAGACGAAGGTTTCGATCCGGTCCAGAAGGAGAATCGCATGCAAGCCAGATGTCAAAAAGAAAAGTCACCTCACACACCCCACTCCACATAGGCCCTTTCAGCTTCACGCCTCTGCCCTTCACCCTCTTTGCAAACGATCCCGTCCCCTCCTCCTCACCACCATTGACAACCACGCAGAACTAGCCCACCAGCACGCGGCAACACCTTCTTTACTCCCTCTTTCCGCGCCACCAACACCTCACGCATTCTTGCTCATTCTTCTTGCCCCCCCCCATGACCTCAGAACGACCCTCCATTCCCCCCATCGCGACCATGGCTCCCACAGCAGCCAACCCTCGGGAAGCCCACCTCACAGTGTCCTGTCCCGTAAGTTTTCCCTGCCACTTGCTTCCTCAGCAAACTCTTTGAAAAGAACATCCCCTATCTCCTTTTTCTATCTCTTCTGAACCTGCGCTACCCCAACCGAAATACGGAGGATTCAAGAAGGTGTTCCTGCTGGGGGAGGATAGCATATGACAAAGCACAGGATCATTGTGATTATTTTCACCATGACTGAGGAGCGACAACAAAAACACCCCTATAGTGTGTGTTTCGTCTTGTTCAATGTTCCATACCAATGGACCGAAAATAATCGTGCACATGCGAATTACTTCCTCCAACTTGAGAGCAGCAGCAGCAGCAGCAGCAGAGTTTTGGGCTTATATCATTGACATTGCATGTTCCCTTTTGACTTTTTGGTTTGTAATTATTATTATTTTTGCTTCTTCCTAGAACATCGGCACCAAGAGCACGCCCATGAACAGTTCCACGATCCCCGGTCTCCCCTCGCCACCACTCTCGCCCTTTTCAAACACCACCGCTGGGCATGACAGCCGCTCCGATTCGCTGCCTCTGATGCCCATGCCCTTGGCATGCGCACAGCCGGCCATCCTCCGTGTGGTTGAGGACGACGACGCCTTTACTGGTTCATTGGACCGATTGTCGTCGCTTGAGACTCTCTCGGATCAGCTACACCAGCTAAGCTCACCTCGATCTTCGGAGGAAATCATTGGCGTACAGCAACCCGTCCGCAGATCTGCTGATCATCAAGAAAACCACATCCTTGCTGCCCAGTTGACCTCAATACCCTCAGTTCGCACCAACTCGAATTCCAACTCCACGGCTGCTGAAGGAGGATTTGCGGATGGATCTCCAATGGCAGTAGAGATCGAGGAGCTAGTGCCTATGCTCCCGAGTCAGCTTCGCAAACGACACGAGAGTATGAGAATACCGGCGAGGACGGCGCAAACGCAACCACCGGTCATTTCGGCACTCGAATCGACCAATCAGGCTTCCGTATCGACACCCATGATTCAGTTGGACCTCGTGCGAAACCCTAGGGACCACAATTCGCAGAGCAGGGGCATTTCTGACAACAAGGATGATGAGGAGGACGATGAGAGTGACACAGATTCGGTGCTGGCGTCTTATCATTCTGGAACGATGATCCGAGCAAAGTCTTACAGTATGTTTGAGTCCAATAACCTCGGTTCCAGCGCGGATTCATCCATTATGCTGACTCCCAGCCAACGAATGCGGATCATCCAGGGGCTCATGCCATCCTCAGCAATATCGCCCTCCTCCATCCCCATGGATCACCATTCAGAAATGTCAGCGAGGGAATGGATCCAGATGCAGTCGAAGATGCAGGCGCTAGAGCTAGAGGTGTCACATGTGAAACGGACCAATACACTGTTGAATCAGGAACTGGACAAGGTGAATGCGAATCTGAGGAGATTGGCTGCATTAGCGAGCGGTGATGAGGATGGAGGCGAAGGCTGGCGGAGAGAGTACGAGTTTTTGGTCCAGCAGGTGGACTGGATGCATCGGCAGTTGCAGCAGGCACAGGCGGAGCAGTACGCGGAGAGGATGCGTTTGGACGTGTCGGAGATGGCCCTCACTGGCGCGGGAGCGACGCCTTCGAGGTACCAGACAGAGATGACACGGGAGCTGTGCACAGAGGTCAAGGACTTGACGACCTCACTCCGGATGTGGCAGTCGGCGTTTCAGCAGGCGGAGGAAAAGTACCGTCGCAAGTGTGGTATGTGATACTCCCCTATTTCCATGGAGTCATAATTTGGGGTCTTAAAAAAAAAAGGGGATCAACGTTTAGTAGTGAGACGCTGACAATATTCTATTTTTTACTTTTCCCTGTGCATTAGATGGTGAGCGTGCGCTGAAAAAGACCCTACAGGAGCGTGAGGCGCAGCTGTCTAGCCTGGTCGAGAAGCTGTCAGGATACGAGGGCGAGTTTCAAAAGTCGATCGCCAATTATGAAGAGCTGATGCGACTCTCTGCAGAACTGGAGCTACTTCAAGGTCCCAGCACGACAGAGGATCAGCAAGAGGCCCGGGATTTTGCTTCAAGTTCGAGTAAGGGCCGTGTTGTTTCCAACGACAAGAGTAACATGCCAGGAACGTTCCCGGGTCAGCTATGGGGTCGCAGTTCTGTGACTGAGGATTCTTCTGCTATTACTACTACCACTACTACTACTACTACTACTACTGATACCTTGACAGTCGACCAGCTCTCGGTCTCGATCCTGTCCTGGGCAGCATTGTTGGCGACCTACATGCTGTCGTGATTTCCCTAATGATAATAAAGGATTTTTTTTTTTACTTTTTTGTTCATTGAATCGATGAAAATCATTCTGCCTGGTGACTGTTGCTAACCTTTCTACTTGAGCACAGCGCGCAGCCAGATCTCTTCAAACTCACGTCCCCTCCCCTCCCCTCCCCTTCTTCTCTTCGACAAAGAATAATGACCAAATCAAAATCAAAGGGGAAATCGAAATCCGGAACCGCATCGACTTCAGGAGCAAAAGCCGGTCCGTCAAAGGACACGTCAATCGCAGGCTCGACTGCGACATTAGCCTCCAACAAAGACACGATTGGGAGCAGCATCAGCAGCATCAGCAGCATCAGCAGTAGTATCAGCGGCATCAGTAGCAGCAGCAGCAGCAGCAAGAACGACCCTAAGAACAGTATACCGCCACCGGTACCATCCATACCACGGATCGACTATATTGGTTATGAATCCGAACATCAACTCCAGGGCATGGTCAGCCTGATTGAGAATGACCTCTCGGAGCCGTATTCGATCTACACCTATCGCTATTTCTTGCATCAGTGGCCCAAGCTCTCCTTTCTGGTAAACCATTTCTTTTTTTCTTTTGTATTTTCAGTAAACACACGCGAACTCGGACAGCTTCGAGCCAAGTAATGCATTATTCAAGCTCACTCACCCCACCCCTATGTTTATGTTTCTTCCTCCCCCCCCCTCCCCCCCCCTTTCTCCCCCCTCCCCTTCCCCATGGACAAAAAAAAAAAAAAAAAAACCACGAATAACAGGCAATGGATAAGGATAAGGACAAGTGCATTGGCGTAATTGTCTGTAGACTCGAGCCTCACGGCCGCATGAAATCTAACCGTGGTTATATCGCCATGCTGGCCATTTCAAAAGAATACCGCAAACGCCGGATCGGATCGACCCTGGTTCTAATGGCTATCGAGGCCATGAAGAAGGCTGGAGCCGATGAGGTAAACGTGCCGCGCTTACTTTTTCTCTTGTCTCGATCAGAAACCAAACAGGGGGGGTGATTGACATCTTGACTCTATTATATATTTTTTTTTAAAAAAAAAAATCGGGAGTAGATTGTGCTGGAGACAGAGTACACGAACACGAACGCGATCGCATTGTATCTGCAGATGGGATTCATCAAGGACAAGCGACTTTACCGATACTATCTCAACGGCATTGATGCTTTCAGACTAAAACTGTTTTGCAAACCAGAACTCGAGGGCGCTGACAGGGCATCCCACGAGAGCAACGTGGCACCATGAATCAACCGCTTTGCCAAGTAGTCCATCCGTCTTCAAACTAATATAGCAAAAGTCAGCCTGTACTTGCAAGCGTGCAGCCATATACACTGCCCAAGTGAAGAGTAAAAAAGTATTCTTTATTCATCTGTATTTTTTATCTTGTGTTTGTTTTTTATTGTATAGTGGATATCGATACCCAATAGATCGATATTTTGTTCCAGGACCTTGAACGTCCCCCTTCCGACGTCGCAGGTGCGACCAGTGCAGCAGTAGACAGTGAGCGAAACCAACAGAGACACAGACTTGACTCGGAGCAAATTTTGGACGTCACTACACATCGTTAAAACCCTTCGCTGAAACCAAAGCGGCTGCGAGGCGGCGGACGACGACGCTCGCTGGCGCCTTCAACTGGCTCATTGGGACAATCCGACGCTCGATGACCAAATTCGTCGCACTAGGATGTTTGAACGATTAGTCGGTTCATCGACAAGAGGTTAGTACTACGTCTTGGACATGTTCATCATCGTATTCTGCATAATAATCATACGTTGTAACACTTGATCGACGACAACTGTCGCGGCTCGCGGCAGTCGCGCGACACGTGTCCCACTTGCTGGCAATTTCTGCAAACCATATCCGTTCGAGGCTCCAGGCAGTCGCGCGCCATATGACCTGGCTGGCTGCATCGGTTACAGGTAATGTCCGTGCGAGCCTCTAAACATTCGCGTGCTATATGGCCTGGCTGATCGCACCGAATACATATAACATCTGTCCGGGGCTCCAGGCAGTCGCGTACCATGTGTCCAGGCTGGTTGCAGCGGATGCAGACGATGTCCATGCGAGGCTCGCGGCAGTCGCGTGCCATGTGTCCCATTTGCTGGCAATTTCTGCAAACCACATCCGTTCGGGGCTCCAGGCAGTCGCGCGCCACATGTCCCACTTGCTGGCAATTTCTGCAAATCATATCCGTTCGGGGCTCTGCACAGTCGCGTGCCATATGGCCCTCCTGATTACATCTGTTGCAGACAATGGGCGCCTCGGGCTCAGTGCATTCTCTGGCCATGTGGCCCTCATGGCCGCAGTTTCTGCAGGTTCTGACTTTGCGGGGCTCGTTGCAGTTTCGGGTTCGATGATCCTCCGATCCACAATTGTAACACTTGCCAAAGTATTCTGATCTCTCAGACTCTCTCTTTTCCTCCCTGCACTCGCTCGCTATATGGCCGTCCTGCTTACAGTTGTGACAATTGGGTACGCCGCTTGGGCGGACAACGCCTGCATTATCAAGACGGGCAAAATTTTCTTCGTAACTTGCAGCCATACCGATCGACATGCGTCCTCGCTTGACAGTACCGGGTTTGATGAAGGAGGGGATGACGCGGTACTGTTGGTTAGGTTCGCTCTTGAGATTGACGAGTGTGTACCCAAACGATACATTGTCCTCCTAAAAAAAATAATATGGAATGTTGATTAGTAGGAAAGCGATAGATCTGATCAGTACAATCACCAAAAACGAACGGGCCATCATCTGCTTCATCAGCACCCCGGTATAGTTGCACTTGCCGTGGCCACCAGATAGGTATTGCAGTTTTCATCCCTCAGTCTGTGTTCCAGATCTTTCCAAGACCCTCCTTTGGAAGCCTCGCAAAGACCGGCGAGAGCCGCCTTGACATCGTCGAGATCGCGCGCCTGATCAGCCTCCATGAACGTGGGCCATACGTCCTTCAATGTCACAGAAGGCCCTAAAGGCGCGTTTATAGTGAGAAGGAAAAGGGTAAGAAATAGGATATCAAAATAGACATGATACGATTAGCAGTAGTGAATTAAAGTTTACTATCAAAAGAATGTCGAGGAGGAGGGGATGGTTCCCTGGTTCGACTGCCTGTGTAATAGCAAAAGCAAAAGCAAAAGCAAAGGGCAATAATTTTAGAATCTCCAGGGCAAGCCTTAATATTTGCCACCAAACAGGAAAACAGGACAAAGCCAAGAGTTTCTCAAGAGAGCGTACTGCCTGAATGTGGTCGGTCATTGCTGATGGAGGCTGCCTCCATCTGCCTCTTCATCTGTTCCCACTGGTCGTGGTCCGCGTCTGAAGCTGTGGCTGACCCGTGCGAGGCACTGGAGGAGGCTTGTGCGTCGTTGGTGTCCCATTTTGACACGGGCATGGTGCTGGCGGCGGGAGTGTCCCAAGGATCCATGGCAGCGATAGTTCAGATGACGGATTGGGTTTTGCTGTAGACGGACGGTACACGGACTATTATGAGCAGGAAAAGGGGAAAGGGTAAAGAAGAAGAAGAAGAAGAGGAAAACGCGGAGGAGGGGGACGCGAAAAAAAAAAAAAAAAAAAAAAAAAAAAAAAGAAGCAGTGGAACAGGAAAAGGAGAGAGACGTGACTGGCCCTGGACGGAGAAGTAAGCCCTTCCCCTCCGTTGCTGCGGCCATGTCGATTCAATGGGCACAGCTCGATTTTTTCATACCAATGCCTTCCTTGGCAGGCATGGGTGCATCAGCGTATGCAGCAGAGGCATAAGCGGCAGCAGCAGCAGCAGCAGTAACAGCAGCAATGGTACCTGGTACGTGCCTGTAGGAGTGGAGGGGGAGATTATGCATGCCCTTTTTTCCTTTTTCCTTTCCTTTCCCTTTAATGAAAAAGGGTCTTTCCTGGTCATTCGCCCACAATGCAGGAGTCAGCTGTGGATGTCATCATCGCCCTCAGTCGACTGCTTTTTACTCTTTCGGCCCTCTCACTTTCGCTTTCTCTCACTCTTCGCCCCTCCACTTTCTTACTTACTCCCCCTCCCTCACTCCCTCATTCCCTTTCCTCATCCCTCTCCTCATCCCTTCTCATCAGCCCAGCAAACGCCCTCATCCGCCTGTTCGTTGCTCCTTCTCTCTTTCCTCCGACCATCCCCCCTCCCCCTCCCAATGAGGTCCCTCCTCTGGTCGTCCCTGGTCCTGGGGCTGTCCTCTGCCCTCCAGCTCGCCCTGGGTAACAGCCGCCTTCCCTTCCTATTCGTCCTCATCTGCAGTCCAACTGCAGTCCCAGTGTCGTTGTCGTCGTTGTTGTAACTCACCTCTGCTTCTGTTGCCTGCTTCCTACATCCCCTCTTCATCCACACCCCACTGACTATCTCCACTGCGCACATATCCACCTCCCCCTCCTGCCATCGCTCCCTTTCCCTCTCTGTCTCCCCTTTCATCCATCTGCCCATCTACTTTAAACAGCCAAGAGTCGCTCCGGCATCACCGACATCCAGATCACAGCCTGCCCAGCAGACAACTGTCGTCTCCCGGGGTACAGAAAGGTCCCTCAGGATCTGAACAGATACTCGCGCGGCAGCTTTGTGCATCTGCACTTCACAGACCTTGGCGAGGATCATGGTCCTGAACACGAGTTTGTCGACTGTCATGGGGTGATAAGGCGCACTGCTGCGCATGATACCGCTATCAAGAGCAACAACAACAACACACACGAGCCCGCCCGCCCTCGTAGACATCCCATTACACAAATTGCAGTCCGCCAAGGCCAGGATGCAGTTATGGATGAAGATGGCTGGGAAAGAGTCAAGGGCAACCTGAATGACGGTAACCGCGGCCCCGTGTTGACCATGTTTGTGAGACGAGATCCCGAACAGGCGCCTATCGACAGCATTGTAGTCAAGTACGGATATGATAGCCATGCTGCGATCGGATACGACCGCCTTCCAATGGATTTGAATGTTGGCACGGGCAAGTAATTCTTTGTTTCTGCGTTTGGTATTAAAACGTGTTTTGCATGCAAGCTAACTATTCGATGCGTTCATCATTTCCATGCATGCGTGCATAAAACAGGCGGTCAATGGGTCTATCTGTACTACAAACGAGCTGGGCGACGAGAGCCTATCACACACATCGCCACCAAAGCATGCGCCCTACCACCGTGCACTATGGACGATTCCTGGACCCGTGTCAACCGGCCCATTATGACCGGTACCCTGAAACGATACCTCTATCTCTTCTACAAGTCCGTGCCTGGAGAGCGTCCCATCACTAGACTCAACCTCAGTCTGAACGAACACAGCGGCAACAACGATGATACAGACTACGGAACCATCAACACAGGCGTGCGATACAAGAACAACAACGTCTATGTTGCCTATAAACGAGGTCGGGTCGGAGACCAAAGGCATGCAATCGACAATATCGCGATCGAAATTGGATCCAATCCAGTGCCACACAGCTGGAATGTCGCCGCATTTGATGAACATGGGACCGACCAGGATGTGCCGGATTGGAACGCACAGATCATCTATAGGTCCGGCGATAAGACTGTACCGGAGGCGCCAACGCTTCGATTCAAGGAAGATGGTTCGTTCAAGATTGTGCAGTTCGCAGATATCCACATGGCAACAGGGGTTCACTCGTGCCATAATGCTCCCAACACGGTATGCTATGCTTTTCGCAAAACTGTTCTTTTCGCAAAAGCTTCCTATTTGGTCACTGCACTTGTTCCATAACTTTCTCCTGCTAACTGTCCATACATAACCATTTTTCTGTTCTTAGATGGACTGCACAGGAGATATCAACACTATGGAAATGATGGAGAGAATGCTCGACTCGGAAAGACCGGACCTCGTGGTCTATTCCGGCGATAATGTCGATGGATTGACATCCAATGACGCCTTCTCGGTATGGACTTGCGCCACTGCCTTGTCGCCTCTCAATTTCGTGTCCTATAGATATACTACCATATGACTCGAACTAACGCCATTTACTTCTCTCTCTCTATATATAATCCTGAACAGACGATTCTAAAGTACTCAAGGCCGGTTATTGAACGTGGAATTCCATGGACTATTATCTTTGGAAATCACGATGAAGAAGGCGACCTTACACGAGAGGAAATGATTACCTCTGCACAGGATTTGCCATACTCATTGTCGCAGCGAGGACCTCTCGACATCTCGGGCACTGGCAACTATTTCTTGAACATTCACAGGCATAAACGCAGACGGGGCCGTGGCCGTAGTCATGGACATGTCGACCAGCCAGAGATTTGGAGCGATGACCAGGAAGACATCGATGATGACGAGACGGAAGATCATCTTCAGAGCGATAAAAGCCGCTTTACCCTCTACTTCTTGGATTCTGGTGCCTACAGCTTCAACTTGGAGTACCCAGGATGGGATTGGATCAAAGACGACCAAGTCGAATGGTTTCGCCAGACCTCTAGGGCCATCACCTCGCAATATTCTAGGGAGAATATCCCGAACGCGCTAGCGTTCTTCCATATCCCGATTCCAGAGTATGCTTTGGTCGAGGATGCTGAAGATGATGACCAGGATGAGGACATGGATATGACCCAAGGAAGCAGCCACATAGTCGGCGACAAGAACGAGGGAGTCAGCGCTCCGAAATATAACTCTGGGATGTTTGACGCAATCTTTGAGAGCAAGGACGTCAGAGCCACTACAGCTGGTCATGACCATCTCAATGACTATGTAAGTGGGCTGGGATAGCTACAGATGGATAAATGCATCGATTCAATCACTTGGTTGCTATATATAATGAAGATGAATTACTCAAACCGCATCTCGTCTTTTTTTTTTTTTCCCTAGTGCTTGGACCACCGAGGTATCAACCTTTGTTACGGAGGTGGACTTGGCTATGGCTCCTACGGCAATGCTGATGTGCCCAGGCGCTCTCGAGTCTTTGAGATCAGGGATAACGGAAACAGGGTCGACACGTGGAAACGTCTTGACAATGACGAGATGAACTTGGTGGGACAGCAGACGCTCTTTGTGGGAACCAAGAGTTCGTCGCAATCGCGTCCAGGCGATCGACAGAGAAAGGGCAAACACGACTCGAGGCCTGCTCGAGTGTCCGACGATCTCTTTGAAAGACTCCGACAGGGAACTCAGTACATCATGGATGGACTTGGGGCCTAGTAGGATAGTAAGATTGAAAAAAGTCAAAGAAAAAAAAACACAGCTTGTTGGCATGGCGTGTATCTGTAGTCTATCAATATCTTTATCATGTAAATAAACTTTGGGATGTGAAAAAAAAAGATTACCGGGCTACATTGCTTCATGGGGTTTTAGCCAAATAACCTTTGGGCTTTGGTTGTTCCATAGTAAAGTTGTACATACTTATTATTATGGTGCTGCGTCGCTGGGTGCGATCGTGCTCCCATAGTGACTTGGTGAGGTGGTTCTGATCAAATACGATCAACCCCACTGTAGAGACCTAATCAGAAAGTCGTGATATCATCCCTGCACGAACCATGCTCCGTGCGCATTCCAGCCCATCGGCTGGAATCGCTGTACCTTACTGCATGTATGTGGCATTTAGTCTGTTTCAAAAAGTATACGAAGTCCGCGCGTTTTCCCTGTTGTATTTAATTATGCCAGTGAAACACAAAAAAAAAAAAAAAAAGAAAAACTTTGAGGAATTTCATTGTTTGCTCGTTCGTCACCAGAACCGCATCGGCGGCTTCTCGTTGAGGACTTGGTCGACGACATGACGCTGACTCTTGCGCAGAGATTTAGTCCCTTGGACTAATCCACCACGAGCTAGATTCTGCCGGGAAGGCTGGGAAACGCGATGGCTGCCTTGACTGCTCGCACTACTGTCACTGTTCGTGCTTGTGGCCGAGATGGATGACACTCTGACGTCCATCGATGACCCGTACATGAGCTTCAGTTTCGTCGCTACCTCCTTCCTGTTAGCGATGCGCCTGCTTCCGGTCCACCGCTCAAGCAAGTTCAGCACAGGCCCCACCATGTCCTTACTCATTCGATCGGCATCGCCATACGCGACTCCTGCCCAGCTATACTTTCCCAAGTCTCGAATGTCATCCGGAAATTCTTGTGAGATCTGACTGTTGTCGGTCATTCGACTGCCAGAGGTTGAGGATGAGCTGGAGGACTTGCTGTGTCCACCCATACCATAGTAAGGGTTCGTGCCAGACGAAGGATAATGGTGGAGCAGCTTGACAACCTTGATAGCTCTCTGAACCCCAGCCTCAGTGCTGATGTCCAGGTCATGATTCAACAGCCATTCCACGTTCTTGATCCTCAGGTGCGCCGCCGCTGCTACAAGTGCCGTCTCGCCCGCAAAGTGCATAGCTGGGTCTAAGCCCGCCTCGCACAGACAATCCAAGATCCTGTAGTCCTCCTGCATCGCCGCCACCACATGAATCAGCGGACGTCCTTGCGCATATATCCTCTCAACTTTACGCCCATTACGTTCCTGGTGCACATTTAGGTTTGGGGAAGAGACTCGCTGCCGAGAGTGCCGACGATCTTGCGATAAAAATGGTGGCATGGCTCCTGGGCCAACACCGGCGCCCTCACCTGTTTTTAAATAGCCATCTGGGTATATCTGCCGCGACTCGTTCACGAGATTGAGTGCATACATCTGTGCGCTGTTGAGTGGCGTGATCGGGCTCCGAATATAGGCTGGGATACGAGCACCGCGCATGACAAAGAATTTGAGGGCCTCGTAGCAGTACTGGGTATTAGACGAGACCAGGATCATGACTGGTGTGTACCCTTGGAGATTTTCTAGGTTGATATCGGCACCGAGCTCAACAAGGATCTTGATAGTGTCCATCGGCGATTCGAGAAAAAGACATGCGAGATGAAGAGCAGTATCTCCAGTCCGCACGCTCGACTCGTTGATTGGGTTATAATACGATCCATTATGGGAGAGATGATATTGGAGAGCAGCAATGTCTCCGACAAGCGGACAGAGGTATATGGGGGTCTTTGGAGGATTTGAGGGCGAATAGGGCTCAAGGGGTATTCTTTGGTCTCGAAAGTATGCACGGGTACCTATTGCAGGAGGGCAATATATGATGGATGCATTGCTTAGTGGTGCTTAAGAAAAAGAGGCATTCAGCGATCTGGTAGACCAACCACTTACGTTCAATATAATCGACGATTTCTCTCATCATTGGATCCTGTATATCAAACACCATTCTGTTGAGCGTGTTCGACGCTCGCTCTAGACTGGCCATTCGCGCATCGAGTTCCGGTGGAACTGGAAGAGCTGCAGAAGTTGTATCGCTGGGTACGATAAATCCAGTAGAGACCTGATGAATGGGTTCTGAGGGTTTGGCCATCAATGTCTGCAGTATTGCAATGATCACATCAATCTTCAGTCGATTTGCTGCCTTCACATCCCAACATTTGACAATAAGGTCCCGGAACTCTTTGGGTGTGCCAGGAACAATCTCCTCTCGGTGCCCCTCCATAAGTTCCCGTAACAAGACCGGTTCGCGCAAACGCTTGACAAATGGGATCCGTCCAGAAGAGATGTGCCAAAAGATCACGCCCAGACTATAGATGTCGCATGCTGCTGAATAAACGGGCCGCTGCTGAGGAAACCGTTCAGGTGCCAAAAAAGACGCCACACCCACAGTTGCTGCAACATCTGTCGTTTGCTCCTTGTTAGAGGATCGACTCAGTCCAAAGTCGCAGATCATGGCTGTCCTCTTGTCGTCGAGCAAAATGTTGCCACTGTGTAAATCCCGATGATGAAAGCCGGACTTGTGCAGGAACTCGAGTCCTTTTGTGATTTCAATTGATAGACGATACCGCTCCGACCAAGTCAGGTTATCATGATGCTTCTCCAGAAAGGAACACAAATTCCCGTTGGTGCAGTGCTTCATGACCATGCACCTAACATTCGTGTGGGGATCTGTTGTGACCCCATAGAAAGGAACGATGAAATCGTAATCGTGGACACGCTTCAAGATCTCGAGCTATAATTGTAGCGGTATTAATGGGTGTGTTAATTCTGCTGTCGTTGGCTATTTTTAAAGAATGGCGATAATTCGTACAAAACAATGTGCAGGTGTGTTGCGAGGCAAGCAATGACGATAATAATAATAATAATAATAGTAATAGTAATAGTAATAATAATAACAATAATAATAGAAATAGAGCACTGCCTAGACAGAAGTTTGTGCCAGACTTGGCATGATGACCTACCTCTTGATCAAACTGCTCCATTCCTTCGCTGTGTTCGGGTAGGGCACGCTTCAAGACAACTCGTAAGTGAGACCACTCTGCCGTATGGATCTCGCCGTATCCACCTCGCTTGAGCGGTTGGATGTTGGATATATCCTTGAAGTCGATTTGGCGATATGAACTGACAACGGTACGCTCCAAAATCCTGGTTCTCTCCCGCTTAAGTGTCTCCTGCGTCTCCAGCTCGGGCGTCTCCTGGATTTCTTGACTGAGTGGCAGTGAGTCTTGACTGCTCTTACCCTGGTCAGTGCTGTCCTGCGCATGAGATCCATGATTGTCGTTGCTGCTAGGCGCTTTGTCCTCGTCTCCGTTCTCATCGTCGACCACTAAATGCTCGACTGGAGAGTGTACCTCGTCATCCTCATCCTCATCCGACTGCGATCCTGCTGAGGAGAGAACAGGGGTCTCGTCATGTTGGACATGTGACGATTGAAGGTAGTCGCTCCGTGAAATGGTTGTCTGCAGATGATATCCAGCGCTACGGCCAACGGTATGAGCAACCACGGCAGTGTTATGTCGAAGCGGAGCAACGGCCCCTCGTGGGGTTGCCTGCGAGTTTGGTCGATAGAGACGCGCAGATTGATCCTCGAGCTGGGGATATTGTCCTGCTCGCGTATGGTACTGTTCAGACTGTGTGCGCAAGGGACGTTGCCGTGAAATGGATGTGGGATAGGGTCGAGAGGACGATGGAATGGGCGGCGCTTGTACGCCTCGTATCTGCATATGTCCCTGCGTCTGTGCTTGTGTCTGTTTTTGTATTCCTGCTTCCGAGTCCTCGCCCTCGCCCTCGTCCTCCTCTAAAACACTCCTTAGAGCTCGGTCATCGTTGTCCCTATTGAGATTCAACTCTGTGATCGTCTCGAGGTTCTGGATCCCGGTCCTCTGTGAACTGAGTGCGATGACGGACTGCTGGCTGGTGCTGATGTATTCGACCTCGATCTTGAACGTGGAGTACTGGCGGGGTGGGTTTGAGTTGGGCCGTGCGGCCGAGTGAATAGAGGACCTTCTGTTGAGAGAGGTGGCATAGCTTGCAGCACCCGACATTGGGTGGCTCTCTTGACTGGAAAGGAGAGGAAGTTGGTCGAGGAAGCTGGTCGAGGAAGGTAGAAGGTGGAAGGTGGAAGGTGGAAGGTGGAAGGAAGGCGCGGTATACTATTAATTAATAAAGGATGGAGAAGGGAGAGAAGAAAGAAAAGACAGCGAGTGAGTAAGTGAGCAAAACAGGGCGAACAGGATGCTAAAGGAAAAGAAATAAAGAGCATGTTCATGGTCCATCTTCGTCATACATGTATGTGCTTCATAAACATAGACATATCCATCCATCCGCCCATCGCATCTCGTCCTTACCACCCCCCCCCCCCCCCCCCCCTTTTCTCAGCCTTCTTGCTGGTCTGGCTGTTTGGCGGGCTGCTGTTCATCAATTGACGCTCTCCTCTCTCTTTCTGCTGACTGACTGACTGCCTGACATCCCTGTCTGCCTGCCTACTTGCCCGCTGGTCAAAATCGCCTCTCTCGGCACCCCATGATCGCTCTCCTGTTCTTTTGATTCTCGGTAGCACTGCCATCATACCATATATCTGCTGAAAATGAAGCCCCTTTGCCTCCTCCTCCACCACCTAGGCGCTGTCACATGACCCCCCCACAGCACTTGCGATGGCAAAGTAACAAAACAATTGTGCTCCGAGAAGCTGGCAGTAGCCGAAGGTCATCAGCGATCAACTCCACCCCTCTCTGCTGTGCATCCCTTTCACTCGTCCACTCAAGTAAACTACACACACATATATTCATACCGTGAACCATGTCTGCCTCTGCTGTCGTCAATCCCGTCAGAAACGTGCGTATTTTCCCGGACTCGCTTTACTGGGTCACCTCCACTTTTTCTCGAGGGACTTGTTGACCGTTGGAGCAGCCGCTGACAGTATTCAGGAACGGAACAAGATCGCAATCACGCCCTAGGAGAGAAGCAGGATCACACAACACGCACCATCCACAGCCGGTACGACTCTGCAATATTTCAGGCATGGCAGGATAATACAGCGGTTCTTCTTCGCCAACAGGACTTGAAAACAGTCGTCGTCTCCATTTCGATGTAGTGACACCGCCATCATCGACACAGCAAGCCCACCTACGCACCATTGAATCAAAGCGACACAGGAACAACACTAGAGCAGCATTTTCATTTTCGAATCAGAGGGCCGGAATATCAAACACAGACACTTTATTAGCCTTGACTAACCAGCATATACAACTCTTTTTCGATCTCTCAATCTAAATCAACAGGTTGCCCGCTGGTCAGCATTGGCCTTTGGTCTCGTTTACGGATATGTCCACCATAACTCCTTGGTTGCCTTGGAGCACAACCGCGCCGACCAGATCAAGGCCGAGAACCGCGAGCGTTTGATTGACCAGGCCAAGGCAGAGTGGACAAAGAAGAACACCCCCGCTGGCGGTAAAATCAAGCGAGATTGCTCGGTGCTTTTTTCGTTTCTGTTCCTGATTCAATAGTGCTGATCCAAAGGGCTGTGGTGTACACCGCTCTGCACAAATATATCGAAATTGATTTCCTTGGACTAACACTGCAGTTCCTCTTCTTTTTACAACATAGGTGTCGTCACCGACCCCGAGAACCCCAACTTTGATCTGGAAAAGCTGTTGATCCACCTCTCAGAAACCGCATAAGATTTTTGACTGAAGCACATGGGCATAGAACACTCTCCTCTCCTTATTATGATTGCACTCCAATAAAAATCCGGAACCTCATGCTGACAATCTCAAAGGTGCATGCCCTATGGACAGTCTATCTGTATGTCTGAACGAATGCTTTTGAACGAGAGCGAAAGTAGGCCTTTTTTTATTTTTTATTTTTATTTTTTTTAGGGCGGATCTCTTTTGCCTTCCCTGTGCTAATCAGGATCCAGTATTACAAGAAAGAGTAACACAGGAGGAATCTGTGTCAATCACCCCATTCTCGTAAGCACTCTCTCATCCCGCAGGCTTCCCACAATGGGGGTTTGCTGTAAGCGTTCGTCCCGCGCAGATTGACCGTCAATACGGGTCACTGTGTCAACGATCCCTCCTTTTTTCCTTCTGTTCCCAGGACGCCAATAGCTGTTGGATTCTTATGTGGGAGAGTGGATGAAGAAGAGGGACGATGACTCGTATTGATGAGAGCCCCTAATAACATCGGCCACCGTAGACAGCAATAGACTATGTACGTAGACAGTCATGACGCCATATGCAAATTATGCTGCTGTACCTCTTGTGTATTTCTGTTCATACACAATGAACAATGGGTGGGTATGGTGCAGGGCAAGTCCATCCAGTCTAGGTCTAGTGACAGTGGTGTCAGGGCGGGTCCACATACCAAGCAAAGCAACTCCTTGTCGGAGAAGGTGCAGGTGCATCCCCTGAGTACTGCAGGTAGTCTATGATGTCTATAATATAATGCGAGCAATTGAACCAAAAGAAGAAGCACCGTTATCAGCATTATCAGCTTCATTCCTCCCTTGTTTTCTTTTCTTCGTCGTCTTCATCGCCTTCGCCTTCATCCTCATCACCTCATCACCTCATTCTCACCCACTCGAATCTGGTCACAGACCCCATTCCATTCCATGACTCCGCTCTACTCCACCCTCCCTCTTTGATTGCACCCCCGCATCCCTCTTTTTCTTTATTTTCCGACAATCGCTGTCCTTTTATGTCCTTTTCAATCTATACTCTCCTCCTTTCGTAGCTCATACCACTCCACTCCACCCCACTCCACCCCGCTCACTCTTATCCTATCCATTCTACCCGCGCCCGTCCCTGTCGCCTTGGTCCAAGCACAGCCAGAAACCTACAGTCCGCCAATCTCTCAATTCCCTCGTCTGGGTCTTTGAACGTTGCATGCAACCGTTTAATGTCCTCCTTCAATTCTGTGAGCTACAGTGGCAACACACCAGCTAATACTATTGAACACAGACAGCGTCCCTCGTCTCCTCTACCACCCAAAGATTCTCTTTTCCAACACGCGCACCCACAACATCTGCACCACGATCAACACCAGCGTCCGCACCAGCAACAGCAGCAGGAAGCTCACTATCCTCACCTGCAGCACGAGTACCCATACTCTCATCAACAGCGGGATATATGTGAGATGCAACGCAATGTCAACTTGCTTCCCAACGCCGGCAAAAAACTGACGCTGGCCAGGATCGAGGGCGAGGACGAAGAGTTGGAAGTCATCGGCAACGGCATCAATGGTTCATTCGAATCCCGTTCCTCCAAATCTCGACTCCTGATGAGGTTACCCAATCTTAAGTACAATTATCCAGAGGCGTCTGTGCAGAACTTCAGTCCTGGAACGAGTTTAATATTCAATGCCTTTAAAGGACATGGCGGGCTCCTGACCCAGCCGTACATGGAAGATACCTACGAATCCACAAACGACAACGCGAACAGGCGAATCCTTAACCCACTTTCTCAGGAAGCGGATGTAGAACAGGATTCCCGTCAACGTGTTATTTTTGAGCAACGTGGGAGTAATAGCTACTCCCCATATCATCATCAGCGGACGCTCGAGCACTCGCCCTATCGCGCACCTCATGAGCACCAGTTCCATCCATACCAGATCAATGGTCACAGCGGTGAATTGAAAGACCACCGAGACTACCGTGAGCCGAGAGACGCTCGTGGATATAGCGATCTGCGAGAGCGTGGCAGTCCAAGGAATCGACCGGCCCAGCGGTCGCCTGGGATGGCATCTTCATCAGCAACGGCGCCGCCCGAATCAGCGGGTCCGTCAGCGGCACCGATCGAACAGGGCTATGATAGCCGGAATAGGATATCAAATCACAGGATAGCTGAATACCACGAGCATCTTCGGTCCCGCGGTGATTTCCCGCCATTCCCTCCATCACAGGCACCGCAGCACACGATGCTGGACCCAGCACACATTATAGCACCATCGCACCCCACACAACCGGCGTCGCAATATTGGGACAAACGGAACAGTGACCTACCAGATGCTGCTCGTCCGTATGAACGCAACAATAGTAGCGGCAGCATCAACAGTCGCAACCCACTGTTTCAACCTGTACCACAGCAACGACAACCAGTGGATACGTGGGAAGGCCCTCCTGATCACCAGCCACCCTATGCAACCCCCGCTATTGACATTCCACTGCCGCGTAATCAGGGCTCCGTCAACTATGCCGGCGACTTTGACCATCGCGACTCTGTAGATAGCGGCATGCAGGATCGGCAGGATCGGCAGCACCAATTTTACATGCAGCAACCACAGCCTTCAATGGCTGGTGGATCTATGGGGTCGCCGGGTTTTCGTGCACCTTTTAGTCCACGGACAGCAGGCCCTCGCTATTCGTTTTCGCGGATCAACTATCGCATGGTATGCTCTTGAAACAACGTCTTAGAACATGATGAGGTCCATCCTATGACTGGGTTTCTAACGTGACGGATGCTGTGTGCTTTTTGCTTTTTTAGATTTTCGAATATGCAAGCGAGATTCGGGAGTGCTTGATCAAGGGCAAGGTTGGCACGACCGATCGACTCCTGTACAATGCTGAAATTTTGAGCAAAGTCTTTATGGTATCAAGCAGAAAACTTGCATCCAAAATTGAGCAAGTGAAAAGAGTGTTGATTGGAGGCACTAATTTATGTCTGCCATTTTATTTCCTTGGTTGTTCGTATTGGTAGGGTTGCCGATCTGACGTTGATCCAAACGCACCAGCTGAGGAGGAAACGGTAAGACGTTTTGACTAATGTCTACAGCAATGGAGAGAACTGGGAGGAGGTAGTCAAGGTTCTGTAGTCACGTACTCATATGCTCTTCATGGACAATTGCTCCTTTGCTTAACCATATATTCCAATCTTTAATAGCAGGCTCTCAATCCACATCAACTGCGATGTACATCTTGTAACATTGTCAAGACACCAGAGTGGCGAAAAGGACCTCTAGGTACTTATAAGGCTGAGCTTCCTTCCTCGGTTTGCGATTGATCATGTATTGTAGGATGCTGACGTGCTGGAGTGCACTTTTTTTCCCTTTAGGTCCTCGAACGCTCTGCAACGCGTGTGGGCTGAGTAAGCATTCATCGCACTTCGGGATTACGAGAGATGAGCATGGGTATTGTGCACCGTACTCACCAAGAGGTCTGCTGGCTTTTTTCGTATGGTAAACAATAGTCTGGGGCAAAATGTCGCGGAACAAAGCTGCACTGGTGGCAAAGAACAAATTAGAATTGTCTTTGAAAGCAGAGCCACCTGCCAATACAGAGGATACACAGATGACCGATGCCACTTCAGAGGATCGCGCAGGCACAGGGTTTGAGACAATAACAGTTTCGCAAGCATTGGATCTGCCCAATGGACCCCGCAAGAGAGGACGCGACAATTCCTCGATCCTGAACTCTGAAGATGCCGAGGCAGCAGCCAGGGATGAGGACAAGCAGACAATTGAAGAATCAAGGAGGGAGGTCGAAGCCTTACATCTTACAGCAGGCGGCCATCTGGAAGACCAGAAAATGGGATTTAACGATGACTCTGTACCAAAACCATCATCGCAGGGGCATGCCGGAAAGGCTGTATCAATAATGGAGTGCGAAGCCGAGAAGAATAACTTGCACCAGCTGCATCTCTCCACGGATGGACGGCGCACAGTCCAGTCTGCTCGGAACCTGAATGAACAGGGAACGCCAGTGCCTGAAGGCGTCTCTTGTTTGGCTGCGGATTCTACGGGAGCAGGCAATCAAGAAAACCAGGGTGAAGATGCGTCTACGGAAGGACGCAAGCTTGCCCTTTCGTACTTGCTTGCATAATACAGCTCTCTGACCGTTACTGTTACACTAAGATGTTTTAATTATCTAGGAGGCCACTTTAACCCATACCAACTCCCAGAGATCCGATGAACGATATCCAGTTCTGCTGTCTTTTAATACTTTATACTTTACCTTTGTTTTTGTCTTTGTCTTTGTCTTTGTCTTTTTGTCTTTGTCTTTGTCTTTGTCTTTGTCTTTGTCTTCGTCTTTGTCTTTGTCTTTGTCTTTGCCTTTGCCTTTGCCTTTGCCTTTGCCTTTGCCTTTGTCTTTGCCTTTGTCTTTGCCTTTGTCTTTGCCTTTGTCTTTGTCTTTGCCTTTGTCTTTGCCTTTGTCTTCGCCTTTGCCTTTGCCTTTGCTTTTGCCTTTATCTTTATCTTTATCTTTATCTTTGTCTTTTTTTTTTTTTTTTTTTTTTTTTTACCGTCTCTGTCATGTACAGTTTGTTCGTTGTTTCACTATTATTATTATCCATTATTCATTCTTCACGGACCATACTTTACACTTTACTTGATAAATAAAACACCCTCCTCGGGTGTTCAGGAAATGACACTGCTATTCACTGGCTGATAATCGACAATAGCACATCCCGCGTCCGATCGAGAACGATCAGAAGTGCTCGAGGGTTGTACGGGAATAGATCCTTTTCGTGCAACCGTCGAATCTGGCCAACAAGACGCGTGAGGCAGAGATCGACATTAAACAACTGGGTTCTCGTATTTGGCATGTCGTCGTTGTCGTTGTCGTTGTCGTTGTCGTTGTCGTTGTCGCTATATTCGCTTCGCGAAAGTCGCTTGATCTGGTCGTTGTCCATGGGACCATTGCCGCCTACAGACTGTGTCATACTCTTTTTATCCTCGTCCGTGACTGCCTGCCGCCATCGCGCGACAAGGGTCTGCTGATCCAGCTCTCGCTCTGTAAAGTTCCTCAGTATTGTCATCACCGCCGCAAGCATACCGCCAGTCTCATGGTCGTCCATTGTGAGTAGCAGGTCCAGTAGTGTCAGGCCATCGTACCCGATCGTCTCCAGGAATAGAAACAGGGCCTCGACTGGGTGTACATGACGATGAAGGTGTTCGTATATCCTGTCCAGATATTCCAGCGCAGTGGGTGTCGGTGATGATGCGGAATGGTGACCGTGTGTGGAGTGTAGAAGGTCGTCCAGCCTTTGATGGACCTGAGACATAGTCTTCAGAAGCCGAGAGACGCCTGCATCATCTTCTCCATAAATCATCAGCAGGTATCTCAAGGTTACGGGTCCTGTCCAATCCTCGATAAACGATAAAAGTGCTGGTAAAGACGTCTGAAGTTGCGATGCGTGTATGTCAATGAGATCTCTGCCCCTGGATTCGTAGATATCATTACTCAGGCGGTCCATAACTGCAAGGATATCCAGAGTCGATAGTACTGCGGTCAAAAATACATGACCCAGCTGGCGGATTGCCTCTGGATTTAAGGCCAGTGCCTTTAATGGTTCCTGCTGGATACTTGAGTATGCCGGACTACTGCCCAAAATAAATGTCGTCCCTCTAGAAAAATAATCCAGATGTGGGTCCCGTTCGCTCAGCGCGATCATGAGCTGGTGTGCTATCGGTGCTAGGGACGTGAAGATGTGGATGGGTAGCTCCAGGGCTTGATCCAAGTCGTTCTCCTGCTGCAATCCTGATAAAGGCCGGGCGGAGGATTTAAGAATCAAGCATATCAATTCAAACAGTTTTCTGTGAGCCTGCGGAGCAAACTGAGAAACATTCAGCAGCTACATCGATGCCGACACAAAGAAGCAAGAAAGGAGATGGGCATTCATTCGTCAACGAACATAATACTTTGCAAAACAGACGCCTTTGTAAATAGGGCAAATCAGCGTACCTGATCCAATGAATCCACGATGGCTGCGTGGCAGATTTCAAGATTTTTCCTGACCGATGGATCGTTGCCTGAATTTTCACTGTGGACTTTCTCGATGTCGATAAGGAGTATCAAAAGAACGTGCTGTAATCCCGCTGATTTCAGGAGACCATTGAAGCTCGATCTCCAAAACCTGGATAGTGCCAGTTCGTGCAGGATAATTGGTGCGACGTGATTTTCGTCCGCGATGTTGTCATCATCCTTTTCCATGTTCATCACACGACGGACCAAATGCCTATGATGCTTGAGCAGGCTATGAAATAGCTCCAAGATACCTCTCTGCTGGCCCAAGAGGTCTTCATGAGGGTCGGCCAGTCGCTGGACCAGTCCACGGATCATCTTAAGACGCTGGTGAAGCAATATTACGCGTTCGTTTCCATGTAGATCCATCGACGACCACTGCTCTGAGTGCAGCAATTGGGCCTTGATCAGTCGTTGGACGACAAATTGATGATATACATCTGTCAGTTCCATGAGCCGACTCTAGCGTAGCAGGCAAGGCCATAAGAAATCATCGGAGAAAATTAGGTGCCAATTAGTAAGAGTTACTTCTTGCTGGAGTTCGCTACCAATGGTTCACGTATTGGTCACGAAGTCAGTTTCATACCGCCATATCGATATCACGTAAGAGCGACAGCTGAAGCTCTCCATGTTCGGTCAATTGGACGTGAGAGAGTAAGGCTAGTAGTCCCGTTGGGTCACCTTGGTCAAGCAACTGATATCCGGTGTTCATGCAAAAGGTCAGAAGAATAACATGGCTATCAGTGTCAATGGCTATGTTCCACGAGCATGCGTTCTCTAGTATTGCGCTGAGTCTCACCTTGCGGATCCGTTCGTGCACATCGCAGGTTCGGATCTCATTGAGTGATTCCAGACATTCATTCATTCGCGAGACTTCCAGTCTTCCCGTAAAAGATACCAACAACGACACCAGTGTGAGGAAAAGTGAGCAAGGGAGCTCATTATGCCCTTTGCCCAAGTGGCTTGCTTCAGCTCGTCTTTTTTTTTTTTAAGGGACGATAAAAAAAAAAAACAAGGACACTCTCAAAGACCCCTCTACCTCTTGTCAGCAGTCTCTAACTGGAGCGCATTCAGGAACTCAGCCAACCTCGAAGAACACCGTCTCTGTTTAAACGAAACAAAAGAGCGGCGGCGTAACCATGGAAAAGAACGGGACCGCAGCGTCCTTGGAGCCTGAAAGATTTTCTCACGCCGCCCCGACCTCAGACAAGGCAGGTGGTACCATTCCCGGCTCAACGGCCCTATCTGAAACGACAGCTCCGTCATCGTCATTACCGGCATCGGTCTTGCCAACAGAGAGAGCATCAACTACAGAAGGACCAAAATCAGTAGCCACAGCAGAAGCTCCATCCAAGCGACCAGACTGGGCTACAGGGGATCCCTTTTTCGACACGATGGCCGGTATGGGTTCGCCAGAATACCAACGCTACTACACCGGAATAACCTATAATACCGAAAAGGGTGATAATCAGGACCAAGGCCTTGAGACAGAGGCGGCCGCAATGACACTAGCAGATCAGGACTCAGGGAGTGCGAATAAAACCTGCTCGTCCACAGAAGCCTCGTCACCGGACTCGAATACTGGTCTTGATCATTGGAACCGGACAAGAGACCAATGGACAAAAGGAAGGTGGCATGTGGTCCCAAGTGCCAATAGCAACAATCCAGCCCTGAGCGCCATCAACCCAAAGAACCACGATGCAATATATGACAGTCTGGTGTATGACCGGAAACGACTCTCGAAGCCGATTCCGTTGCCACTGGTGGTAAGCGGCATTCTTTTTTTCACTTTATTTTTTTAAGAAGCGACGCCAAAGAGAGGAAGGCTGGGAGGGTATGTTCTGCCAGGTACCACGTATTTATTATCCCCTCTCTTACCTTCGTGTCATTAGATCAAGGTGCTAGTAAGCGGTTGGAAAAGGGACGGTCTATGGCAAGAGAGTCCGGCACAGCCACCATCAGGACCAGGATCAACCCCGTCTTCAGCACCCTCGCAAGGAATAAACAGCTATGTCCCAGGATTCTCGTCAACCCACTCCCTGCCCATTCAGAAGAAATTGTAAATGATTCGTCTCTGGACCTTCAATAAAGTAATGAGTTATGGGTCTTGAGAATAACTATCTAGCTAAAAATTAGAAGGCGCGTGAGAAAGAGAGAGGGAGAGGGAGGGAGGGAGAGAGTACTACAACGGGACGCATGTTATGCACAGCTCGGGAAGGATTTTGTCCGCAAGCTCCTTCTCACTCTGCCACATGAAATTGAGGTTGATCCGGGTGCTGTCTACTTTGGTGATGTATCCTGTTTTACGAGATACTCAACTCTTCGAATATCAGGACCAGAGCTTTTCAACTCCAGCTTTTTATTTTATTAAGCTGTGTGAGCAAAAAGTGACAGGGCAGGCGCAACCTGATTTGTTTGAAGTCCATCCCTCTTGGAAAAGTCAACTGAATGAACACCAATTGGCAGACCTGTATTCAACGGGAAAAAAGGGGAGCGGGAGAGAATCGGGTAAGGAGAGCTGAAAAAGGCTGACTGACTCCAAGGATATGAATTGAACCATTTATAGTCCTACAACCGCTTGGACTTGTAGGACATTCTGGGCCTTCGTATAGTATCCGGGGTCAGGGATAAAAGTCATATTTTACATTGAAGCACGGTTCTATAGAGAAAGTTGGGAATGCGTAGGAGAAGGGTTGATAAAGTCAAAGGTATGCTTTGGTGAAATGAAGGTGCATTGCAAGGTAGGGAGCGATGGAGAGTTGCCAAAAGACACGGATTTTTATGGGCATCAATGCATGCATGCACTGCCAAAAACGCGAAGCCTGGTGTGATTGATAGCCTGATATATCTCCGTCTATGATTGAGGCTAACTCGCGTCAAACCTTTTATTCATGCGCACAGAATAGACCCCGTGGAACAATGCTAGTGATTTCAATATTTCTGTTCAATACAACATCTCTGACATTGCTCCATAGGGTTGGCAATCGAAGCAGCTTTGCCATTTTCTCTCCCTGCTTTGCAACACTCTTAGCGATGTAGAGCCGGGGGGATAGCGTTCGTATTAGGGGAGCATTTCTTTGTCAGGTACAATTTAACTATCGTTGGTGGGTCTATACATGCCTCCTTGGCGGGGACGTAGGGACAAACGTTATAATTATAAATATGCGCATAATTGGGCAAAGGAATGGATTCAGGGGTATATAATGCGAAGACGTGCTCGAATGCCAGTCGGAGAATAAGAGGGCCTTGCCTCCAGAAGAGGGTGAGTCCGCAACCGTCGAACTGATCTTTCCGAACATGGTGCTCTATATCCATCGGTAACCATGATCGTGATTCATCATGAACAAGAGGATATGCCAACGAGTACCGATCAGTGATTTTTCGCCGCACGCCTCTGCAATGTACCGCATCTATGACATGAGACTTAATAGACCATCTAGATCTCTTTAATTGGGGAATACAGAGGTATGTATTCCATGAACAGTATTTTGCTTGTGCTCTGAACGGGCGGGACAGAACGCGATGATGATGGTGGCAAAACAAAGGGCTTAGTACTCGGATAGAAGTACAGAAATGCGACCCACGTTTTTTTGCTTCGAAGATTATAGTTGCGGACCAGAAGTTACTTTCGCCACGAGGAACAAATACGCAGCCTTTTATTATTATTATTTTCTAAATGCCGATCCCTTCCCTCTCACGCACGATACATTACAAAGCTGACTGGCCCAGCAAGCAACACTCCTGCCACGCGAGCAGAAACTTTTTAAGGGGGAGGATGATGATATATGAGGATCTGAGAGTTTGCCTGCCCCCACTTTTCCTGCCCAAGTTTCCTTCCCATGCAGGAAAAACCCCCCATTAATCTCAATCCTCCTTCCTTGCGCTCCTCCTCTTGTGTCTGACCGCGAAGGAGACATGGCACCTTTCCCGCTGGTCATCTGCCTCTTACATGCACGCCGCCTTGACTTTGCTAACCAATCCGGCAAAGGTATATCCGAATAGCTAACCCAATTGCTTCTTACCAAAGTTCAAACCAAAACTCAACCCTAGCCTGCGTCTGCATGCCTGTCAAATGCAGAAGGATCAAATATCAACACTTTTTTCTCATACCTCTTGGGGCAAACGCCCCACATCCTTTTCACGGTAAGATTGGATGAGCTCAAGATTCTGGAGAGCGAGATTGACTTCATTAAGCAGCGCATCGCGTTTGTAGCATTATTCTCGTTTTTTTTCGCCACAAATCATTTGGTTGTGTTGCTGCTTAGCCAATTGAAAAAAAAAAAGGCAGACTCAGTAAACAAAGGATATATATATATATATCTTCGAATAACAACTATCGTTCAGTGGGCGATCTTGAATCTCGGTAAGTCCATAAATCGACGGCATGCAGTCTTGAAGAATACAGGAGCGCCGGGAAGTTTTTGACCATAATGCAATGGCTGGAAACCAGACGGCATTCTGTTCAACCTTGATCCGCAGAAAGTTATTCCTTTCTTGCTTCTTTCTTACGACTTCTTGGGGTTTTAGTATATAGAACAGCAAATATTAATTGCAAGCATTTGCAGGTCTTTCTCTTTTCTTTCTGCTTGCTCTTCCTTCAACGGGGTTGGTTTCAAATGAGCGTGGGGTAGACCTGGCCATCGAGTGTACACTGCGGTAGACCTTAGGGTAGAGCACACAAATGGGACACGCGCTTCTTGTTTGTTTGTTAGCAGGCTGGTGCATGAGATGCATTGCCCTCCTGTCCATTGTGGGCCTGGCAACAAAAGGGATGAGGAGGGGGGGATGAAAGGGGCGGTTGTACAGCATTTGTTATTGCGAAGGCTGGTGCAGATGGAAGTGTGCATTGTTACGATCAATGGATGCTTCGCGCGCACTCCCAATCCATGAAGAAAAAGGAAAGAGAAGGAGGATTCAGAAGGGAGACGACTCGAGGGCTAATTTATGCTTCGTATTCATACATCATTCATATTAAATTCTTCGGACATTCTATTTGTCCAATCTCGCAAAAGCGTGCTGATATTTTTTTCTGCTTTCGCACTTTTTTTTCTTTTTCTTCTTCTTCATTACTTCCGTTTCTGCTCGACTTCTCTTTGCTCACCTTCTTCTCCCTCCCCTTCCCTCCTCGCCGATCCCACCTAATCTCTTCCATCTGTCGATCTTTACGAGAGAACATACCATCCAACTACTCATTCCTCAAACAGTCTTTCATTGGCGATAAACACGCTGTGTCTCACAACAGATCCAGGAACCAATTCCTCTTTTCATCCTTATCTCTTCCCTGCTAGGAAATACCTCCTATTTGCACCCACAGCTGCCCCTCTGCTCCTCCACTCATCCATCCCTACTGTTCGCACACGCAAAACCCTTTGTCGAACTCTTCCCTTTATTCTTCTCTGCTCAAGCCATCAAAAGTGGTAAGTCCTGCACTGTATCTAGCCGACTTTTTTATTCTTTTCAACCTGGTCCGCCTCTTTCCCTCTCCTTGGAACAGATAAATGGTCAAACATACGCCCGTCCGATCATACGGAGCTGCAGCTTGCAAACGAGTCGGTGGGTGAATGCCGACGCAGCTGAAAAGATTGAGCCGAAGTGAGGAGAAAGGGATGAGCATTACCACCCCTACCGATCATCCTGTGTGACATAACAGTCGCATTGCCGTGAAACCTGAATATTCTTAGCGAATGGGCGACTTGGCTAGTTTTTGCTATAGCTTTATTCCTTGCTCGTCTCCCGTTGTGCATTATTCTAACGCACGGTCTCCATCATCCTTGACATGTAATAGAGCAACATCTACTGAACACCTGTGACTCTGTGGTAGCGATCGACTCAATCAACCGAAAATACACATCCATGCCTCTGACGCGCCCACCGCCAGCCATGTTGAGCAGCCGCAATGACCCCATTCCATTTAGCCCATCGATCCACCCCACTATCACCTACACACTTACAGCAGGAGGTGTCTTGACACCAAAGGTCAAGTGCACATCAGAAAACAAGAAGGAATGTTATACCTTCCAGTCCAAGTCCGATAGTAGTAATAGGAGCATGACAGTCAAGGACCATAAGAGTAACCAAGTCTGCAAGGTCAAAAGCAAGGGCGAATATCTCCTGGACCTCTATCTCACCACAGATTCAAAGGACATCAATGTCCAATTCCGAGATATGATTGCTTTCAAGAAGGCCGTTGAAAAGAATTCGCTCCAGTACAAGAAAGCTTCATCGACATATTCACCCGAGTATGACTTTGAACGGCCTGAGCGATACCTCACGGACAGTGGACCAAACAGCATCTGCTGGGCATTTGAATTTGAGGGTCGAATTTACCAGTGGACCGCGGGTAACGGTCAAGGCATTCTGGCTCCACCAGGCTCCGATGTGCTGCTGTGTCATACGACTAGTCTTGGGCCAGCCACGAAAGTGGCCAAGCTACAGAGTAGCCATACGGGGGCCTCGGATAAGCTGATCATCCATTCAGCATCGATTGCCAGTGTTGTCGACAAGACTGGGCTCCAGATTCTTCTCTTGACCAGCGTGCTCAGCCTGATGGAGATTATGAACGAGAGGAGCCGGGAACTCGTAGACTTTGATTAGGATGGAGCATGGCGATCCATACTTTATTTTATCTGCTCAGTTCCTTGGGGCGCTCTTACCGTCTTCGTCTGAATACTTCAGTTCTGTCCATGTCTTGTCATATTTCTTTCTCGCTCTCGTTTTTAATGGTTGTTCTTATTCGTCTTCATCCTCTTTTTTCTTTTGCTTTTTATTTTTTTGTAACATACCCGTCCTTTCATATATTTTTTTCCAATTGGTCGCTTTGCATTTACTCTAGACCAGGCATTCTTTATCTTTTTTTCTTTGAAAAGCACAGTTCGTTGCTGGATAATAAAATGTACAATTATGATAATATCAGCAAGTTGCAAGATGGACAAGTGATATAGACTGTATTAATGAATGGTATGGATGTGCCTGAGCAGTAAATTGGGCTATTTGACAGAGCAGCGAGTTTGCTCCGCATGGCCAAAACGAGCAACAGAATGAGATACACCTCGACGTATGGCGGTGCGCATGTGAAGCGCCGTTCAGGCCGTTCATTCGCATGGATGGTACAGGTCCGCGTTTTGAAACGGTCTTCTCACGAACATCTTCGAGCTGTAAGCTCGCAGGGAGAGGGAAGACCATGCAGAGGTGTATATAGACCGCTGGCTGCACGCGTTCCTGAACCTGAGAGCCATTGTCCCTGTTACAAACTCGATACAAATACCATACGCCTACTAGCGGAACTTGAGCCTACCTTTGCCCACTCTCTCTCTCACACACACACACACACACTCTCTCTCTCTCTCTCTTCCTCACACTGAATCCAATCTCTTTCCCTTCTCATCTGCCGAATGAACTGATCCCCTCTTACATGAACTATCCCTGGCAACTTCTCATCTCTTGACACCCCTTTGTGCTGACCAACTTTCACACCGCCATTCTTTTTCGCCACTCCGTCTACTGTGCTCGTCTCACCTTTGACTCTCAAGTCTTCAAGTTGAGTCGAGGTGCACCACTCAGTATTGGACAATTAACAAAGCGACGGATCCATTTGCCTCTCAGGCTGACCTTCTCCATATCCAATCTCTCCTCCCCTTCTTAAAAACAACACATTGTTACCGGTCCACTGTCCTGTCTTCTTCCACAGTGCTCTGATCATGGACAAAAAGGAGGGAGCAGCCGACTTGACAGAACATTCTTCGCCCTCAGCACTGGCCCCACCTCATGCTGCGCCTGCTCGAAGAAGGTCCAAGTTAGCATGCGATACATGCCATTATCGGTGAGTGCACATCTTGTTCTTCCATGGCTAGAAGCTCCGCAATTGACTCTGAGATAGGTGAAAAGGCAGAGAGCGCACTTGGGATTGGGGAGGAAGTCCATGGATGAATTTTTCAACACGACTCTCTCAGGGAATGCTGTGGCGAAGGTCGGATAATGAATCGGCCGAGGCCCTGCAAAGGCCCAGTGTTCAGCAATTGCTCAGCAAGTAGCAACATGACGTCCCCTTACACCCCTCTGCGCCTTCCTACTGACTTCCTGCGTTTATATGAAGAATTGTTATCCAAGCTATCGCTGCAACATGAGCCGCTGTCAGTTGACTTTGTGTGGACAAAGTTGTTGATGCTCCGCCCAATTGACAGGATCTGGGATTGAGCTGCGTAGCCGAACTTGCCGAAGTGTTTGCGGTTGTCGAGTGTATCAAACTCAAAAAAAAAAAAACGCTGCGTCGGGTTTCAACGCTGGGTGTTTGAGATTTTAGTAACTTTTGTGGTGAAATTACTGAAGAGAATGGAAAAGGTGTCCTGAGAAATGTTTGTGCCCGGGAAACGAGGCGGCCGTGTTGCTTTGGCATATTCAGGAGTGATTGGCAATGGAACGCTACTATCATGCATCCTCGCGTCTCCTAAACCACAAATTCTCTGTACTCTGCCGGTATCGGTGCAGCAATGCGTTCTTCAGACGACTAACGCCGTCATCCTTACTTTGAACCAACGCTCTGTTGCGACTCGTAGGAAAATCAAATGCGATGTTGAAAAGGGTCACCCTTGTAGGAATTGTGAAAGGAGCGCGGTGCAATGTACACTGGTTGGACCAAGCATGCGTCCCCCTCGCAACATATCAGGGTCTACATCAGCAGCAGCGGCGGCAGCAGTCGCTGTTGCCGTGGCCACCGCAGCAGCAGCAAGCGCGCATTCAGGAACCGGATCAGTGTTTAACGGGCCGGGGACTGAAGGTGGTCCTACTGGCGAGTACGGGACGATCTGGCCGACGCAGGTGGAGATGCAAAGTATGGATGGTCAAGGAAAAGAGGCTGGAAGCGTCAGAGTGCCTGGTTTACTCGTCAGAAGGGCCAGTGCATCCGGTCAACTCATGCGAGCAGACGAAGTCGAATCGAGCAGTGTGGACGCTGCTGGGGGTTCAGAGCCTAAAGGAAAGAGAAGCCTTATGAGCTCCTCCTCTTCTCCAACATCACTTCGAGCGCTGTTCAATGCTGGTGCCGCTGTCGCCCGCTCCGCTTCATCGGCCTCATCACCGCCGGAATCCCATACGGGAACAATCAACATCACCAGTTCGATTGAGGGCACGTTGAACAGCCAAGGCGTCGCTGTACAGGATACACGCGCAGAGATGGCAGGAGACGCTCCCATTGTTGCTTCTTTCGACTATTTTGATCAACCGGTTACGTACTCAGAGTCTTCCAGCAGCTCGTCCACACCCTCTGGTGCCTTGATGAGCAACGGCATCGCGAACTTCAATTACCCTGTGGATGCCATGTCTAGCACAGTTGCGCACCTGATCTCGCCGCTTTCCTCTCCTCTATGCCATGCTCAGCCGTCGTCACTACCGCCCACACCGCTCCACCTCATAGCAGAAAGGCTACCAGAGAGCATCATCGCCGGCACATCAATCAATGGGCCAGGAAGATATGCTCCAGGCAATCCGCAGTTCCAGTCGTCAGTGTCTCATTCTCGACATAATGCTCCGCGACGGGCGTCTAGCTCTTCCTATTTGCCCTCGCATCCTTCCACGGACAGTGATGTCAAAGTACAGCAGCAAGACAGACGTACCTCAGCCCCGTGGACCACCCATAACTACTCACAATCTCTACTATATGAGAATCGGCATTTAGCGCAGACGCAGACTGGATCTAGTGGCGCCACAAGTCAGCAATATGGAGCAATACATTCCCATGTGAAGCACGCGACTGCAGAGGACATCCACCCTTATCCGACACAATCTGCACTCATGCGTTCTAACAGCACACCGGCTGCGCTGCGGTCGCCTCTTAAATCGCTTAACAGGAATCGCCACAGTGCTTTGCCTTCACGGCGGTCTCACATCGGTCCAACAAGGCATTCATTAAACCTGTACGCGTCGACTGACAAAGTCATACAAGATCTTTCGCTTCCGCAGCAGCTCTATCGACACTCAGCCTTGCCTCAGCGAAACAACAGCAATATGAGCCATTTACAATTTCATCTTCACCTTCAGCAAATCCAGCAATCCCAGCATCATGGGCAACGCAGCCAGTCTTTACCGCGGCACCAATCGGAGCAACCTCATAGTTCGTCGTTGCAGCAGCAGAGTGGGCACGGCGTACCGCAATGGCAGCAAGGATATAGTATTCGGCAGCATCCCCAGGAGAGCGATTTGCATTTTGGAGTGGGTGTCAGCAATTCAAGGGCAGACCTTATTTTGAGCTCGGAACCTACGTCAATGGCTCAGGGCACGCAACAGGAATCCGATGCTTTTTCATCTATTCGACCTACGGATGTTCTGTCTCCCATCGGCATCCCTTGTTCCACGCAAGCAAACACAGACAATCTTCGGTCCTTTACCACCCATATGAATGCTTCGTTCGATCCAAACCCGATGGAAAATGCGACCTCGAGTCCCAGTGTAGGCAACATATCTCAGCACGATTTGCTGTCACGGCAGCAGATCCATCAGCAACCGTCCTCGGACGAGCAGCACCCTAAACTTCAGTTTGCTGCTGGATATGTATGGAAGCAGGAGGATGAACCTGATCGCGTTGTTGGCCACACCCGACACCAAAGCGCCTCTCAAGTCTACTCTCAACACCCACCGCAGTTCCAGTCATCGGTCCAGGAAAGGACTAACTGGACGCGATCACTACAAGACCTCACACACTACACCACGACCCTGGTTGATCGGCAGCAGCGATTGGCGGATCAAACGCAACTTTTACGACAAGAGTCGTCTATGGCTCAGGCTCCGGTACTCGATCAGTCAGCACCTCAAGACAACTTTGGTGCTTCATTAGCATTGGACCTGGATGATAACCTGCGACTTCTAGATGACATGGACATCGTGCCAGAGTACAACGAGTACAACGAGATCTCTCGGTCGCCACTCGCCTCTGCCCACAACGGAAAGGATGTCATGCTTCAAAACGTAGCTGGGATACCAAGCCATCTGGAGCAAACGCTGGTTGGATCAGCACCGGCAGCCGTTTTGAACCATCCAACGCAGCGCTCGATTTTCAGCGCTGTAGCTGGACTAGGACCAACCTCTCAAGATCAGCTGCATCTGAATACACAGAGCATCAACAACGCTCTAGGACAGTGTACAGAGGTCCTGCATTTCCATGGAGACCCTTACATCGACACGCTGTCGTTTCTGGACCTGTCCGGCACTTTCATGGCCTCGACAACGGCCTCTATGAATCCGGTATCTTCTTCGTTACCGAACACGAGCTATCTGGATCTTCAAAGCGATCGATTATACTACAACTTCCTACAAAACCACCAGCAGCAACAACAGCAGCAGCAGCAACAGCAGCAGCAGCAGCAACAACAGCAGCAGCAGCAACAGCAACAGCAGCCTCTCTCTTCCAATCTCCATAACTCAATCATACAGCTTCCCCATGGACATCAGCAGCCTCCGCCTCCAGGGCCGCAGCCGCAGCCACAGCCACAACAGCATATCATCCATCACCAGCATCATCATCATCACCACCATCACATTCATTAGTGGCTTCACGTTCCCTTCGTCGTTTCTAGCTTCTATATTTTGCAGTTTTTTAAACTTCCGACTGCAGAGACTTCATACGATAGTTCTCGCCACGATACCTTATTTTTGTCCGCCATGTAAAAATGTATGATAAAAGTTTTGAAAGCCTTGACTTACTCCATAAACCAAGGGGCGCGATTTCTACGCGACTCTTCAACATCCAGATGCAACCGTATAGCGTGCCTTGTAATAGAGTGTCTATCGATACCGTGTTACTACCGCCACGCTGTGCATTCCACATGAGCACGAGACGCATGGTCCGCAAAGGCCTTTAAGTCCTAGATGTCTTCTATGCACGGCGCCACGTTGTACATTCTCCTTTGCTTAGAAAGTCGAAAAAAAATTTAAGACTAGAATATGCTCTTTATCAACATCGGAATCAATAAAGAAGAGCTTTGCCTCCTCAATCCCCTGCGCAATACTTATAGATTATGTCTATTTGCCTTTTGCTTCTTCTCCAATCCCCTGCATAGATCCTCGTTCCTCCCTTCCCCCACTCGTCCCGTGCAGGCACAACTTTATTGACCATAGGCTATATGGATGGATATTTCCCCTTCACGACCTTCTGGGTCATTTTCACGGTCATCACAGCTGTGTTCGGCTTCCTAGTCATCGGTGTCTGCTTCTGGTTCGGTCTCCGTAGCCGCCGTAGGGCAAGCGAGCACTCCAAAGTCATTGGAGTACACATCACGCCAGGCGAGGTCATCTCTCCACTCACAACCGGTCCACATCTCCAATATCGGCCCGATACGGTTCTGCCGACCTACACCACGACGACTATCGCTGGTGCATCCTTGTTCCCTGGCGAAGAGTTGGTGCTTGTCCCTCGAAGTGCACTGCAGCATCACAGCAACATCCAGGTGATACCACTACCATTACCAGCTCAACAACGCCAGTATCCTTATCCACAGCCAAACCCGTCCGTGCTTAAAAATCCATTGACGAACACACGGCAGACGACGAGTATGGAGGCTATCCGCGAGTCGTCAGGCGCCTATCTTGCTCGGCCTGATTTGTCGCCTCAGCAGCAACAGCAGCAGCAGCATTCAAGAGAGGCAGCACTGAGAGAAGGAGGAGGAGACGCCACAGAATTGAGCGAGGCCGCGGCTACAAACAAATCTTCATAATAAAGCACTATGTTTTTTTTTGTTTGTAAGGTTGGAAATGACATGTGCGGCTACAGCTCCGCCGGTTCGACACCGGATACGCTCACAAACCAAGCAAACCAAGCAAAGCAAGGTGCTGGCATTCCCTCCTGCTTCTCATCGCGACATCCTACGAATCCTTCCTTCTACCTTCAACAGTATAACCCTTCTCGATTCATTCAGGTCATTTGAGTTACTTCCTTTGACACCGTTTTTCGCATGACGTCGAGTGGCGGCAACTCAGACGGCTCGGACTCTGGTTCGAATTCGGCTGCGAGTGCCGGCTGGACTACAGGCCTGAAGAACTGGCGGTCGATTCTCCCTGGATATGGCTCCAAATCAGATGAGGACAATACCGTACCTGATCCCGACCCGGGCAGTCATCAGGTTACGGACTATCAGGAGGGGGAACGCAGAGATATCCATGGGAACCGTATCCAGCTCGGAAATCCCCAAACGATACCGGCAGGAACACTACCGCAGTCTGAGGGCGCAGCGAACATCAAAGACTCTCCTCATTTCGCTATCAAGGATCAATCCATTCCTTCACCGCCCTCAATTGCTCCAGCAAATATTCCAACACGCCATTCAGTCGAGCCCACTGAGTCCAAAGTCGAGGAGGTTATTTCCAAGGCAGTTGCGAAGCGCAGGAAAAACGTTGTCCTACCCGATTACTATGAGCAATTCCCCGATGTCCTACCCAGTCTCTTGCTCACCGTACCGGTCGGCTCAGGCGACGTGGCCATGATTTCTCAAGCAACAGGAACAGCAATGGCATCGATGAACGCCACTTTGTCGGGAAGGGTCTCTTCGATGATGAGGGGTGCTGTCAACGCGGTCAGGTCCTTACTCTTTCTCCCAAAACTGGCGGGCCCCGCAGAAGCTCAACCTGGCACTCGAGACACACTTCAACGAGGAACGCAGGGTATCAGGAAGGTTGTCATTGTTGGCGTCCACGGATGGTATCCGCGAAAGGCGATTCGGACGGTGATAGGCGAGCCAACAGGGACGAGCAAGAAGTTTTGTGATGAGATGCAGCTTGCACTCCAGGATTATCTGCGTGCCCACGGCAAACATCTTGAGCCCAAGGACGTTACAATAATCCCGCTGGAAGGAGAGGGAAAAGTTTTGGATCGGGTTGAGCTCTTACATCAGAGTTTGATTGGGAACCAAGCATGGAAAGACGCTCTTCACGAGGCGGATTTGGTCCTAGTTGCAACACACTCTCAGGGAACGCCAACCAGCGTCTTGTTAGTGGCACGCTGGATTCAGGAGGGTCTTTTGCGGGTCAAGGAGGATGATCCCAGAATGCAGAGGATCGGCATTTTGGCCATGGCTGGGGTCTCTCATGGACCTTTCCCGTTTCTGAAGGGAAATCTGATCGTGCGATGGTTTGAGGCTGAGGCGGCGGGAGAGCTGTTCGAGTTCATGGACTCGGAAACTCGTATTGCCAGAAAATATCAAGAGGGCCTGCGGATAGTGCTCTCGTCCGGTGTCCGGTTGACTTGTGTGGCATCGTTGGAGGACCAGGTTGTGCCATTGTACTCTGCAGTCATGACATCGATTCATCACCCATCCATCGTACGAGCAGTATATATTGATGCAGCCAGTTATCAGAACGATTTCCTGATAAACCTCATTGCCTTCTCGCTGCGGCTTCGGAATGCCGGCGTTGATGACCACGGTATCTTGGTGCACTTGAGCGAGGTTATAGCCGGCAGTCTCTATGGCGAGGGACACTCGACTATCTATGAAGAGCGGGAGGTGTACCTGTAATTTTCTTCTGGTGTATTAACTATCGACAGCTATACGAAATGTTTGCGGAGCGAATTCTAAAGTTCATCCCTTTCATTTCCGTCTATCCTAGACTATCTATTCGATCATTGCTCGAGCCACCTGCAGGTCTGACCTCGGATATGGCCAGGAGCGAGCCCATCCTGCATCCTTTCAGGGCCAAACAGCGCCTCAATCCATTTTATCTTCCATGGGGGATGCGCGGGATTGCAGACGAGATTATGGCTCGTGGAGATCAGGTTTTGATCAAGGAGCTAGAGCGACTGAAGAAGCTGTACATCCAATGGAATCCAGTTACCAAGGGCATGAAGGAGATCAAGTACCGCTTAGAACCAGTACGCTCCAAACTATGAGACCGTAATAAAGAACAAAAGTAGACATGACGATCCGTGACATAGTTATATCTGGCATTTTATTCATGTAGGCCTGGTCGCTCTGAATAGTTGAGCGTGTACGGCGTCCTTGTTGATTTTGTGCAAGTCCCATTCACGAGGTGCTGATCTGGGCGGTGCTGTTTTGGAAGGAGAAGACCCCGGCGACCGCGAACGGGATCTTCTTTGGTGCCTCTTATCAATGGAACCATCTTCACCATCGGTCTCACTACTTCCTCTACTCGAGTCCCAATCTCTGTTTCTTCGAGATGATGCCTTGTACCGTTCGTGACTCTCTTCCCTGCTGACTGTACTGCTACTGTGGGAATCTTTGTGTCTCTTTAACCTATCCTGACTTGGGCTCCTGCTGCGTATCCCGCTGCTACTTCTGCTGCGTTTGGTCTTGCCCCTGCTGGACTTGCCTTTGTTCCGACTATCCTCAGATGAATCGTCATTATGGTGTCTCCTCCGTCCTGATCTCGAGCGTCGATGTTCACCGCGGTACCGCTCTCTGTCTTCTGTCCCTTCGTCTTCTGAGTTCGAGTCGTGATGCCGACTTTTTCGCCTTTTCGATGACCCAGATGACCTCTCAGACTTGCTCTTTTTGTGCTTCCGCCGCCTCTCATGATCCCTGCTGTCCTTGCTCTTTCGATCCTTCTTTTCCTTCTTCTTATGCTTCTCCTTCTTCACTGCTTCATCTCCAGAGCGGGTGTCCAGCAATGGGTCGTATCCCTCCTCAAAGTACTTGTCCATCTTCGACCCCAATCTTGATCCCGAGGCTAAGGAGGACGAATTTACATGGCTGCTATCATATTTCCGGGACCCCCGTCCACGCACTTTGATTTTGTCCCCAGTATCCGATGCTGGTGACCGTGACCGCAACCTCGTTCTCGGCGATTCTGATCTCGACTGTGTTGAGGACATGAGCTCGATTTCATCTCTTCCTTGCCTTCCTTGTACCGGCCGGCCATCTCGTTTGCCTTCTCTATCCTGGCTTAGCTCTCGTCTGCGTCCTGCCGCCCGTCTATCCAGATCTGCTATCAGCTCCTTGGCCATCTCTGTCGCTCTCCTGTCCTCTGCGCGAATCAACGCCTGGTTGTGATCGTCCGTGCTCTTGATGATTGAAGAAAGAAATCGTTTGTTGGTTTTGAGGCCATTGCTCTCGGTGCGGTCGATTATGACACCCGATCCCAATTGTGCTTTGTCTTCGCTATCAGCATTGGTCAGGCCTGAGGGGGTATATGCAGCAAGGCCGACGGACTGGTATCTGTTGTGGGCCTTGTTGGCGGACTTCATGATCATATCAGCCACATACTTGTCCAGGTCCTCATCGGGCACTTCTTCATGGCTTCCACCGATGGCCGCACGCACCAGGTTCGAAACGATGGACGAAAGAGTGTTGGAAGGCTGCTGGTCCTGGGACGTTTTTTTCTTTTCTGTGCTCATAGGATGGGGAGGGGATGAGTAGCGGGATTAGGCTCGACTTCATCAGCCCAAATTGAATATTCGTCAGCTGATCTCGAGCTTGCCCGCTGGAGGAAACCCTAGTTGGCTGTGCTTTTTGCTGTCGCCGCCTGAAATCATTCCTATTCTTTCCTTGGCCGCCATGCGGAGTTCGCACTTCAAGAAAAAAAGAAAAAAGAAAGAAAAAAACTCTATCGTGAACATAAAAAGAGCGACACCATAAGAATCCCTTTGCTCCCACTTTCGAATTCCTGCACTCTCTCTCAACTTCCTATCCCACACTACATCTCAACGCATTCCTACCATCCAAACATAAAAAAAAGAAGAAAAAGCATCATATCGCAATGAATCTCTTTCACATCAAACAGCAGGACAGGATCGGCTGGATCGGTCTCGGCGAGATGGGCTACAATATGGCAAACAATCTGCAGCGTTATCTTGCCTCGCGTTCCCTAACCATGACGGTGTGGAACCGCACCCCAGAAAAGTCCAAAAAGATGCACCACCACGGAGCCCGCATCGCTAAATCGATTGAGGACCTCGTTGCCCAAAGCAATATCATCTTCACATCTCTTGCCAACGACACCGCTGTCGAGGAGATATACGAAATCCTGTTCGATCTCGCGGGCCAAGTCGACCATTCCATCATCTTTGTCGAGACCTCGACTATTTATCCTGCCCTGGCCACCAAACTCAAGGAGCGCCTCGCGGTGACTCCACAGCACACCTACTTGCAGTGCCCTGTCTTTGGCCGCCCTTCTGCAGCCAAGGCAGCCAAGCTGATCTGGGTCACAAGCGGAGACGAAAAGGCGATCAAGAAGCTGTGTCTGTACTTTACGACCATGTCCAAGAGTATCATCCATCTCAAGACTACGGACGTTGCCCGCGCGTGCTCCTTCAAGTTGATTGGCAACTTTTTCGTGGTTGGGACTATGGAGCTCCTGGCTGAGGGACTAACCCTAGCTGAGAAGGCCGATGTCGACCAAGGATCCATTCTCAAGTTCATCGAGGCCTTCTTTCCAGTCCCCTCCTGGATCGAGTGCAGCAAACAAATGACCCAAGGGACCTTGATGAGCAAGGACACTGGATTTTCGGTCGACATGGGGCTGGAGAATGTGGGACACATGCGACAGCTGGCGCAAGACACTGGGGCTTCTTTGCCGACTGCCGATTTGGCATACAACCATCTGCTGGCATTGAAAGAGCGAGGCAAGGGTGATCAGGACTGGAGCAGCATGATCAATTCCTTGCGAACCTCACCGGCATCATCGAGACGGCAATCTGAAGATTCGACACTGCAGAGAGACGGAGCCGAGGAAATCGATGTAAAAACTTGCGAGGACTGCCGCCCACCTGCTTATGACGCAAATTAAGGATGACGATGATGCGATAGCTCGATAAGTGAAGAGGCACCTTTTAGATACCCCCGCGCAGCGTTCTTTTATACCAACATTCCCCGCATTTCCTTGTCTTTTCAAAGACAATTACATACGCGCATTCTTAATAAAACCGAGCTCCGCTGCTGCATGAAACCATTTCAGCATTGGAGAGCATCTTTTTATCTTTTCCTTTTTCCTTTTGCTCTTACTTTTGCTCTTCATTCTCCTCTCCATTTTTTTTACGGGCAAGTTCCACCATCGACGCCACCAAAAAAGAAATAAAAGATGCTGCGCCTTGACCAAGCATATCGGTTACTGTATACGAACTTTATTTCGCATTCGTACACAACAATGATTGGCAAGCCTTCCTTTTAGCAGGGCCTGGAACCGGCATTGGACTAAAGTTGGTCGGTTCTACTTCTGTGAGGATGTAAAGGCCCTGGGTGAGACCAGACAAGTACCAAACCTACCTGGCATCTTATCCCGCAATAGGCTACGAACCGCTCGCCCAACAGGTGCCCTGAGACCCCACTCACACCGGTCTAATTGACGTACCAAGTTTGGCAAATATACGGCACAGGAGGAAGCGAAACGTAGTGGAGGAAAGGACAGGGGTCGATATCTTTACGCTGGTGGTGTTTCAATTTGGACAGGGGAATCTGAACGAACGAGAGACTGCAGCTGCGAATTGCAGCTGCTGGCACGTTGGGCCCCGGATTCGGAGCAGCCCAGTGATTCATTCATACGAGTGACCCCGACCTCGCCCTGTGAGTCTTCTGGATCTGCGACCAGTCAGGACTGGCTACTGCTGCGTTTAGGGCCGTCGACCGTAAACGGCATTTTATAGTCTTCACGAACTATAGTACAGGGCTACGTCAGGACAAAGTTGCAGGCGAGAAAATTACATGGGTTTCAAGGGCTCATTGGTTGATGCCACGGCCCCCATGCACTAGGCCCAAGCCCTATATGGTGGTGCGGAGTGTGGGCGGTACCTGAAAAGGATGCACAGGGCAGCATGCCATGAACCATCGGAGTTGCTGCAGCGTATTATGCAACTAAGAAGCGTATAAAAGAGGCCGGTGCCCTGGTGCTCTTTTCAAATCCCCATCCTTCCCTTGCCTCGACAAGCAAACGCGCCTTTCCTTAGCCTCCGGCCCTACCACCCCACGCTACTTTTCGCAAGTCATCATCATCGTCACCGTTACCTACAAACTTCAACCTATTCTCTTACCTTTCTAGTCTACCACACGTATAACGCTCAAAATGGCTATCTTCTACAAGCTCGCTATCATCGCCACCGCCACCCTTGCCACCATGGTCTCGGCCGCTCCCGTCTCCAAGACCAACACCACTGCCACTACTATCACTCCCGTCTCGGCTGAGGCTCCTACTCGCAATACTACTGCTACGTTGACTTCTGGGGCAGACCAGGAGTTGATCTTGATCCAGAGCATAGCTGCCCCTTTCAGCGGCCGCGGTACCTGGTTCACAGACTCTGTTGGATCCTGCGGAACCCCCTTCAACACGAACGATTTGATCGTCGCCATGAACGCACACCAGATGGAGGGTACATCCCAGTGTGGTAAGTCCGTCAAGATCACGTCTGGAGGCAAGACTGTCACCGCCCGTGTAACCGATACCTGCCCTGCCCAGTTCTGCGCCCCCGGTTCCTTGGATCTCAGCCAGGCCGTCTTCAAGAGGTTGGCCCCTCTCAGCAAGGGTGTCATCAGCATCCAATGGGATTTTGTCTAAGCCAAGAAAACAATACCCAAGAACCGTTTCCTTCTGACCCTGGGCTTCTTACGCAGGCCCGATGTACATGTACTTTACCCTTGTAACAAATACCACATTTTTGAGAATATATACAAACAAACAAACAATAAACCCTATAGAAGAGGTGGAGGACTACCCATGCTGGCCCATGGTCTTCTTTTCTCACATTCACATCAACCATGTGGCAAAATTGTTTGTTGATGCAACAGGGGTGATTTTTTTTTTGACTTCGAAGTGGGCGAATAAGATTTTAGAACCCTTTTTTTTTATTGTTTCGGGAACATAACTCTATATGTGTCTATGCTGAAAAGAAGGATAGCTCAAGAAAGCAAAGAACGGGAACGATCAAAGAAATGAAGAGAAATATTTAGAACGATGGAAGGCGCAGTCATATTACATCCACTCAATGGCGCTCGCAAAGTATAGCTGTGCCTCTGGGAAGGTCCTCGTCAGATGAGGAGACAGAGCCGAGCAACCCGACAGCGCCGGTGACATCAACATCTCGTCCCGGACTACCAGTGGTGGAAGCTCAAATGGAAACGGTGGGATTTGGCTGGCGGACAGTTGTTGTGAGACCGGGATCACTTGAGCCGGCGAGTACAGAGGCGACCGCACTGGACTAGACGAAGGCGACAAGGGTAAGATACCGCTGCTCTGGCTGCTATTGAGACAGCTCGAAGTCGACGATGCCATGTCCAACGAGAATTGGGCAGGCGTTGAGCGGCAGTCTTCATACGATGGGGTCGAATACCCATATGAGGAAGAGGAGGAGGAACAAGACGAGGTGGAGCAAGTGCTCATAGTTGGGGCCGACATGATCGGACAAAGCGCGTTTGTTGTTGCTGTCGTCCATTGGGCACCATCCCGCGCCAGGCATTCGGGCTCAAAAGCTTCCATTGAGAGCAAGGAGGGGAACGTCGAGACTCCAAAAATCGAAGGCTCCTCTAGGTATGGTGGAGAAGGAAGCGATGACACTCCCTGAGAGGGTACCTCAATATCGCCAAGGCTATTCTCGTGGCTCAATAACTGACCAAAGGCTTTAGAGATTTGTCCTGTGGAATCATCGTCTTCGTATTCACCTTCCGCATCAATGTCCTCTGATTCACTATCCTCGTACTTGAGCTTATATTCGAAGTCATTCATGTCTGTTGAAACCCCTGAGGAGGAGGATATTGTCGAGAAGGCAGGTGAGCCGATAATGGTGCTAAATTGCCCTGGGGAGGAATTGTTCCACTGATCGATTGGCATGGAATAAAATGGCAGGGAAGATAAACAGCCTGCATCGGTAGAATCGGCCGAGGGAGATAGAGAATACGAGCCATGATTTGGAATCACGCACGCTGTTGGGATGTGCGGGTAAGGAGAGCTGGAGAAGCGGTGAGGCTTCTGGGTGTTACGCCGCGGTCGATGAGCAAGAGGATGCGCGCTGCAAGTACCGCCTGAGGACGAAGCGTCGCTGTACTTCGTGATGGATTTGGAGGTGGGAGAAGAACGCGTCGAGGACGAAGAGGAGTCAGATTCGATTACTGAGTCGTCTGCGATCTTTTTGGCTGCGTTGGCCATGGCTGCTAAAGCAAGCGCGCGCTTGCCAGTGCCTCGTTTGATGGGTGTAAACTTGTAGTTTGGGTACTTGATCGCGTGTTCAGCTTTGGCTCTCTCTGCGAGCATGGCATAGTACGCTCGTCGCTCGGGAGTCTCGTTTTTCCAGGCTTTGGCGAGTTTGGTCGATAGTTCGGTAGCGACCAGCCCAGCGTAGGCCTTCGCATGCTCCTTGCGATAGATAAGGAACGAATTCGATGGACGAGGGGCTTTTTTAGCTTGGGATGGATTGGATGTCTTGCTGGAGGAGGTAACCCTTGGCTTGGAGGATGAAGAGATCGAAGGCATAGTGTTCGTGTGTGGCTGCGTATTGCTGAAGGCGGATTAGGGTAAAGAGGCAATGGCTATCGGAGGTTGACAATAATGTTGAAGGAGCGAAAGGGGGTGATTTATACAACAGCGATCCTAGGCTATGCGCCAGTTACAGTTTCGTGGTAAATCTGAGAAGATTCTCTGACGGGCAAGGGTAACTCGTGGCAATTGAGCGACGGAGGAAGAGTGGTGAATGTACTGCAGCACTTTCTCTGAGATAGGATTGGATTGCACAGAAATGATGACAAAAGGCTGAGTCGGGCGGGATTTGCCCAACGGAATTTTCGAATGTGGTTCAGTGGAAACAAGGTTGTTTTTTTTTTTTTTTTTTTTTTTTTTAGCAATGCAGGTCGCAACGAGGTGGGGTACGGTTGGCAGGATCCGTGAAGGGTTCCCAATAAAAATAAAAAGGTAAAAAAAAAAAGGAAAAAAGAAAACTGGTATGGCAGCAAATGGAACGTCGAGGAAGCTTGTGGCGAATGTTGGTGATGGCTGAGGCAGGCAGACGTTGGCAGTAGCCTCCCTTTTATACATTGACGCCTGTTGACAGAGACAATGGACCGCCGGACGACGGTGTGCTGTGTAGAGTTAGTAACACGAAGGGAGAAAAAATTACAGAATAATGAATGGGCGTTTGTGGTCTTCAGAGGGGAAGTAAAGAATAGCACCATGGCTCAATTAAACACAGGCCTCGCCAACCTGCCTCCTTCGGATACTCCGAAGGCTGGAAGGCGTCGAAACACTGGCATGGACGAAATAGTCTTCAATCGATTCCTACGACACATAAAGGAGCCGCACGTTGACACATACATCCACGTTGACGCTGAGTGAGCACAGCACCATCTCAAACTAAAATGTGTGGCAGCTCATCACTCCTTTATGGTAGCTTATGGTAATTATGGTAGCCAGGGAATACACACAAAATACATAGTAGACTAACTACCCTTAGCACACATTGCGGATAAGTATCCTTGCCAAGGAAATGATATTTGTTTGATCTCTTCAAAAAGAATGAGAGGCCCCGGTCTCCTGCGGCGGGACTAAGACGCTAAGGACATCCGCAGAAAGGTTGTGGTGAAAACAAATGTGGTTCAAAGTCATCAATGCGTGTCCTCAATCCAGGGACGCTTCGTGTTGCCATTGCACCATCGCGTTCTTTCTGTATAGTCGCCATCAGCGGTTCAACTCTCTACCAATGAGCCGCTCCAGGCACACCTAGTTAGTTGATTACTTCGTATCCACAGCGATTCCTTTTACCAGTGCAATATTATAAGCGAGGCTGAGCAGTGTATCTCACGCATAAGATCGCCTGAAAGCAAGAATGTATTATTTCTACCCTGAGGGGCCAAGCGAGAGGCATAGGTGCAGCGGCGTGGTCTTCAGCTCCCCTATTAAGGCGATCAACCACACACCGTATTTGTGCTGACTTGGTTGCGATTTATTTGTCGATAAACAGAATGCAGAGGCTTTGTTCGCTGTTGTTGACAGCAGTATTGAGACAGTGGCTAGGAGCTTTACGATTCGGGATATGGTCAAGGAGGGAACGACCATGCCACCTGCAAGTTTACGACTCGGCTTGTTTTTTTTATGTTCTTCAATCGTAGAGTCATATGCCTGTTTGTTTTTGTGTATATGATCTATGAGTGTGTGTGCGCATCTGTGTATACCATTCAAACGACTCGCCACTTCCTCAGCCTGCTACACTGACGCGCACTTTGTTCCCGCGGAATGCAATGGTTCGTCTATTTGTCTATATCCATCAACGTGCCTTTTCAGTCTTTGAAATGTTATCTGATTAATGAACGACTCTTGAGACGGAGACCCCCCCATTCTCCCTGGAAACGGGAACGGAAATGGCTATACAAAACGCTAGTAGATCATGTCTTCTCTGGGCACCGAAATCGGCCCGCATCGCATCATAGAACTCATTTTGGCGTGAGCTGATTATAAAATATTTGCTTTCACGGAACAAACCTGGTACACATGGCATATGTAAATCGTATCGGCCATTGCGCGTGCTCGGTTCTCATCTGCTGTGTCGTGCTGTTGCCTTCTTCTGTCGAAACCGCTACCACAAAACAATAGGAAAATATTCCTGTGTTTACATATCAATGCACGTGTGTGTTTGCGTACGTGCATATTTGTGCATGGGTCGACAAATGGTAACCCGTTGTTTTGCCCGCTGAAGTTTAGTAACACACTATTCACTAGAAATAGACCGGTATATTATGCTCCGCAATATTGGCGCGCGTGGGGACAAAAAACGGGCTTTGGTTCCATACCGCCTCTCTATGCAAGAAATAATCGAACCTGCTTCCTCTTTCAAAAATGGATATGGACATATGCTGATATGCAAGGACGGACTGCCCCACAAGGATCCATCTGAGCCTCTCGTGTAGTTCCCCTGTTCTTTCTTGGGCGGTGACATGGGCTCCACTAGAACCTGGGTAAGTTGTGGAAATCCGAAACAAAACGGTGCGCTATGACGCTACGACGAGCAGCAGGGGAAGAAACTTGAACAAGAGGGATACAGTGCTGCATGTATTGGTTTGTACAAGAATGTGTATGTGCACTATATCGACACTTTTTTCTTTTTTACGAAGGCAGACCTTGCTACATGTATCCCCCTGCTTCTGTTTTTTCTCCTATTTCTGATGGTCTATCGGCATGCCATCGATGGCGGACATTCGTTGGGGTTACACAAGGAATCAGAGCCAGGGACACAATTCCAAATTTGGCGATCAAAAGTAATCAAGGTTGATGTCCGTGCGTCCGGTGGTTCTAAGAAAAAAGATCCACGGAGAGGTCTCGTTTTCTTTCATCCGTTTCATGTCGCCTACGTGAATGCAGGTCAGCAACAGCCGGTTTCCGTAAAGTTATTCTTGCACCCTAGTGTCTCTATCATAGCCTAAAAAGGATGCAGAAGGGGTGCGCGCTTCGAGACCTATTTCCAAGCAGCCTTGTACAACACTTCGCCAATTGTCTGGATTTCTAACTGCATGCAGCATGTTTCATTTTGTTTAGCCTGGAAATGAAATAAAAAAGGGGTCCAAGAGGGGTCGATTGATACATGAAAAGAACGTGGCATCGCTCCTGCAGCTTTGTGAGCTTCAGCTTTGCGCCTCAAACATGACATGCAACTCTCTCATTTTCGCACTTCAAAGGCTGAAAGCAAGAACGAAAAGAAAGCTCGCCAATGAAACCGTTTTAAGAAAAACCTGAGATAATGAAAACAACGTGGTCATCACTGCCACTTACAAGTTCATTTCCTGTCTACTGTCCATCAACTCACCCATCATCCCAAAACATCTTTCATACGAGAACCCAATGTTTATTAATTATCACAATAAGCCCAGACCCGACTATGATCCATACACTTATTTCAGTGAAAGAGCCGTTCATCTATCAATGCCTTTGTACTCTCTCGAATCCGCAATGTTCGCCTTATGCAGAGTTTAGCTGCTCCAGTTGAACCTCCAGCAATCGAATCTTGACATCCTTTTGTGCAAGCTGGTTCTTGAGGTCCTCGTTCTCTTGGCGCAACTTATGGTATGCCTCTTGGTAGTCCTTGTCGCTCTTAGGAGCCGTTACAATGGTCTCCGCCGCCTGGGCAGCCACGCTGGCAACAAATTCCTTCTTAACCGAGGCAGTGAAGCCCTTTTCGAGTGAGATCAGCTTTGGATTGGCAGTCTCGCCACCGAACCAAGCATCGGCAGTTAAGGCGGCTTCATCACTAATGCAGTCTGGGAACAAATCTGCTTGGAAAGAGTCCGACTACAATCCATTTACCGGCGAAGCAGTGTGAGAAATTGATACAATGTCCCTTTCCGACCTTACTCGTTTGACATTTTCTTTAAGGGTGTGCTTACCTTGCGAGGAACAGTAAAGCTGATGGGCTCTACGATGCCGTTCGAGACCTTGTAGGCTCTGGCGATCTCGCAATCGTTCACATTCAGCGCGCGTTTGGGCATGAAGGCAACTCCGCGCTGAGGAACGTTGGAGCCGAACTCAGATAGTGTGAACAAGTCATCATTCTCGTACTCGTAGTAACGAATGTTACCGTCACTAAATCAGTCAAAGATAGCGCGTTGTTAGAGAAAATCGTATCCACCGTGTTGACCAATTGACTGATGCATAATGAGCCGCTCTCTTACCCCTTGCCAGCCAAGTAGAGCATATTGCTGTCGTTATCGTAAAAAGGCATAATCACTCCAGACGAAGTATCAAGGTTGGTCGCTCTGAGGGGCTTCTCCAGGTTAGTGGGGTCCCAGATGTTGACTTGACGATCCGACATCTTGGAAAATCCGGTGGTGGCAAGTCGATTGCTGTCGCCCATCCAAACAACGCGCGAGCCCTTGATACCAGAGTGCGAATCTCCTTGCTATCAACACATGCAATCAGGTGAAAGCGGATGAATATGTAAGGACCGCAACCGATTCGACAGCCGGCCGAAAACTACACACGCGCATGACCATTAAAGCACAACGACATATTACCATAACAACTTTGTTGCTGCGAACATCAAACACGCGCAGCTTCTTGTCACGGCAGGTTGTAGCAACCAATGTTCCATTGTGGTTCCAGGCGACGCTCTGAATAATCTCCATGTGTCCAGTGATCTCCTGCTTCTCAACACCCTTCTCAACGTCCCACAGCTTCATGGTTAGGTCCGCCGAGGCTGACAAGAGAACGTTATCCGCAACGGGGTTAAACAGGACCTGTCCAACCTTGCGTCCGTGGGTGGTCAAGCGCACAACGGGCTCGATATCCTCCTCGCCAAGCTCCTCTGGAATGCTGTAGATAAAGACTTTGCTGTCCTCTGCTCCAGAGGCAACCAGATGATCATTGAAGGGCGAGAAGTCCGTGTCAAGAACGGCGGCAGAATGACCACGGTATAATGGAAGGGCGTCGGAAATCTTGCCTAGGCGTTTTCGTCATTTCAATTAGACACAGATTGATATTGAAGTGTGAGTGAGAAAATGGCGCAAATCAGAACCAATGCAGCCAAGGCAAGACGAAGATGTATCTGAGAGTTGGACATATCTAACAGTAAAGCTCTCAATCGTGACGTTCCATGCTACACAAAAAAAAAAAATGAGTAGGAGGAGCGGCTGAACATAGTTATGAACTCACCTGTCATTGACAAAGGAATGACGGCAAAGGCACCGCCGCCACTCGAGTTCCAGTTCAAGGAGAAGAATTTCTATAGAAAGAAAGTAGGCATTGTATTAGGGTCAATGCGATTTCTCCACAAGAACATAGCGACTGGGTCGTGCATATCATCTCTATCAGCAAAGTAACGTTGTTATCAGCAGTAACTTACAGGGTTGACCTTGATCAGATTGGTGTCCCAGGCGTTGCCAGAGACCTTGACGTTGTCATAGCTCAGTTCGCGTCTAGCGGCGGTACCATAGACGTGTCTACATACACATCAATGTTGTTGTGAAGAGAATGCAGGTCAGATATCCGATGAAGGTTGGTCTTTGAAGTTCCACCACAACTTTCTTGCGCCTTGCACTTTCTGCACTCCTATTGATCGAAAAGACTGAAGATTGGCGTGGCACTAGCACGGAAAGACCGCATGGATCGTAAACTGCCGTACCTGTACTTGGAAGGGCGGACAAAGCGAGACATCTATACGTCAGAAAGAGAAGCAGGCACGAAGTAAGTGTGAGATTCCAGCGGCTGCGTATGGGCGACATATCCTTGGAATGCAGCGCTCCTTCAAGAACGAATAAGATGGCGGTGGGACACCACATTGGACCTGTAGGCGTTAAAAGTGTCCAATGGCGCGCCATCACTTTTGGTCCCATCATCCGTTGGCTCGGAACGTGACAATCCATGACGGAGAAAGATGATGATGAGACATACTTTTTATGTTAATTTTTTTAAGCAGACAGGTGAAGAAGATGAGGGGATGAGAGCTGAGAGAAGGACGAGGAGGCAGAGATGTGTTAAAGAAACAAGAAAAGAAGAGGAAGAAGAAGTAAGAAAGAGGACTTTTCTGTGGGCTGCTTTGAGAATAGGACGTGGCCAACGACCCAGCAGAACTTGCGATTCTCTTTCACCAGAAGCAGCAGCCCAATTTCACATACTTTGGTATCCATGCACCTTCCCGGTCCAGGCAGAGCTATCCATACGGATCAAATGCAAGATCCTGGTCTGCCCTTGATCGCCGTCATGGCCTCCTGTGACAACCAAAAGGAACCACCGCCTTCATGTCCTATACATACACAGATATGCGATTTACCCTTTCTCCCTGTTTGTCTTCATCTTTGCTCATCTTGCACGCGGACTTGGATCGCAGCATAATTTCACCATCCGTGCGTGCACACTCGTACTCGTGCGTAGTGAATTCCATTTCTCGCGTATTCAAAAAAAAAAAAAAAAAAAAAAAACGCAGACTGAGGAAGTTTGTATGGGGATCGCTAGGAAGGTACGAGCCTTTTATTTTTAACAGCTACAGGCGCATTGGATCTAATCCGTAAATCCAGGCCGGACCATGAGCGGATCATACCCGTCCTTGTTTCGATCTTCGTGCTCCGTCGAGTGAATGTCCAGCTTGGATGGCGCCCCTAATAGAGACGCACCCTGATCTCGAGATAGGGAAGTCATGTCCCTAGTACTAGCAGCTGTCAGAGCGCTGACATTGGCGCTTGGGATCAGTCCTGTTAGAGACCCTTTCCTTGTACCAGTCTTCTTGGCGGGATGTGGACCAGCAGCAACGTTCATGAGAGTACCACTTCCTGATCGGCTCAGCTTCGTTGCTGGGAAATGGCTTGACCCTGAACGGACGCCTTCGTCCTGATCGCCACTGTTGTATCCACTGTTGTATCCGCTGTTGTACCCGCTGTTGTACCCACTGTTATATCCACTATTGTAGTCGCTATTGTAACCACTGTTGTAGCCAGCGTTTTGCGGCAACCGCCCTTGCTTGGGAGGATTCTTGGTTTCAGGTACCACGAGATTCGAGCCTGCCACAACATCGCCTTTCATGGTCTCTGCTCTGTCTTCCTGAATCAGATCTGGAGCGAAAGGAGACCCTAGTCCGGAGGGCCAATAGGATCGTGACCGTGTACTGGGTTCTGGGCCGACTCTACGACCTCTACCACCGTCTGTCCCGCTCAGCGCTCCGCCTGCATTCGTTTGCAGGCTATGAATGGAGTCCCATGCTTTCTCAAACGCCAGCAGTTTCTCCTTCTCGTACATGATCTGTTTCTCCGCATAATCCTGGACCGATGCGTGCCACTCTTTAGCCTTATCCTTTTCATATCGAAGTAGCTCACGAGTGACGACGATTTGGCTCTTCTTGAACTCCTCCTTTGTCTCGCTCAGTTTCGCGTTAGCTCCCTCCAGACTCAGCTTCACCTTATCAACTAAATCCGCTGCGGGAGATGTCGCTGCCTTTAGGGTAGCCTGCTCAAGCTGCGTCTGCCTTTTTGCGACCTTTTTGGATACTGATACGTATTCCGATAGTCGGTCCGTTCTAGAGTTCATCACATCCTGCAGGAACAACAAACAGCCGCAATTAGAGATGCAGGCATATGTCAAACGACAAATGCCCCGGTTGGAAGGCCACAAAACAGCAAGCGGCGATATGGGACGATGAGGCGTTAAATACCTTCAGCCCTTGAAGCATGCTCCGGTACTCCTGAACAAGGTCCATGAAATAAAATGTCTCGGCCTTCACTTGACGCCGTATACTCAAGCGCACATCGTCCGTGAGAACCCCAAAGATTTGCATTTCATCGTCCAATGCCTGATGCCGCTCTCGATTATCAATTCTCTGCCCATCCCCAAGCCGATGCTTGCTACTCAATACCTCCATAGTTGCGTCTCCGAGCTGAGAATAGGCGTCCCCAAGTTCTAATCGTGCATGAAATGTTGGAGTCAGATCTCATAGTAGAATATATCCATCTGGTTAGAAATCACTGCTTCAAAGAAAAATCGCTTACTCTCGCGCTCCTTTGTCAAACGCAACCCAGTATCTAAGAGTCCTGTAAAAGACTGCTCCATTGCAAGTATATACACCTGCCTTCTTTGGAACTCTCCTTGATCGTTCTACAGGGAGAAAGAAGGAAAATGAGTATAGCTTTGGATTACATCAAACAGAAATCGTTCGAGTGAAGTAAGAACCTATTTTTACGCCGTGGTAAGTTTGCTCACCTCTTCAACGTTCTCTGCTGGTCTGTATATCCTCATGCCCCGGTCATAGCTCGGTTTGATGATGTTGTCGAACCGCAGAAACCCCAAGGTCGTCCTTCTGGAGTCCACAGAATCCAAGTGAGTCTTTGCGTGGGGCGCATGTAAACAGGGTCAATGAAAAAGTGAGTAGGTTAAACCCTAGGCTACCGTTACGCAAATGATGTGAGTTGCATTGGGGTAAACCAACAACAAACAGGTCATACTTACCATCTCTGTCCCAACAAACCACAGCACCGCTTCGCTCGTAGCAAACTCTGTCCGGCGACAAATCCGCTGCAAAAACCTCTCGATTTGGACCCGCTTCTGCTCAACTTGATCCACATCCTCGCATAGTTTCTCGCTCAATGGCTCTGGAAGGGAGGGAATAACGTAGTCGACAAAGGCACTCTGCAGTTTATGGTGCAGCCAGCGGACTTGAGCGAATGTTCGAAAGATTGGATATGTCTAATACCACAATCGAGGACCAGCGCGTTGCAACAATCGATAACGTAAGGTGTGAGAATCCAAGAATGTAGCCGACGCAGAATGTAGACTCATGGTCTCCTTGGTCGCTGTAGCATAGTTCAGGTCATTACCGAGTCGGTGTTTGCTGGGGCGACGATGACCTTGAAGGTGATAGTTCCCCCGCTGGCAGCGGCTTCCGGGACAGATACTTTCAATGGCTTCATTGGTGGTTACAGAGCGCGTTGAGAAATACGGAGAATAAATTAGAATGAGACGATTATGCTGACGGTGATGCAATGGGAAAACGATGGTAAAGTTGGAGTTGGACGAAAAAAAACCCCCCCACAGGAGGGTCGAAATATTTCAAGTGACTTGTGATGCGCTCTGGGATGCAAAGGCTCACTAAAATACAGCGCCTCAGATCCGGAACGAACATGCACCTTCAAGTCAAAGAGCTGGGTTAGGCTTTGTAGTCAGTAGGTGTCCCAGTACAGTGCACCTTGACAGGAAACTGAGAGACGCGCTCTGACTACCCTTGGGGGTGGATATGTGGATCTCTAGAAATGGAGGCCACTGAGAGGCATATGTACACGTCGCGTCTTCTCGCCTGGTTTTTGAAGCCGACATCTGCTTTTATGGCCTGGTTAATGTCGAGTAGCAGCTTCATACACCTACAGAAGGGCAACGTCTTCAAGCTGCTCTTCCAAATGCCTAAAAGCAAGGCACGGTGCGCGACAAAGACAGAGCAAAAATGATAATGTGTGCAGCACTGAATAGATGCGACGGATGTTTATTAGAGATTTACGTGAACGTGTATCTACAGGCCCGATGCGTGCTTAACATCCGCAGGATATGACGGGCCTTCGAGGGACGACGAAGACGACCTTCGAGCGATTTCTGGAGGTATGGCTTCCTCATCTTCACTGTCAATAGCCTGGTATGGTGGGGGCTCAAGACTATCTGGCGCCTCATTTCTGATATGCTCCGGCCGTGGAGAGGTAATCTTGATATTCACTATATTCAATGGTCGGTGAATAGATTGCTGTTAAATAATAATAATAACAATAGTGCAATACATACATCATACTACATCCTTGTGCGGAAGGAACTTACTCTCCATCCTGACTTCTTTGGCTTCTTTGTCGGACATGAGGTTCGTTCTCACCTTCATGATTAGCTTCAGGCAGTATGTTTTGATCAAGGGCTCAGTCTCAATCGAGGCCGCCAGTTGCCTTGCCCCTGGGGGTTCGACCATGATAGTCTTTGTGAATCCTTGACTTGTTTGCGGCCACTCCTCAGCGGCCACGGGCAGATGAATGACGACCTTTTTCTCCTTCTTCCTGCTGGTGCCGAGGCTTTTGTTCTTGAGTTTCCTCCGCTCCGCAAGCGTCGTGTATTGCTTCAACTTCACTGCTGCACCAACTACAATCAGCTCCTGGCCCTTATGGATGCTGTTCTCCCTAAACGGCTCGAATAGAACCGTCAACGGCACGATTTGACCTTGATAAAGCACGTTCGAAGGGAGTGTACATGTGAACGGAACTATGTCATTCAAGATGCTGCTGTACACTTTGGGTTGTATCTGTTCATTAGCCCGAATGGAGCTGCTATACACCCAGACCAACTGCTTGACTGCCATGTCGCGGCGGGGGAAATCACGTCGGATATGAGCCTTGAACCGGTAGTGGAACCAGCCGCGTTTGCCCTCAATGGATGGTGGTAGTTCTGAATCGAGCTGGACCTCAAAGTTGTAGCGCGTGACGCCTGGAGAGATCGTCTTGGCGTCGATACGGTTCAACTTTACATCCCAAGACTTTTCCTGAAGACGTGAAATCGCATGATAGCTTGCAACCGACTCGCCGTGGTTTTCTTTTTAGTGAAGCAGAGTGGGTGAAAGGAAAGTGTTGCAGTATTAGTGGTTGAGAATTGCGACTTACTTAGGGTAGCAAATAGGCATTGGTCACGGTACCATACCTGTCCATTCCGCTTCTGAGCGTGCCTCGAATGTTACTGCAATATCGCCACCGTTTGTTGGCTTGACAGTTCGAAACTCTACATGCCCTCGAATGACTATTGTGGGTCAAGCTAGATAGACGATGATGAGGCTTCAGAGGTCTTAAGATCATGTCGATTAAAGAATATGGGATGATAGGTGTACCTGCAGGGGTTTCTGGCGTAGAGTAGTACAGAGGCTGCCCCTCTGGCCCGAGCTCAGGTGTGTCGAAATGAAGCGATATGGATTTGTCGCTGTCCTTGTTGAAGTTCAAAATGGCCATGTTTTTTTACCTTGATTGGAGCTTTACGATTGATCCTGCTGTGCGATATGATTTCGGCAGTAAGATATTGGTTTTGAACGAGTGGGAGGTGAGTCGGGGGATGTTTTATAGCATAACGGTGTAGAGTAAGAGCCTCTGGAGTAAAAGGTCCTCAAAGTCGAGAAACTTGAAATGTCGGCTACTCCGATGAGCACGCCGTCGTCTTGAGTTAATAGTAGACTAACTTCAAGATGACTGTGTGGCAGTGCCGTCTTCGAGAGAACGTATCCTACGATAATTTCTACAGTATTTTATATTATAACCCAAGCCTATGACAGTCAACGAACACATCTATATCGTCCAGAGCGACCTGAAGGCAAGTCTTCAACAGAACATTGTAATTGGCTTCCTGCACATCAACAGCGGCAGATATGAACTCGCTTACAGCATCTTGAAAATATCCTTGAGAATAGACCTCTTCTGCGTAGGGCCTTGAAGGTGGTGACGAAAATCCCTCGATGGGAACCTCCTTCTCGACGGTGCGGTTACGGAGAGCGATATCGACTGCCTGCATCTATTGGTCACTGACAACTGGCTTCGGGTCTTCGTAGTCCAGGTCAGATTCGTCGCCGTCTCCCCACGTATCGTTATCAGTCTTCAGAGTTGTCCTCATCCACGAAATCATTCTCCTTCAGCTGCTGGAAAGTTCCTTTGTATTGCTCGCGATCCACTATCTCGTGGGCGACCTCGACAATCGCTTGTGAAGGCCCTTCGCTATTGATCATTCTGAGATAGTTCAGGATGGAGAAGGCCTTCTGATCGGCGATGGCTTCTTCGTTTCCTGCATATCGTTCCTTGAGCTCTTCTTGAAGACGACTGACTTGATCTACCTTTGTTTCGATTTCAAGACCCAGTAATCGAGTTTTCTGATACTCAGAGAGGATGGGAGCTTGGACAAAGCAATTGCGGATGCAATTAGGAGTCACCTTCTTCCAAGAGCTGACCAAACATGCCCAGAGTTTCCCATTTGAAACCGTAGCCGTGGATGATCCTTTTCGGACGCGATAACTGCAAAGGACCTCGGCATCGATAGCCTTCAATGTCGCTTGGGCCAAACCGTTCGGACGGTGCTTGGCTGTAAACGTATAAAACTTTGTGAGTAAAAATCCTTTGAATTTGCACTACTACACTGTTCAAACAATATTGCGTTACTTACAAAGGACATAAAGGTTGCGTTGTCTGCGCCCGTGGCATTACTGCACAACCAACACTCGAGCAATCCGAGTGATTTTCTTACCACGAATTGGACCGGTAGCAAGGGTCTTATTGGACATAGCCTTTAGAAAAAGACCCATCTCATTGCAATTGTAGATGTTGTCAGGGCCAAAGTCCTCGAGCACCATTTGGATCTGTTCAACTTGAGTCCGGTAGAGATCCAAGTTGACCGATCCGCTTTCATCATGTCCGATGTATCTCTTGAACTTTTAGAGCCAACCATTTGAAAAGGCAATCGGCTCTGGTTTGTGCTCAGGACGAAAGAAATCTTTCATGAGGGTCCACATCGCCACAGCAGTTCCTTTCAGGCGACAGTCAGATATGTTGATGCCTATCAAAGTATATAGATTGGAGGATGTGCTTTTATAAGCGAGCAACTGCATGAGCTTCCGTACCTAAAGATTCTTGCTGTCTAAACCAGGTATAAACGGCCTCTTCCACAACCGCCATTGGTGTTGGCCTGTTGCGTCAGGTGGCAGCGTCGCCACTGCTTGACGTGGCTGTCCTGGGATATTCAACATTTTTGAGAGAGCGACATGGGAGACATATGGATTGTGCTCTTGCTCTGTGCGTATACTTCGTTTGGGATTTGTGTGATTTGGAAGCCGAGGTGTCAGGTCAGAGCGTTCGACATCGGGTCGTTTTGGGGCCGGGGCTGTGTGACCAGAGTGTTTTCTTTTGGGTAATGGTGGAAATAGAGGAAAGAGGAAAAAGCGTTGAGATTCATGATTCTTTAATGTTTACAACCAGTTTCAATTGAATTGAATACGGGACTGGATCCCTGTACAGCATATATAATCCGTCTACTCGCTGTTATCCCCATCATCTCCATCCCATACTGCGGTATACGGTGGCAGATCCTCAACAGGGGGGTCAGTCGGTGGTCTGGGCCCGGTAATATTCACTCCCACTACGGAAACGTAGCACCCGCAGTTATACACGAAAGAAAAGTCAATTAGAATTTCTTTTCCTCCGCCATGGCATGGGCAAAAGCTAATCTTAAAGGACAAATCACCTACTCTCGATGCGGAATTCTCTTGCTTCCCTGTCTGTCATCGAGGCAGTCTTGATGCGCATAATCAACTTCAGGATGTGGGTCTTCTGAACAGGACGCGTTGTCGTAGTGCAAGAGAGTTGAGGTGCCTGTGGAATATCGACCAGGATTGTCCTTTGTACTCCATTCGCTCCTGGCACCCAACCCTCTCTCACAGGCAGGGCAAGGACTTCCTTCGTCTCCGTCTTGACGTTCCATTTATGCCAGAGCCGTGTGTATTGCTTTAACTTGATGACTGCGTTAACAATTACCAACTCTTGATCAAAGTGGCCACTCGAGGAGAGGAAGGGATCGAACTTGATTGTAAGGGGTACTGTCTGTCCGAGGTGAATATTTTCGCTGGGAAGCGAGCACATGAACGGTAGATGGAATTCCCAGACACCAGAATACATGTAGGGATCAGAAATATATTCGGGATCAGGCGCGGGTAGGCAGGTACTGAAGGTCCATACGTCCTGCTTGAAGACAATGTTGCGTCGGGGAAATCTTCTGTGCAATGTGGCTGCAAATCGATAGTTCAACCATCCTCGCCGACCACTGATAGACGATGGCGTCCGTTGATCCAGAACGACTTCGAAATCGAATCGTGTCCTTCCTGCACCGACCACTCCTGGCTGTGGGTGAGAAACTGGGACCTTCCATGCCTTCCTTTGAAGTACCTCCTTAGAATGATATACCACTGTTGATTGACCGTAGTGTCCTGGAGAGTGGAAATGAGAAGGATTAGAGCATCGTTAGAATCAAACATAGTCGGTAGAAGAGAGTGATAAATGAAGAAACTTACTAGTCCATCTTGCCTCGCTTTTGACACGAAAAGTCAGATCCAGGTCCCCACCCTTGATGTCCTCGACGGACTCGAACTCTACAAAGCCTCGGATGGTTCCAGGCACTTCAGGCGTCGCAAACACCGCTGGCAGATTTCCTGGGCCACGATAGGGCGTAAGAATGACCACCTTGAGCAGTTGTTCTTGGTCCTTACTAGCGATTCTTGTGAACATGATTGTATGACAGACTGATAGAACAGCCAGTTGAGTGCCTTAGAAGTGTGAGTGTAAAGGAACAAAATCTTTGGGTAGGTCCGACGCTGCCAAATAAGCGTAATATGTACGGTTTCGAGAGCAGTCAAAAGTCGATCGAGAATAACTTTATTTTCCGGCGAAGCTGTATCTATATTGACCAGACGAACATTTAGCATCGACTTTACAGCGACATGACGCCGCTGAAGCCGCGTTGCTTCTCTTGGTATTTGGCAATCAAAAACGCCATATCTAGAGCCTGCTCATAGTTGAGACGAGGATCGCAGTGCGTCTCGTAGCGGTCCAGCAGCTCTGCATCCAAAAGTTCCATCGATCCACCAACGCACTCTGTAACACGGTCTCCAGTCAGCTCGAAATGGACACCTCCGAGGTGCGATCCAAGTTGCTTATGGATTCGGATCGCCTGCGACAATTCCTTGGTGATGTCGAGCAGGTGTCTTGTCTTGACTCCAGACACAGATTGTTTGGTGCTATAAAATGCAAAGCGAAAGATCAATATTAGTCTCGACAATTCCGCCGCCATACCCAGCCTTTGGTCAATGCAACTCAAATATGAGCACATGAGGGCGACTTACTTTCCGTGCATAGGATCACAGGCCCAAACGACAACATGTCCAGATTCCTGGACAGCCTTGATATGGCCCGGTAAGTACTTGTCCACCTGGTCAACGCCGTATCGGGTGATGAGGGTCACCTTTCCAGGTTGCTTGTCTGCATCCAAGATATCCAAAAGCTCGACCAGCTCCTCTGGCTTCATGCTGGGACCGCACTTAACTCCGATGGGGTTCTCGATTCCACGGAAATATTCAACATGGGCACCGTCGAGCTGTCTTGTGCGATCTCCAATCCAGATGAAATGAGTTCCGACGTTGTAGTACTTTAGCTGTGCTGGGTTAGCAGGGTCAGTCAGGAGACGAGTCAGTGCCTGCTCATACTCCAACAAGAGACCTTCGTGCGAAGCAAAGATATCGACAGTGTTGAGGGTGCTGGCAGGCGCGCCTGATTGAAGACCTGCATTGGGGTCAGCACCGATGGTCTTCATGAAATCTAAGGCATCTGTCAACCTGTCGACAATGCTTTGGTATTCCTGACGAAGCGCCGAGGACTTAACGTGATGGAGATTCCAGTTGGAGGGATGGTGGAGATCGGCGAAACCCTCTATAGGTAACGATTGTCAACAGCACATTCTGCGTTAGCATTTTGATAATTGCATACATGAAGAGTCAATCGCTTAGAAGAGGAGAAGAGATTACCAGCAAGAATAGATCGAACATAGTTCAAGGTCGCAGCAGAGTGAAAGTAAGCCCTTTAGATGGTTAAAAAGAGTTCCAGTACGTTAGATTATGGCGCATGTCATGTATAATGCAGAACAAGACAAGATCTCAATTCTTTTTCTCACATACCCGAGAAGACGTTCTGGGTCGGGAGTACGGTCTGCAGGATCGTATCCGTTAACATTGTCGCCGCGGTAACTCAGGATCTCCTCGCCCTCATGCATCTCTGTAGGCTTTGAGCGGGGCTTGGCATACTGACCAGCCATGCGAGCGATGCGGACGACAGGCATGCGCGCGCCCCAGACCAATACGAGCGACATTTGGAGCAGCACCTTCAGCTTTGACTCAATAGGGCTCTAAAAAGTAGGTAACAAGAGCCGTTCACTATTAGCGGCGAATGACACGCGGCGCAAGGGTTTCTGTTTTTTGTGCACGCCGCGTCCCCAAGCGGAGCATCTTGGTGTGTCACGGCGATCGGACCGATAAGCAAAATTTTATGACTCCTTTAGGAGTCATAACAACTGACATTCAAAGCCCAGACGGGACTATTGAGAAGCATGGGTGAATGGCCGGCACTGAGACCTCGCTGAGAACCTTACCTGGGCACAATAGTCAAAGAGCTCAGCACAGTCGCCTCCTTGCAGCAGGAAAGCCTTTCCCAACGCTACGTCGGCCAATTGCTTGCGAAGGCGGTGGATCTGCATAGCGCAGACAGAGCATAAGAACAAAAAACGAGAACAGAAACAAAGCAACAGAAACATTAGAAACTGATATCTGTTTGACCAGGGATTATGAACAACTGGTATATTCATCAAGCACATGGGGACACACCTCACCAGGGACAACCATGGGAGGGAGTCGTCCGATTTTCTCGAGGACCCTGCCCAGGTGAGCCTGATCAGGGTAGTCGACATCCTGTTTGATGGGCTTGGATTGCCACGAGGTCGGGGTCCAGTCTTTGGCAGCGACAATGGTGGTGGGTCGTTGGGGGGTTGCGGAGCGAGAGGTCATTATGGGGAGGTGGATGGAAGGAAGCGGAGGAAAGGCGGTGACAATGGAGTGATGAAGTGATGGAGTGATAAGGGGAGCAAAGGAAGAGAGTCGAGAAGAGTTATTTTATGCAGTGTCCGTGCATCGGATCTGCAGCAGTCCATGCATGTCTCTAGTCATTTCCCAGGGCAGATGGTGGCTTGCCTCGATGCATAAAAACAATGGAACAGAACTAAGTCCAACTGCTGTTGCCCTTTCGCCATCGACCATCAACCATTAACCATCAATCATCCACCACAGCCTCTCTACTCCACTCCACTCCGCTCCGCTCCACTCCACTCCACTCCACTTCACTCCACTCCATCACCTCTTCACCCTCTCTCCCATTCGTTCACTCGCATAATTAAACTTACGCAGCCATGAACTTTCTCGTCCGCTCCATCCGTGCTGTCCGTCCTGTCCGCATGGGTATGAAAGAAGGCTTCCCTTCTACCCTTGATCCTTGCTCACTCGCCTCCAACTCGATCCCGCTCCATCAACATGCCATAAGAGCAACATCATATGTATTATACGACGCCCTATATGGCATCAGTCGTCAACTCCTCCTTGATTTCCTTCGTTTATTCACTTGTGACGACAAAGCGCCACGCCTTGATTGCTTCCAGTTTCCTATACTCACGTCTCCCTCCAGCATCTACTACAGTTCGTTCATATGCTACTGAAGCCGCTGTCACTGGTCTCCGCTTGACCCTTGCCGTCCCTCACCAGGTATATCCACATCCAGCAATCCACAGTACACCACAAATCGCTTATGTTCTACTGGTCACCCTCAATTAACAATATCGATTTCAACACGTCTTCAGATCATCTACAAGGACGCCGCCGTCGCACAGGTCAACATTGCCGCTGTCTCCGGTGACATGGGTATCCTCGCCAGCCACGTTTCCTCCATTGAACAGCTTCGCCCAGGAGTCGTCGAGGTCATCGAAGGAGCTGCTTCCAAGAAGTTCTTTGGTAATTTTCTAGGATCATACGCTTCCTAATCGTCCGGCTGGACGAAATTGCACAAGAGCTGCCTAATAGATGGATATGAAAGACGGACGGTATCTTGCGTCTCAATGGTCGCATACTTTTGCAAGCACAACTATTGCTCAATTTTGGATCATCAATTGGATTCTATACTGGGACTGGACTATGTCAAGGATATGCAGTATCAGCGACGAACGATAACATGGCGCTTCATACCGATTGCTAATGCACGCACACTGTGGCTTCATAGTCTCTGGAGGATTTGCCACCATGAACCCCGATTCCACCCTCAACATCAACGCCGTCGAGGCTTTCCCTGTCGAGGAGTTTAGTGCTGAGGTATGGCTTTTGAAAATACCTATATTTCAATCATTTTCTGATTTGAAAGCCAGGACCTCGTCACTCACTATGCCCAACTCCTTCTTGGTTAATCATTCCACGTTTCGTCTAGGCTATCCGCAACAACCTTGCAGAGGCCCAGCGTATTGCGAACTCTGGAGCAACCGAAGAGGAAAAGCTTGCTGCCAAGATCGAAGTTGAGGTCTTGGAGTCCCTTCAGGCTGCTGTCAATGCCAAGTAAACAAACACCAATTGAGGGAGAGCACCATAATCTAGATCCCATTATAGCCCTGATTGCTATCGTAGCCTTAGTTATAGGAGTGATTGTAACCCTGATTGTTGTGGACGTGATTGTAACTGTTGCGAGCCATGCCCTCCCAATGATCGTGCTCATATCCATTGTTGCTGTTGTTGTCTTTGGGGCTGCTGATGTGCTGTGGAGGTGCTATCAAGGTCCTTGATGGTGAAGATACAGGGGCCGGACTGCTGTTCTGTCCATTGGCTTCTTAGTAAATGATGGCGTTGCCGCTTGCACAGGCATAGGGGGTACGGGGAGCGAAATTTGCGCCTCTCCAGCATCAGGAGCAGTACGTGGTAGGGCCACAGGATGGCAAGGTCCTCCTCACGCGAGACTTCCGCGAGCTTGACGAGTGTTAATCGGATGGTCCTCATGCAGGTCCCAGGAATGGAATCTAAGGGAGAGGGTTGGGTCTTTCCAACAGGCACCAAGAAACGCCTTAGTAATGTGATTCTGCTATGTGTGGGGGTTTGGAGATCGGTATGGGAAGGATATCCGCTGTATTAGATATATTTTGTTGCTATGATTGGTTATCAATGGGCATCTTCAAGGACGGTACCTGTATCGACCAAGAATCAAGGTTCTTTTTAAACCCGACTCTCTTAAGGGCCTCTCAATACCACATTATGCTGTGTAGCTCCGTGGCCTTTATTTTCCTCTAAATCGTTCTTGTTATCTTTTCTGTTGGTTCCCTTTGCAATACTGCACTCCGCACGAACAGCGTCCGCTCCCCCCCTTAACACAACATCGAGAACAACATCGCAGACAACATCGTGCACGATTTTTAGAACTGAGGGCGGCTATTGTATCTTGGCTGTTGCTGGTGTTCCCTGAATCACCTTCCATAATAACGTCCGAGTCACCAACAACCAACTTGGCTTCGACGGGCTTTTGTTGCACGAGCCTATCTTCGATTTCCGTTATCCCCGTATCGATCTTTATATGGCTCTGTTGTTTGCGGTATCTCCGGTCGATATCATCCCGTGGGCCGCGGGGGATGTTCAGGTTGATATTTCCCTTTTCATAGCTAGAGTGAATAAGGGTAGCAGTGGCGGTACTGGCAATCCCGGGGTCTACACAAAGACTCCGTATTCCAACCTCGTCGTTTGTATTTCAGAGGAGACTGTCGACCTTCTCCTGGCTGTCAAATTTTTTGGATACATACGACCATCCTTGTATCATTGGCGCGGTTGACCAGGGGAAGACTGTGTTGGATGTTGGTACCGGGGATGATATTGATGAAGCTGTTGTGGATTCAGCGATTTCAGCGTCCGTCATCGTGGTGGAGGCTTCGATCGCCTACCCACCGTCAATTTGTATGACATGACTCGTAGGTCATGACCGTTGGTCGAAAGGTTGCCGGTAAGTACATACTTTTGTCGCGGTTGCCCCGGTTCAGATTTGTCGATCTGCTCTTGGTATTTTTCCGGACGTTGAAGACTTTGGCGAATAAGATCCTTAAATTCGAGTTTGCTGCTTGCGTACCGGGGATCTTTTGCCTCCATTTTCTCCAGAGCTGTTCTTGCTTCTTTGATTGTGCTCACGTCGTCGGACTTGAAGACAACCTTGGTCTTGAGGCACTTTTGCTGGAGTGCGGATGGTGGATTGAGAGATGAGGAAGAGGAAGAGGAGGAGGAGGAGGAGGAGAAGGAGGCAGGGTCACAACTGCCATTGGCCCACAGCATGTTGGCTCCTCTACGCGGGTGGTCCGGATCCTGACTGGGTGTGGTGTGCCATATATCTTCTTAGATCTCTGGTGTTTTTAAAAGCAGCTGCTGTATGAGGCGACCTCAGAGCAGGCTGTAACATTTCGCAGCTGGCTGTCATGTCAATGGACCCCATTCACAGTGACAGCGATGCCATATCTGGAAGCAACACAATAGACAATCGTGCATTGTTTTTTTAAAAACCATGATCGTTTCCTGCAGGCACTGCTCTCCTGGAAGACTGCCACGCAGAAAGAACAGTGCATAGCTCCTAGCATCACAGCAAACACAAAAAATAAACCGATGGCAGCATGCAGTTTGCTCTCCTAGAGGCTGGCAAACAATCTAGCATACAAATTGTAGGTATGGCTATTATACTGTAGCTGATAGCACAGCAGGCAGTTAGCACACATGATGCTAATGCACGCTCAATGAATCTACACAGTGACCCTCACACAGACTTTCGGATCATGGATAGCTTGTTGGATCCAGGCATCCGCCTACGGTAGCTCGTGTTCTTGCCATTAAGGAAAAGGAAGAAGGACAATCGACCGACCTCGTCCTGTGTGTTCTTTTCAGCAGATGCCTTGGACTCAAAGACATTATCAAGTATTTTTGCAAGCGAGCATTGCTTTTCCTGCTCGGCACTACTTAATCGGCGCATTTTTTTTTGGCGATTGGTGTGAGCCTGTTGTTCCTTTGGTCCATTCTGAAATCTTTCAAAAGACAGCGGACAAGCTGACGCTCCGTGAAGGAAAAGAAACCGTCCTCATAGACTAACCGATTTGTGGTAAGATTTGGATTTGAGCCTTCGCTGGCAAAATCAGATTCAGGATAAGATGGATACTGACACAATCGTGCTCCCGCGACCGCCCTGTCGTATCGTCGATAGAGTCCAAAATGGCCTTCCCGTTCTCAGAAGAGGCCCAGGAGGGATTGTGCATTAATGCCTATAATGAGTAGTCAGAGTAGTGAGGTCAGTGTCCGCGTGCATGATTGAAACGAGATGGCTCTTATTAAGATGACTTACCCGCTTCTTAAGTTCCAATGAACACCTGTAGAGGTGGCCTCCTACCATATCGGACAGTGTTCTCGCACACTGACTCATGAAGGAGCCTTCACAGACGTCTCTATCCTTCAGTCGGAATGGTGGTGCCTGGCGTTGCGAGGTGATCTGTAAATACTCCTGAAAAATCTTGTCGGACGCCATTAATGCAGGTGAACTAGCCTTCTTGAGATCGGAATCGTCACTGTCCCATCTGATTAACCGATTCAAAAGCCGCTGAAAAAATGAATCTCGTTTACCCTTCAATAGGATATTGTTGAAGTGTTCCATTCTTTTGTCGCCATGCACTCGTCCTCGATCTCCGTCAATTGCTGGGAATGTTCCGAACGTTCTTACTATGTAGAGATTGTTCACCAAAAGGCCCTCGCGTAGCAAATCAGTATGGACTCTTGCCATCGTCTGCATGGTCTCGAGGAGATGGTCCAATAAGAGGCTACGGTCCTGGTCATTTCCATACAAGGGAACGACTCTTTGAGACTGTGAATAAGACACGACTCAATCCGGCCAGGCCTCATTGCGCGCATTGGATTCAAAGATGCAACAGCGTCGACCATCAGGTCTGTTGGGTTGATCTTGCGGGGAACAGCGTTCTCGTTCAGTGGTACATCGGCATCACGAGCCTCCTGGAGCTCTTAGTGTGATGTTTTATGTATTTCAGTGTGAGTCAAGGAGACAAAAGAGCGTTGTTGTTTATTATGCTCCCGGCAGGGGTTTTTATAGCCCTGATCTGGGGCTTGGAGTATTAGATAGCTTAATAGTCTCATGAATAAAAATGGAAGTGGCCTAAATATGAAGATTCACTCCCAGTACAGTCCCAATTTGGGGTCTGAACGGAACAACTCCCCCCAAGTTTTGATCCCTCAAAACTACTGTTGAGATGGGGTTCTTCACCGATGTGTGAGGAAAATGATAGTAAAAACCTCTGTGATATGAAATGTAATGGAGGAAAAGGTAAACCTCCTAGTAGTTCATCTGAGGAAAACGAGAGAAAAAGGTAAAACTCGCCGGTGCGTCAACGTCTGTGCGTTGCAACCTTAAATAATGAATATGGGGAAAAATGTACAAAACCCCTTTTGATCATACCCTGAATTTTCTTCCCTCTTCTGGAGAAGACTCAGAGCTTGAAAGCCCTCAGTAAGCATTGTCATGCTCACTACTTTGCTTTCTTCCTGGGAGAGGAATTTTTCTTTCCTCTTTTTCCCTTACTCGCATCTTTTGAGATTGGTTTTTGCTGTGCCATCTGCTGTCGTAGCGTTTTCCTCTGAACTCTCATTTCCTTCTCTGCTTGCTTTGCAATGACATGAGGGTTCTGTTGGTTCAAACGCTTCCAGTACCGTCTGATGATCAGATCTGAATCAAAATTGTCATACTCTAGTTGCGAGTTGTGAGAAGAGTCGTATCCCTTCCACTTGACAGTGTACCTAACCCCCTTCGCCGTGAGTTCGTGGCCAAGAATGGCTTCGACTTCGTACGACTCATCACTGCGACCATCTAGGTCCTGTGTGACAAGTTTGAGTTGGACAGGGGCGTAGTTGCGTTCTAGTTTCTGATTCGTGGCATCCAACAAGGTGTAAGCTCCATTCTCTGTACGTTCCATGACCTTGTAAGGGCCTTGGTACTTTGGTGCAAGCTTGCCTTCCGGGAGTTGCTCTCTGGCCATGACATAACAGCCAGGAGGGAACCCCAGAATGTGATGTGTACGATTGAACTTATCAATCATTTTGCGCTGTGTTTCTGCACTGGCTTCTGACACTGCCGGAAAGACTAGTTCCGTAAGGTATTCCAAGCGTTTCTCAAGTTCTTCTTGTGTCATAAGATGTGATTCTGCTAACGTAAAATCGGTTAGCTCTGCAAAGGAGCGTCCGAAGAATAATGAGAACGGTGTAGACTTGTGAAGACTCGCCGCACGCACGTTTAATTGGAGTTGGGTCAAAGGAAGATAAGCATCCCAAAGATCAAGACGACCTTCAAGTTGCTTCTGAATATTCTCTTTAAGGGCTCTAACATATCTCTCAGCAACACCGTTGGATCGAGGATGATATGGTGTGGATAGCCTGTGATTAATCTGCAGCTTTCGCGACATGAGTTTGGCTACTTCATTTACGAATTCGGTGCCATTGTCGCTTTGGATACAGAATAATTTGAAGAGGACGCCTGCAACTGTCTTGGCTTCCTTATTCGGCAATGGTTCCAGGAAGACGAATCTAGTACAGATGTCAACCATTACCAAGGCGAACACGTTGCCTTGCCTGCTAACTTCAACTGTGGCGAGATCAATCGCTACATGCTCTCCAGGTAATTCTGCATGAATGGCTTTCAGTGGATGATATCCTTTGCGTGCAATATTAAAGTGCTGACAGGGTCCACATTGGCTAACCCAATTGAGACAATCTTCCCTGAGCTTTGGCCACATTTAGCCTCGCTCATAAATGGCCTTAACCATTGCATTACCCCCGAGATGACCAAATTCATGGACTTGATTGAGTATTTGTTTGCGTTCTTCGACGTCTAGAACGGTAGTTCTGTCCATGTCGTTCGTCTGCATAACATGAGTATACGATGCTTCATGATCAATAGGTACTGTCGAGAGACGATCCGCTAAGTCAACCGAAGAAATAGTGACGTCCTCTTCTGTAGGCGAAAGAGTGGCCTTTCGTAGCCCTGACCTAGTCACTGCTGCAACACGATGCTCCTTGCCTCTAGAGTTTACACTCTCAACAGGCGTCCATAATTCATCTGGAAATGCTCGGGATAATGCATCTGGAATAACGTTCAACAGCCCTGGACGATACACACATTCGAAATTATAATTGAGCAATATCTCCTTCCAATTCGTAATGATCGGAGGTAGCTCCTTCTGTTCGTGAATGTATGTCAAGGGTCTGTGATCAGTGTACAGCGTGAACCTTCTACCCCACAAATAGTGATGGAATCTCATGAGAGCAAATATAATCCCCAAGAGCTCCTTTTTATAAGCGGGATAGTTCTTTTCGTGCTTGTGCAGTGCGCGTGCCTGAAAGGAAACGTAGTTCACTTTAGATTCGTCGCTTTTTCCGTTTGGTAACTGGTACAAGACTGCACCGATGCCCACATTAGAGGCGTCAGTGGCGACATAAAAAGGTTCTTTGAAGTTTGGGAATGACAAAACAGGTGCTTGGGCAATCAGATTTCTAATTGCATCAAAACTGCGCCTTTGCAAGTCATTCAACTCAAACGTACCCTTGGCGTTGCGCAACTGATTCAGCGGTGCTGTAATAGTGCTGTAGAGTGGGATATATTCCCTAAAATAATTAAAGAGTCCGAGATATCTCTGGATCATCTTTTTGTTCGTCGGAAGAGCCCACGACTGAACGTTAGCAATCTTTTCCGTATTGACACTGCGTCCTTCTTCATTGACGATAAATCCTAGGAGAAGGACCTCAGTGCTTAGAAACCTGCTTTTCTCTCGATTGATGATTAGCTTTGCTTCAGTCAATCGATTGACGACCACAGTGATGTGAGCTAAATGTTCTTCGATTGAATTCGAATAAACAATAATGTCATCAACATATGTGCTACCATAATGCAGATCACCAAGCAAATGGGACATTCCTCGTTGGAAAATGCTCGTCAGAGGTTTTAGCCCAAATGGTGCTCTTGCAAACATGTATTGCTTGCCATTGTAGGTAAAGGCTATCAATGGTTGACTTGCCTCGTCCACTGGCATTCGGTGATATGCTTGAGAGAGATCGATCGTTGAAAAGTACTTGTGTCCTGCCACTTTTTGCTGAATATCTGTTATGAGTGGTAAAGGAAAGTTGTATGTATCCTCTAGCTGTCTGTTCAACGTGCGAGTATCAAGGCACACGCGGTACTTCATCATGTTGCCATCTGGGTCCCTGCGAGCAGCCATTGTCAGAGAATTGTTGTATGGGTTGCCTTTTGGCGCGAGCATGATGACTCCTGTGTCCCACCGCTTTTGTACTGTTCGATCTACTTCGTCTTTCTCTACCTGTGCATGAAACGGTCGATACCGTTCCTGGATTACGCAGTCAGGCTTCACCTTCAACGCGACTTTCATCGAGTCAAGTGTGCAATATGATTTTGGGACTATGGTTTCATTAGCTTTGAGAGAGGGCTCGAGCGCTCTCATAAAATCTTCTTTTTGCTTGATGAATTCAGGCGTGCGTTCTTTCAGAGGGGTCTCCTTTGGCACTACCGATGGTTTCTCATCGGATGGCACCCATAGAAATTCTTCCTCTCTCGGTGCTGGCATAACCACACCTGTGATAGCAAATCCAAATCTAGGAAAGAGATCCATTCCTACGATGAAATCGTAGTGGTCAATGTCCATGACATGGAGTTGGTACTCGACTGATCTCTTGTTGCACACAAGCTGAACTCTATCGCAGATAATGATGCTGTCTGTGCTCGAACCTCTCTGTATCATCGCAATTGATTCATTTGCTACTTTGCCATATCGAATGCCAAAGTCATCAGCTAATTCTCTACTAAGCAGAGATGTTGTCGCTCCAGGGTCTAGTAGCGCTGTGCATTGCGCGCCTAATATTCCTATTGGCACTGCTACGCGATTATCACCCAGTGCTGGCCCTTTGTATGCATATACATGCATCAAATGGACCTGTGGAGAAGATAAATAAGGAAAAGAATGATTCTTTATTCAGCTGAATTCCTCCTAGCTGTGCTTCCTCATTAACTTTGGCAAATGCTCCAACCGTCTTCATGGGCTTATAGCCCTCCCTTGCCGGTTGGTTGCCTTTGTCTACAGACTCCTTTTTCTTCTTCTGGTCGTTCTGCCAATGGAAACACTTGTCCAGCGGGTGCTTGAGCCTCAGCGTCTTACACTTCTCGGAGTACGTACAGACCTTCGAATCTGTCTTGTGCTTCTTTTGACCTCGTTCCCGACCATGGTCCTCATTCGAGTTCGACCTCTTATTCTGCAGGTAAACAGCTACCACGCGAATAGGACTTCGGCAAGGGTGTGCTTCGGTCACTTACTGGTTCGTGGTACAGGGTCCTCCTTTAGATCGGAATGTAAGAACACAAAGGTAAAATAGACTAGACGTAAATGGAAAGGAATAAATATGGGGATCTGTTTAGCTAAATGGTGCGAGCTAGGACTATATTCCTTTGGGAATGACTGGGGTAGTTGCAAGGAGTTCGCATATTATGATATCCGATGAGGTGAGGAGTCGTGATAATGAAGTTCACCCCTCTGGAGTCGTTGTATGCCAATGGTCGCTGATCAGGCCTCCGTTGTACCTTTATAATGCCGTTTCACGAGGGTGGGCCGAGGACGGATGCTCAATGAGACGATCGGTAATCGGGGAAGCGCTGCGGGGCAAGTACAATGTCTAAATAGGAGCGATTGACGGTGCAAAGGTGGCGGATGATCAGGATCGGCATTCCCTGTTGATTGTATCTCGTTGCATGGGTTACTGACGGTGGTAGTCAGTACCTGTCGTCGATGCGGTGTTATCCGGACAATCTGGACGAATACAATGTGTGATACAAATGATTTAGGTGGAAAGAAGACTCTGGTTCAGGTACCAGACCGTTTATTTTTTTATTCTGGGGGCGGTGCTCTTCCCCGTGATCTAATATTAACTTTGCAAGAACAACCAACTGATTCTCACTTACTACACCACAGTGGCTCAAGCCCGGAGGTGTGGCTCTTTCTTGGATTAATCGGATAGAGGATAAGGCCAGAGAGAGAGAGAGAGAGAGAGAGAGAGAGATAGTGTGTGTGTGTGTGTGAGGAAAAGATGAGAAGGAAGAACAAACGTTTAAATTTAACGGCTAGGGGTTGCTCCATGTTAGGCTTTCCACCCCTTTAATGTCGTTGACAAAAATTAAAATGATTGTGTATCCAAAGCCCGTCGCATCGAAGACCGCCTGTTGCACTTGGCGATGTTCTCTCGTGTGCCACTCTATGATCTTAACCAGTGGGGGTAGCCATCGTCCTTGACTCGGTCTACCCTGTTTTGAATCATTCGTGTCAACAAACACCGACACCCTGTATTTTATCTTGACTTCGTTGTTATGTAAATGGGCTTATGATTCGAGCATTTGATTTTCTGATATTCTACGGTGCGATTTGTACTGTTTCACTGCTCGCTCTGCAGCCTCCATTGGCAGTCCCTTCCTGTAAGTGTCCATATATCTAAATGCCTTCCAAGCATACCTTCGTATGGTTTCAATAGGCACCGAGTCCAGAGCTTCAGGGATGATTGACTGGAGACCTCGGAAGGAATAGTCGCAGTGCTTCCGGGTATAGCGCTTGCTTGCTCCCCAGTACATCTCTATGGAGTTGAGCTCACAATGAAATTTGGGATAGAAGACAATACGCTGTCCTTCCTCCCTTGCAATCTCCTCCAGTATCGAGCCCTGAGCAACAAAATCGGGCTGCAGTTCTAGAATTCGTTCTGCGCAACAGTCCACTCGATCAGGGTGTTTGTCGTCAGCCCTACATCTCGAGCATGTTCTAGGGAGCCCATCAATCCAGAGACCTCGGTCCTTGAGAACCTCTTTCATTCCCTTGGGGTTTCCTCGTTCGCGTAATTATCTGGAAAGACCATGGTGTAGTGGGTTCCATCTACAATGGTGTCCCGCATGACCGCTTGCTTTCCACCAGACGAAAGGTTCATCCTACTCACCACCAGTGCATCTTTGGCAACACAGTTGTGGTTTGATGAATTATCGAACGCCCAAAGTCCAATCAGATTCGGGTGGTTCCTCTTGTGTATAGTGATCGCTTTCTTGAACTGCCGAGCCATGTCTTCAGCGGTCCAATAGCCATCGTGAATTTTCCCTGGGTTGATGATCTCTCGAGCACGTATCACCTCGCCATTGTCATCGATCATCTTCAAAGGTCCCTCAAGTTCGGAAAGAAACTCACTGACCATGATGGATCGACCATAACCTTTCTTGCGCAACGGAAGTTGACCATCTGGATGCCAAAGCATAGAATTTCCTTCGTTCGAGTAGAAGATGCTCTCATCGTGAGTGTAAAACACTATCGCCTGTTCGCCTGCAGCCTAGAGCAAAGAGAAGTAATTTAGCGGTACGAATTAAATACCCATGAGTTATCTCCTAATTGCAACAAGCACTTACCAGAGTGGGCTCGATGATCTTTGTTTGATCGTTGGCGTCTACGGTTATCATCCTCTTCTAGTACTCCTCCATTCGTACAAGAAATATCTCCCGATACTCTTTCACGTCAGGTCGCTCATGGCCATCGAAATATAGGCCCTTTTTTGCCTCTGAGTATATCCAGCCCAGCGCATGTAGCCACCGACCTGCTGTTGACTCGCTGATTGAGAATTCGATGCCATTTGCTGGGAGGAAGACGTTATTGATGTGCCGCCGGAGTATCGATGGCGTGATAGTGTATTTATGATTCAACAATATCCAGGTTCTCAACTCGTTAAAGTTATCGCTTTCGGTTAGTTGGTTCCTGGTTTTGGCATGCTTCCCTCGACGCGACACAGTGATTTCCTCATTGTTCTTCCACTAAGTAGCCCATATCATCATCCTTCGTGAAAAGTGCACGCCTCTGCCAAAACCTTTCGCCGTAACCAGAGCTGCCTTAGTCTTGCTCACTCCTGGGACCAAGCGGCGTAGGTACTGCTGGAGTGCTTGCAAATTAAAGGCCTCGTCACTGAGGGGCGGATATTTCTTGTACTTGTTACCCAAGTAACCTTGAATTTCCAATACCATCCCTGCATTGCGGCGCACATCTACATTCCCGAAAGGTGATATTGCATATATGTTAGTATTAATAATTCATATTATAGGCATACAATATCCAGTTATCATACCTGAAGGTTCTACTTCCTGGATAACTCTCTTCCGGCGAGGAGCTGTCAGTGTTGGCACAGTGAACCCAAATGTAGAGAGGGGAGGGGTGCCTATTGCAGCCCTTTTGAGGACCATCTTTCGGTGGTGCAAGTTTTGTCGAGTGGTTCCATCGCAAGGCTTTGTCGTCTTCACTGAAGCAGCAGCCAATCGCATACTCGTAAGGAGTTCACCCCATTCCTCGTTATTCCCGAGAGTTCTTCTGACTGCCTGCCAATCCTCGTCATCAGTGTCGTCTTCAGCAGGCCCATCACTGTCCGATTCCGCGAGAACAGCATTCCATTCCTCAATATCGCGACTTGACTCCTGTATCTCATAGCCCGCTTTCACAGGCACATAAATGACGTTCTCCTCCTGCTGTTCTTGGTAGACTGGGTCAAGAATAGGCGGGGGTGGTTTGGGTTTTTGCGCTATTCTTCTTAAATGCTGCGTGAGTTTCTTCACTCGAGGCATTCCAAACTTAGAGGAAAGGAATGCTGACAACGATGGAGCGATGATGAGAATCACGGAAAGGGTCGCTTGAATGGAAAATACACATGGACGCTCCAACATTAAGACTAAACGTCAATAGTGACTGCTGCGAGGAAAAAGAATAAACCCCGCGCCTGGCTTAGGGAGCAAGAGGGGGAGGACGAACATGAATCTGAGTATGGATGCGGCGTTTGAACAAGGGAGGGAGGAAAGAGCTGGGTACGTGATGAGATACAGTGTCCAGCACAAACCGTAGCCCATGGGAAAGCCTTTGCAGCTCAACACGGACACTGTAATTGACCAGGATACGTGGGCCGGTTTCCCGATATAGAGAGAGTATGAGAATATGAGAAAACATCGATGAAGGAGAAGGCCGAGGAAGTTCGTTGCCTAGTAGTGGGTGTGTTGTTGGGAATGTGAGCGGTTAAAAAGTTCTAACGGCGAGAAAGAGAAAACCTTATTCAAGTCGACCAACTTTTTTTTATTTTATTTTTTCAAGCCAGCCAACCCCACAGCAACAGCAGCTTGCGTCGACAGCAGAGGGATCCTGTACTCTTTTATATACTCGACAATGCCTTACCTACCCACATATCATTTACAGAGACAAGTACCCCGCTTCCTTCCTCAGCACTTCAACCCCATCCTCATCCCCACCCTAGTGTTTTTCCGATGGTTCGAGGAGTAGTAGATGATGATGCACGGAAGAATCAATCAATTAAAATATGCGGAGCAATCTATATGTCGCAAACGACGATTACGAAGAAGAAAAAAAGCGCGCGAGCGGACCTTGGAATCGCTGTGAGTGGTGTGTTTGTTGTCGAATGGTCAACTGTGCTCTTCTCTTTCGGGCTGGGGTTCATTTCACTTATTGAATCGCAGTATGCCACAGGACCCTCTTTTGGTCTTTTCCCCCCACATTTCCCACGCAGGTCCCCAATATGGCAAACGACTCTGCGTCGTGGTCTCCAAAAATAAACATGACAAGAGCGCCTGGACAGCACCGGACATAACATTGCTACTCCACACCACCAATGGCAGCGACGACAAGAAGATCAGTAGCGATGAAAGGTTTCAACAGCTTCGTAACATCTCTTGTCTATTCTTTATAGTGTTACTACTATGACAATAGCCAAGGAGACAAGAGGTTCACGAAACTTGACCCTGCTGATGCTACTGCAATTGAAGCTTCTTGCCGCATGGTATGGAGGCAACAGACATTTGCTTCACTACTTGTGGCAGTGCGAATCCAAGCTGCTATGCGGTTGAGGAGGGAATTTACAAGAGAAAGAATGTCTCCAGGTCCAGAACAGAGATCTGGGGCAGGTTCCTGATTAATTCATCCGAAACAATATATTCAAAGTGAATGGAGCAAGGGAGAGTACATATACACACATATATAATAGCATAATAGCATTGACTGAATAGAAAGAGATGAGCGCGTGGAGTCAATAGGTTCTTAAAGCGGGTAAAGAGAGAAGTGACAGAGAACAAGAGGGTGAGCATGCACTGTGGCGGAAGACGGAAGTGGTGGAGCCGAGGATGCGATGCGGGACATAGCAGCGATGAATAATAATAGCGATGGTAATAAGACGGAGGGGTGGTGGCCAATAGATGGGGAATGGAAAAGTATTAGTCTGGCTACTGACTCGACTTGGCTTGAGTGAAGGAATCAATGTGTTTTTGGACCAGTCAAGCCAGGTCAAGCCAGGCCCATGCCAGGTCAGGTCCCGCCCAAGTCAGCCGTAGTATTTCTTTGCAGCCTTTCTTTTCTCCATTTCTTCTTTTCTTCTTTCCTTCTTCTTCTCCTTCTCTCCCCCTCATCTCCACACCCACTCCCTCCACGCTCCTCTCCTTCCCTTTCTCTACCCGCTCTATATTTTCAGCAATGGTCGTTGCTCTTCTCCGCAGAACCCCTGGGTAAGCAAAAAAATTGAACAATGGGATCATTGGCCACAGTACATGCCTACTATAGCAGCTCTGTAGTTGTGCTTCTTCTACCATTGCACCTCATCTGCGAACTGCTCATCTTGCATCTCTTTGAGACGATCTAGATCTCGCGCATTATTTGCTGTTATGTGCGAATTTAACCAAACCTAACATAATTGGTCGCTTTCCTCTACCAAACTAGCTCTTTGGCCGCGGCTGTTCGCCTTCACCGCGCTGTTGTTGCTGTCCCCACTGCTCGCTTCATGAGCACTCATGTCACGAATGTTGCTTGTGAGGACCACGAACCAAACTTCCTGGGCTCCGTCGAGACTTTCTTCGATCGCGTAAGTCCTTCATCTGCTTGGTTTCTCCTGGGAGAGATATGCAATTCTGTTCAGCTTTATCTTTTTTCGGCAGTCATAAGCGATCTCATCATACCTGGAATATAAGCTTTCAACGTGGATTGCACAGGATACGGAACGATACGGAGGGAATGGAGTCAAGGTGGGGATGGATATGATCAGGCCACACGAGAAAACAAGCAGAACTCATTGAACAGTTTTGCTATTTTCCCAGGTCGTGACTGAATGGCCCGCAGAAGGATGAAAAAAGTAGCTACAGAGGATAGGATACGAACGAATGGAATGGATCCATCAGAACATCACTTCTTCCGTCCCTGAACAACGCTGCAATTACTTAATTGCTTAATGTTTTCTCCCATTGTTTCCAACCAACCTAGGCCGCCAAGATCAGTGGTGTCTCTGAAAAATCCTTGACTGGCATCAGAGCCGTCGATTCTGTCCTGAGCGTCAAATTCCCCGTCGAAATTGATGCCGATACCCACGTCATCATTGAGGGTTACCGTGCCCAGCATTCCCGTCATCGCCTTCCCTGCAAGGGAGGTATCCGTTTTTCGGATGAGGTCGATCTCGAGGAAGTTGAAGCCTTGGCCTCGCTGATGACCTACAAGTGCGCTGTCGTCGATGTTCCTTTCGGTGGCGCCAAGGGAGGTGTTAAGCTGAACCCCAAGAAGTTCACCCCTGCCCAGCTCGAGCGCATTACCCGTCGCTACACCATGGAGCTTTGCCAAAAGAACTTCATCGGACCTGGTGTCGATGTCCCCGCTCCCGACGTTGGAACTGGACCCCGCGAGATGTCCTGGATCATGGACACCTACCGTCAGTTCAACCCCCAGGATGTCAACGCTGCTGGATGTGTCACCGGCAAGCCCATCTCCCAGGGAGGTGTCCGTGGCCGTAACGAGGCCACCGGTCTTGGTGTCTACTATGGTATCCGCGAGTTCTTGCAGTTCCCCGAGGTCCAGAAGATGACTGGTTTGACTGGCGATATTGCAGGCAAGACCGTCATTGTTCAGGGATTCGGAAACGTCGGCTACTGGGCTGCCAAGTTCTTGCAGAACAACGGTGCTAAAATCATTGGTATTGGTGAACACGACGTCGCCGCCTACGACCCCAAAGGTTTAGACATTGAGGCTATCTTCAAGCACCGTGCCGAGAAGGGATCCTTCCGTGGCTTCGGCAACGCTGAGATCATCGAAGAGCCCATCAAAGTTATGGAGCGTGAGTGTGACATCTTGATCCCCGCCGCTCTCGAGCGTCAGATCGGCCTTAAAAACGTCAAGAACATCAAAGCCAAGGTCATCGGTGAGGCCGCCAACGGACCCATCACCCCCGGTGCCCACGACTACCTTGTTTCTCAGGGCAAGGTCGTCATTCCCGACTTGCTGCTGAACTCCGGAGGTGTCACTGTCTCGTATTTTGAGTGGTTGAAGAATCTGTCCCACGTCCGCTTCGGCCGTATGTCTCGCAAGTGGGAGGAGGCTGGCAAGAACAAGCTGTTAACTCTTGTCGAGGAGAACGCCGGCCGCCAGTTGACCCCTCAGGAGCGTCGTGTTGTCATTCACGGAGCTGAGGAACATGAGCTCGTCTACTCTGGTCTTGAGGACACCATGATCGGTGCCTGCGAGGAGACTCGTGCCACTGCTGTCCTGAAGAACACCGACTTCCGCACCGCTGCTCTCGTCAACGCTATCCAGAAGATTTCGACTGTCACCACCCAGTCTGGCCAGATGTTCCTTTAAAGAGCCGTTCATGAATCCATTGGCGACTCTTCTTTTTGGTCCGTACACGTACTTTTCATATTTTTCCCCCTCCTTCATTGACACCCATGTACGATAGAATCCATAATAAAAAAAATACACATCATTATATGCAACCGAACCGCACTACATTTTGAGGATTCCCTGGGACGAAGAGCACGGTGCAGGAACCATTAAGGAGCCCTACACGTGATAAGCTTTCTTTTCATTCTTTTCATTCTCTTTCTTGTGCATCATCACATCTCCATTCGCTTCGTCCATCCTCTTCTCATCCTCTTCGTCCCTCTCACTCTTCCTCCTACCCTCTCAGCCTTATTCTCGATCCTCTTCGTCGCTTCACTTCGTCCCAACATCTTGAACGACTGAGTAACTATCGTTTCAAAATTTTCAGAGAGACTCCTCACCAAACGCACTCTCATAAATATCCTCTTTTTTTCAGACGCACATTCACACACATATCACACGCGTCTTCTACCCAGAAAAATGACTCACGACAGCTCTGTCTCTTCTCCTACTGCTGCTACTGCTACTGCTCCTACGACACTCAGGTCCAGTTTTCCTGCATTTGAAGGCTTCTCGAACGATACCACCTCTGCTCGCTTGTCCAGAATGTCTCTCCAAAATACCACCGCTACCTCGGCCTCTGCTGCTGCCAATGACGTCAACGAGTACGATAACGAGTATGATCAGGACCTTGATCACCATGGCAACATGGGAGGTGAGGGTCTGGATGCGGAAGCACCATTGACGCTCCGTGCCCTGGTCTCAACCAAGGAGGCTGGAGTGATCATCGGCAAGGCTGGGAAAAATGTGGCCGATCTTCGAGATCAGACTGGCGTCAAGGCCGGCGTCTCCAAGGTTGTTCAGGGTATCCATGACCGTGTGCTGACGGTTACCGGTACGATCGAGGGCGTTGCCAAGGTGAGTTAAATCCTGTGCAAGCCAAGTGATGAATGCGATTCTACTTTATTTTCCTTCAATTCTTGTGTTCAAGATTCGCTTCTGTTTAGCAATTTATCGTGTGTAAATTGTGTATGACGATCAACTAACCCTGACTTCGTCATTGTCTAATGGAAAACAGGCCTTCTCTCTGATTGCTCAAACCCTGTTGGAAAACCCTATCACGTCCTCGCCCCCCACCACACCCGTCAACCCCCTCCGTCCTGTCGCCCAGACATCCTCGATTCGCCTGTTGATCTCGCACAATTTGATGGGAACCATCATTGGTCGTCAGGGATTGAAGATCAAGCATATTCAGGACGCATCTTCGGCTCGCATGGTCGCCTCCAAGGAAATGCTCCCGCAATCGACAGAGCGCGTAGTCGAGGTCCAGGGAACGATCGATGCGATCCGCATTGCCATTTACGAGATTGGCAAGTGCCTTGTCGACGACTGGGAGCGGGGAGTCGGCACTGTTCTCTATAACCCCTCGGGAGCGACACGCACGGCTGGAACTGGAACTGGCAGCTTTGCGCCAGCGCAGCCAACCAGCACCGGAACGCGCTCGAATTACACATCGCGCACTGGCAACGGGTCGGATTTCACGCGCCCGCGCGAGGCATTCGGAGGACAGGCGAGCAATGCCAACCTCCGCACTCAGGAGATCTCTATCCCTGCTGACATGGTCGGTTGCATCATTGGAAAGGGCGGATCCAAGATCTCAGAGATTCGCCGTCTGTCTGGATCGCGTATTTCGATTGCAAAGACACCCCACGATGAGACTGGCGAGCGCATGTTTACGATTGTTGGAACGATGGAGTCGAACGAGAAGGCGCTCTATTTGCTGTATGGACAGCTCGAGGTCGAAAAGGACAAACGCTTGAACATGAGTGCCGACCATATCGAGGACGACGAGGAGTGATTAGGGAGTGGTATTTTCCGTTGAATGTGTGGCATCGTTTTCGACTCTTTTTACTTTTTTTTTTCTTTTTTCTTTTTCTTTTTCTTATTTGCCTTCGATCGTTATTTTGTTGTCTTTTGTTTGTTCGTTTTGTTCTTCCTCCACAAGCAAAATAATGCACATATGTCATATCCTTCTGTTTTAAACCACTCACAAAAAAAAAAGAAATGAAAAGAAAACCAGCACCAGTACGCTATATGACCAGATCAATATTTCCGAATGTATAGCTCCACCTTCCTTTCGCAACCAATCCAATGCAATGGTCGAAAAAATAAACAACATGTCTTTTTTTTTTTTTTCCTGAGCAAAATGCGTCGAGAGGATCAATGATATATATATACTATCTAGGACGGTGAATATGGTTACAGAGTTCATGCAGAGGCCTTTGTGGTCAAACGGATGCCATGCATGCCCTTGATCTCCTCCTTTAACGTCTCGTTCACAAGGCGGTGCTGCTTAACCATAGACAGATCCTTGAATGCAGGGCTGACCACCTCGACCTGATACATCGATCCGCAACCGCCTGTTTCATACCCAAAAAATGAAGATGAGATTAATGGCATGTTTCATGCTGGGTTGCTTTGCGCGAATGCATTGTATGTACCTGAAATATCCTCAACAATTAGTTTGCTGGGCTGGAACTTTTCAAACAACTTTGAGTAGAGGTGCTTCTCACCCTCGTTCAAAGACGCTGGTGGAGTGGACGAGACGACGCTGTTGAAAAGGGGAAGAGAGGTGGAGAGGAATCGTTGTGCGGTCGGGCCCGTGTGACCAAAGCGCATCAGGGGGGCGAGGCTGCGGAATGACATTGTGGAAGGTGAGGGTGGATGTATGTGAGTGCAAGAATGAGGTAGACAGGGAGGAATCGAGTTGCTGCTGAAGCCGAAGGAGTCGAGTGGATCATTGTGGCTTTGACGGTGTGATTCAGGCAGGACATGAAGATGGATTCATTTATTCCGAGTATCTGGGTATAACACTGGATATGACACCGAGGGGTCCGGCCGAGCAACAAATGATTTGCAGGCAGCTCATGGTTTGACAAGACAGAGAACATTTAGAACAGCTTTTTTTTCTTCCGCGCTTTTTCCTTTTCAGCCTTTTCTTTGTCAAGCTGCTCCTGTAGCGCCCGCCTTCGTTCCATTTCCTCTGCTTCTTTGGATGACTATGAATGATTCACATATGAATAAAGCGTCATATCAGTAACTATCCATCTTGTCCAATGTCGTATTGAATTTGCTCCACAACACTTTCTCTTACCTTGACATTAGTTCCCTCTGCATTGCGAGATTCATCGCCAGCGGTTGGAACTGAGGCAGAATCCTTTAGTATTGATGCTGTTGCGGACCCACGTGCACCCTGACTGGAGGATGCTTGGACCTGTTGAGTTAGTGATGCTGAGGGTAATTCACCTTTTTGCTCAAACGATGATATCGGTATATCTATAAAGCACCGGACGAAACTATTTTCATTAATATTCGTGTGGAAGATGTTAACAAAGTGGTGCCTTTTCAGACCCAAACATACGCCAGCCCCTTACCTTGGTCTCCTGCGTTCTTGGAAACAATCGAACACAGCGCCGGAATCCTATCCTCTGAAAACAGTTCCCTTGGGCCAAACATCTGCGGTTTGACCAATTGTTCGACATCCTTATTTAACCGCATCTCTGTGCGCGCTCTATCATACCTCTCCGTGGCCTTGCGTCGGTGGTGATAAGCAACCCCGCTCTGCTCTAACATCTCAAGCGCCTCGACCACCTCATGTTCTTTGGATTTAATGATTCCCTCGAGATCCTTCGCCTGCTTGCGATAAGCGTTGGTCAGCGAGATCAGAGGGAGTACCAGGTGATCGAATAGGACAGACATGCCATCGACAGGGATCCTCGCCTTTTGTCTGCTGCTGCTACTCTCGTTCCCGTCATCACTCTTATCCTCGTTATCACTCTCGCTCCTGGAATTGTTGTCTTCATTGTCGCTATCCTCAAGGAAATTCCTGCTTCGCTTCTGTCTCGTTTTCCGTTTGGATTTCGACATGGTTTCCAAAGAGAGCTCTTCGTCGGACAAGTCTGGCTCCAAGGACGACGTGAATATTGGGTGGTGAAGTCCCGTTGCCTGGATCATGGGCCTCAGCTTGAAGTTCCATTGCACACTCGCCAAACCGAACTTGAATCCCACCATCAAAACCAACTAGAGATGAGACAAATAGCAGAGAGTATGTCATTAGAAGAAAAATGGTTATTTCAGATCGACTTTTTTTTTCTTTTTATTCTCTCGTTGGATAACTTGCCGTTCTGTTACGCATTGCAAGTTGTGGCTGTGAAGATGCCGCAGACGATCCAGGTGTTTTGGCCGCATCAAGATTCTCTGTCGCAAAAATGGCCGAGAGTGATAAAAGTAATGCCTCCAACTGCGAATCTTCCTCATATGCGAAGCTCCTGATTTCCTATGTTCCGACGGAAAAAATAAATAAAAAAGCAGCACATCAATAAGCTGCTGAAGTGTCTACACATTCCACCCCTCGCGAAATAGAGTTACCTTGCACCGTTCGCGAATACCCTCGATCTGCAACTTCTCACACCAGCACTGCTTGAAGTTCGTCACCAGGATGACATAAGACTTCTCGGTCTCTGAAAAATAGGATTTGACCAAAAACGTATCCTGGCCGTACTCTTTGAGAAAGAGGCTATTGTCATCTCTGTCGTCGTCTTCCTGGTCGTCGTTTGGGAATGAGCTCAGCACATGAGCTGTCGTCGTAGAGGTAATTCCTGATGCCTTGTTGCCTGGACCAGAGAGAAGTTGCCATTCTTGTTTCCGGAGCAGATCGTTATCCTTGCGGGTGAGGTACGGCATTGTGAAGCGATGCCAAACGAGAAAGCAAAGAGGGCAGAGATACCAAAGTGTGGGTTATTTTGCCACCAAAACAAAAATAGAAAGAGAAAAAGATGCACAGCCAGGTTCTCAAACGAAGCTGCTGGGAGATCTCTCTCTCTCTCTCTCTTTCAAACAGTACCACGGGTTGCATCTTTCAAAAGCAATCTCAATTATCTCAATCCAATCATTCGTTTATTAAAGACCACTAGCCGGCAGGACATCTAATAAAAAGTACTATCAAAAAGACGTCCTGACGTTTTGCTGTTGTAATGATTCGATTTTCGTTCACTATGCATCCCTGTCTTCGTTTTTCCCGCTGCCGACCTGCTGCTGAAGTCCGTATGAGTATATCATCATCCTGCTGTGTATCCATGCCGCTTCGCTATCCCCATACCATTTAGCAGATAGCACAGCACGCGTTCTGCTTCTTGGCCTGCTTGTAAAACATCTTTGAATTGGACGAAAGCACATCCGAGCGCTCGACCAAACTCTCCATCTTCTCGCCACGTTCTAAGACCGATTCGATCGTCTTATGCAGAATGATCTTGGTCTCATCCAACTCACGCTGCACCTTCATGATGGTGTCGCCTTGCTTGGGATCCTGATACGTGACCAGATACTGCTGAAGCTCCGGGTAGCTAATGCTCTGCTGCTGTCCAGATGATGATGCTGTCCAGGCTGCGTTGTTGGGCCACCGGCTCAAGAACTCGTCCAGGACCTTATTTAACAATCCAAAGGCAACGCGCGTAGGGTATTCCTTGTCCGTCACAATCACTCCTGCAACCCCTTCAGCTCTGGCGTACACATGGCCCACATAGTCTTGTGATAAGATCGAGAAAAGAAAAGAAAAAAAGGGTCAGCTAACATGTACGGGCTTCAGTTGCATGTGATGTGCGCTGCAGCACTGGTATAAAGAGTGATTGGCGTTTTCACCTACTGGAGTCCTCAATACTCTGTCGCTGTCCAGGCTGGGTCTTTTCCGCAATAGTCTGGGCCATGAAAGTCATGAATTCACCAATGCTATTTTCCAAAAAAAAAAAAAAAAAAAAAAAACGTGGAACCACGCAAAGGTCAGTCATAAAGAAGAAAGCTTTTGCCACATAGCAAGTACCTCGTTAACCTTGGTAACTGCGCAGGCTTCGGATGGGCTGTGGTGATGCGAAACCGCATTCTGTGCGAATTCGGACACAGGTGGAGAAAAAAAAAAGAAAAAAGGCAATGCAAAAGCGCAAACGAACCTTGAGCGCTGGAAGAAACCAAAGCTGGCCAGGTCCTTGGCATCAACAATAGCTTTGGCGGGCTTGGTGTCATTGCGGATGACGAAGATGGAGTAGAGTTTCATGGTTATTAAGGGAGCTTGGCTGTTGCAAGAAGATAGTCGAGAGTGAGTAGGACGGAGGAAGACAGATGATGGCAGGATGATGTTGAGATGGTGGAAAAAGTGAACAAAGAGAAGAGCAGGAGAGCGTCAGCGAGTGGAGAGGAAAAATAATCTTAAGCGATATTCGTCATATGACAGCGCGTCTCACTACACTTCTTTTGTTTTTGGTTATTGGAGACGTACGGGGAAGAATATATCAAAGGGGAAGTGGCGAGGAAGAGAGAGAAGGAGAAGAAAGATGGGTGTAGGCGAGGGTGTGAGGATGGACAGAGAGATGGCACGACCAAGCAAGAGAAGAAAGAGACCTGGCCGAAAAAGGAAGTGGGGCCCAAGAATTCAAGTAGTCAAGTGGCGAAATTGATAGATTCTCTTAAATGCTGCTGTGTTTGCAGTTATGGAGGCCGGCACAATATCCATGCTCCATGCTCCATGCTTTAAATTTTTATCGAGGAGATATTTAGGTAGCACCATTTTTTATGGATGGAGTATGGAGAATAAAGACTATTTTGTCGAGGACCTCTCTTCATTCGCCATAGCTCCGATCGGCCGCATCAGGCTGCCTGTCGAGCTCACGCTCGTACGCGAGCTGCTCCTCTATCTCGCTTTCGATCTCCGTCAGGATGTCGATCAGCAGCCAGGCATCAACCCCCAAACGGCTATAAAGATGTCTCTGCAGTGCACGGACCCTGGCACCGCATGACGAAAGAGGGACCGGAGATAGTGGCGGCGAAACTGATCCCGACACTAACGCTGACGATGGCGATCGATGGGGGGGCGACAAGGGGTTTCCATGGCCAGGATGGTAGTCGCTGCCTTGATCCATTGCATCCAAGTCCTCTTTCGCACTTGCTTCATAAGCAGCCATATCCTCCTCCGAGAATGCCGACTGTCGCACAAATGTCAGTGCAAGCAACCATACAAGCTGATATGCCTCGGGCGAACATGCCATCTTGATGCGGATCGAGCGATTGCCAGCAGCTGAAGATTCAGAGAGTGGAATCTCGGCCACCCGTGGACCTTGCAGTGACACGGTCACCAGTCCCATAGCCAGCCAGATCCAGTGCTTCTCTTCCACATTGGCGCCCTTTCGCAAGAACTCGTCCACCCTGCTATTCGTGTCCAGGACGGCATCTCCCTCTACGAGTTGGTTGCAAAGCAATAGACCCTGGGCCAAACATCCATTATCCAGCAGCAGATAGCCGTCATCGCTGATCCTGACCATCTCACTGCCCTTTGGCAGGCTGGCGACAATACCTGAGGGTAGCATTGTAATCTGGTCATTCGTTGTCCATTCAATGTTCAGTCCGATCCTCCTTTGCTCTCCAACACTCCGCATCAGATCGTCTTTGCCATCAACATCCTTGTCTTGCACGAACACCAGTCGCCTCTTGATCTGTTCCCACTGGCGACCAGTTCTGGTGCTCTTCATACGCGCCTCTCTTTCTTGAAGCCTGGTCCACTTTTGCAATCGTTTGACTTGCGCCACGTTCCACTCCGTGATCCCGAGCAGTGTGTCCAATATAACGTGGTCGAAACAAATCCGAAAAGCTGCCTGTGCGGGATCCAACGACTCCTGAATCCAAGCTGATACGTGAGAATGGACGATCAAACGCTCCCGTCGGAGGCTCAAGAGTGTGTCCTCGAACGTGTGTTTCCACTCCCGGTCGAACACCCCTGAAGAGTCCATTTGGATTTCAAACGACTGCTGAAGTGCGAGGTTGACTATATCGGTCGCTGCCAGCATAGTATCAGAAGCGGATGATTTAAAGTTCTGGACGCAATTGGCAAACTGCAGAGAGAGAGGAGAAATTATCAATAGCAGTAATTGACCACGCGAATGAACTCATTGATACAAAAACTGAACCCTTACCAGAACGGTCAGTTTGACCTTCTCCACATCCACTGGCGCCGGCCCCCCGGGGATCTGGAGCTGCTCCATCAGCCGATTCTGCACTATGTAGCTCTCCATCCCGAGATCCCTCATGATATCCAACGTCTCGCGCAAATGCGACAGCGGAACTCCCTTAAGAACCTCAGCAAAGTCTTCCTGCCGAAACTCGATACGCTTGGGTTTGTTGCCATAGCCTAATAGCTCCGTCTTCATTGTCCTAACGGCCACAGAGGATGACATGACCGGCGAGGCTGTAGATTGCTGATAAACATGTCGGACCATTGCGTGGCATCCAGGGATACAGCACTGCAAGAGCAATACCCGTGAGATACCCGGACATCTCAGGCCTGATCGAGGCTTAAGTTCAAACCCCTGCTCAAACAACCAATCCAATACAACTGGGGCCCGGTGCATCAGAAATGCTACCATGACTTCAGTGTGCTGCAGGTTATAGAAGTACCAGATTGAGGTACCCTGGCCCTTCAGCCCCTGCCTATTGATAACATGCGACCCATCGCTCGGAAATACATCTGGCTCTCCCGTCATCGCCCTGCAACCGCCCTTGTAGTGCATTTTGCGATCAGCATCGTCTTCGGGCAAGGGCATATATCCGTATTCGACAACGAGACTTTCAACAATACTGGGCGAGTACAGGCGAGGACCATCGATGATGCTGCGTACAGATCTCCCCCACTTTTTCGGATGCATTGCAAGTCCGTCAAAGACACCCGATGCGATTTGAAAGAGACGAGCGTCGTCTTGAACCATTCGCATACCGCCATGCGGCTGGGACTGCGTCTTTAAATCCTTCAGTGTCATGGACACTGTTGGTGGGCGCTGTAAGCGGTCCATCCAAAAGCAATCTGCACGTCGATTTAGAAACGGCGAAGAGGGTATCCTAGCCAGTATATCGGTATCCATTTCTGCTTGTGAATCGATCAGTTTAGTCAAAGCGACTCGCCTCCAGTAAATTGCCGCAACCTGCCGTTCGGAAAGTTCAGTTGATGTCGCTGCCGTGCTCAGGTCTGGGTTTGGTGAGAAGGGTGGCTTCAATGGGACTTGCGTTAAGTCCACCAGGAGATCAACTATCAGCTTGGAGTGCTGCCGCTCGAGGTATCTGACAGCCTCTGCCATAAGCAATTGCTCTTCCCGTTCCTCACACCGTTGATTTCCGTTGACGATCCTCTCGCGCTGTTCTTCCTGACTGTTCAACCTGGCCCTGCCAGCCGCTCCAGCTCCGCCCCGCCTTCTTCCGATGATGGCCGATGTCTCTGAAAATACTAATGCGTTTGGATCCTCGTCCTTGTTGCCACCAGGATCGTTATCGTCGACCTGCGCTTGCATCTGCTGACCCTGTTGTGGCCGTTGTCGATGTGGGCGTTGCTGCGCTCTTGCTCGTCGACTGTGCTGGTCCTGCAGTCCTTCAGCCTTGGCCCCTGGTTTTGCTTCCTGCCCATTCCCCTCAAAACCTGCAGGGTCCTGCGCATCTATATCCTGATGCTCTTCCAAATCTTCAGGCAGCACATGCCAGAACGCACGCCCACGGATAATAAAATATCCAAACTCTAGACGAGCCCTTGCAGTCAGGTATCGGACAGCAGATTCGGGAAGAGTGCTGCGGTTGCCATAGTATCCAAAATGTAATCGCTGCACCAGGTACCTCGAGAGGTAAGCCTTTGGGCGCAGGGCTGACGACGGGTTTGGGCTCTCTTGGTCTTGCTGTTGGGCGAACTGTGTGGACTGTGCAAATGTACTTGAGTGTGACCGTGAAGCAATGGAAGAAGAGGCCGAGGGAGAAAATGAAGTAGAAGATAACGACGAAGGAGAAGAGCAAGTAGAGGGTGATGCAGGCGAAGTAAACGATATCGGCAGATAGGGTGTGTGGGGCGGGAGGAGTTCCTCGAGGAGTGCGGTCGAGAAGAGTTCGCTGTGGTTTTTGAGCAGCATGTGTAGCAAACACCAAGGCGAGTACTGCTGGCTCAGCCAGACGGCGTGCTCGTGCGCCTGAGCGGTTGTAAAAGACATTGGCGCCGTTCGTAATGGATGGACAGGAAGATCTAATAACAGTGGGACAGGGGTGTGCGTGTGTTTGTGCAAGTAGAAAGTTGTGGCAAAGGAAAAGAAAGAAGGAGAGGTGGAAAAGATAAAGGAGACAGCGTGTGGATATAAATCTCATCATGGACCAAGAACCCCATGCAAGCAACACTACACAAAGGAGCACTCCGACCAAGGCTCGACACAAAGCAGATTGGTCATTGCTGATCGGCACAAAGGCATTCGAATGCAGGATGGTTCATGAGACTTGGCTCCGAGATTCATCGCGCCCATTTTCTCTCTGTGAGTGCTCAGTCGACTCCACTGCGATCACACAGAAGCACTCTAACATTTGCGCTGACATGACATGCGGGTCAATTGGGCTTTACAGCTGTATGCCATTCACAGGCAGCTGCGGTAAGGCACCGAAGGATTGGCTACGGCATATGCCCAGTGGAGGCGCGGCGAACCATATCCTTTGGCATCCACCGTCTTTTAATTCAACACCTTATGATCCACACGCTTTCTCCTGCGGTCTATGGGACTCAACTGTCAGGACCGGACAAGAAGAGAGGTTCTGCACAGTACCATCGTTTATCTTGTAGTGCAAGTTTCCTTGTCCCATTAAAGAGCTGCTACAAACATGCAACTTGTCTACTGACAACAGTCAACGTGCATTGTTGAAAAGCTCGCCAAGCCCGCACAAAGGAGCAAGGATCTCAGTGAGATATGCTACCCAGCTTTTCTTTCGACCATGCGGTGAGAAACAAACTAGTTCCACCACTCTTTGCACGAGAGTGGGTAATAACCGACTTCAGATAATCATTGACCGCACAAGATAAATAACTGCCTGTCATTCCTTGCCACCAATTTTCTCTGCCAGCGGGGACCTTTTAATTATAGATACTTTCCTAGTTGGTTATCGATCATGGGCTTGGAAGGAATCTACCCGTGGCTGAGAAAGAAGAGGGGCTACAATCCCACCCCATGCACTACCACCTGCCTGACGACCCCATCCCCACTATACCCACTATTCGCGTCGATGTTCTGTCCTTCTTCCATAAAATTCGCGGGATCTACACCAAACACGCAGACGACAAACAATTGGCGCATGCTATCCTGCTTGAGCATCTCAAAAAGTATGGCAACCCCTTGCACATGCGCATAGCGTTCTATGTCGACGGCGTCCCTGCTTTCGAGAAGAAAGAGACTCACCGCAAGCGGAACGAGAAGCAAGTCAAGGGCCTCAAGAACGCCAAGATCGCAATCGAGACGCTCAGCAACCGTGTCAGTCAAGGCAAGCCGCTTACCAAGCAAATGTTCAAGAATGTCGAAAACAGCCTCCGCGGAGGATTCAAGTGGTCCCTTCATGATCGGGAGGACTTCATTCAGTTCTTGCTTGGTCGAGAGCTTGACGCGCATCTGTGCTGGACCGAAGCCGACATCGCCATCGCTGCTGACTGTCAACCCGAAGACATTGTTCTGTCTCAAGACTCGGACTCCTTCGCTTACGATTCGGTCTCGACAATCTGGTGTCCTGTGGGCAAGTGGGACGAGGTCAAGGTCCTCGAATATAAGAGAGCGGCGGTGCTGGCCCAGATAGGACTCTCGACCACCAAACTCACTGCCCTAGCATGCGTCTCGCGTAATGACTATCCCATCGATGGGCCTTGCCACCAACTACAGCATTATTAAGGATCTATCCGATGCAGGTAGGAACGAATAACTTGCCTGCATGCCCATATCGCCTCTATTCCTTGTGGACATGGCCAGACTCATCGTGACTCTTTTTTTGAACCCTTTCTCTATTAGACGTGCCGTCCCTGGCAGAGGAGTATCTCGAGAGCCCACGCGTGATTTGCGGCAGTCAGGAAGGCATCGACTCTATTCTCGTGTTTATTACAATGACCCAGGAGATTGCTGTTTCAGCGGACGTATCCTCTGTTTTGTCGCCGTCCTCACAGTCAGCGACGCCTTTGACGGTCTCCCCTGCATCTTCCCTTTCCTACGAGCTGCTTTGTCAGCAGTACAAGGTGGTCAAGGACCGGCATGCCAGAGTCAAGGAACAGAAGCGCCAAGAGAACTTGAGCATCAAGAGGTAATACATTAGGTGCTATGTGATTGTCTCACATGACCTCTGATATGTCTTTCCCATCACTTGCAAACGGTATGACGCCTTGTTTACCTTTTATCGCACTCTTTGATATGCTCTAGCAACGCCAAACCCGATCGGCAGGGCAAGCACAAGGAATCTAGGAGGTACCGTGTGATCGACCGGCTAGCTCACCAGCCTGGAGTCTCAAGACAGGTGCATCGGCCACGGTACTCGTACAAGGCACGGCCAGAACCGCAGCAGCACGAGCAACCATCCATCTGCAAGCAATACCAGTGGAAGCCGTACACGGCGAAGCAGGAGGCACGATACCGGGAGTCAGTAGCCGAGTCCAAGGGGAAGGAGGCAAAGAAGAAGCGACAACGAGAGGCTCGGCGACTCCAGAAGGAAAAGGAGCTAGCCAAGAAGCCATCATTCAAGATCGACAAGATGAACAAGATGCAGCTGATCAATGCCATGGTGTGGGAGCACCCCCTTGTCTCCCTTCCCGTCGGCACAGTCAAAGCTAACAGCAAGCGGGCAGCGGCAGCAGCTATAGCGCGGGATATCTAGTCGCCACTGTACGTAGAAAACGTTGAAACTCAAAAACCTTGGAACTAGAGGTTATATTGATAAACGGCGAACATTGGTTTGCAGAGGGAAGGGTTATACGCACTTTAATGATCCAAACTTCGATTCAGTGGTTGTACTTGAAAATGAATAGGTGTTTCTAGATAAAAGTTACATGTCGCGACTAGACGTCCCGCACTGTACCACCAACAACAGTCAGCTCCCCTCGTCTGAGCAGCAACAGCAACATCAGCAGCAACGGGTCGCTGCTTGTATCCTTGAGGTTGTTGAGCAAGTTCGTGTGACGAAGAGACACGCACAGGAGTTTCTGGGCGCGTTCATCGAGACCGTTGGTCTGACTGGGGAGGACCGAACCATCCTATCATTTTTATGTCCCGCCGTCGAATCCAAGATCCGTGTGGCGCTCCAACCTAACAAGGACTCTCAGGCGACCAGCAGCAGTATCGCCAGCACTTCCACTGAGAGTAATAGTGAGGAAGGCGAAAAAGACGCGGAGGATGGTGTCGACAACGACACTGAGGATGATGGCGACGAAGATGCCGAGCCGTCCGCAATGGATAAGCCCTTCATCGCCTTCTACTAGATTCTGCTAGCACACATCTACTCCTGCAAGATCAAGTCCAAGACGGTTATCGAGCGGCAAGTCGGCCAGCTACTTGCACGTGCTACAGCCCTGGGCATTACATTGCCCCCTGTTCCTCCCCGCTCCGTCTCCTACCCAACCAACGAGTTGCTCGAGTCGACCACCAAACAGTTTTATCGCTCAGTGAAAATGATGTATCGAAACGGCTCGGTCGCCCTTGAGAAGAAGGTAATGTGGCGCTGCCATTTCAAGCTTTATCACGGGCGAAATGCAAAGAGAGCAGCATTCATGAAATACTTATTTTGAACCAATGTCTTCTTTTCTTTTTACAATAGATCAACTCACAAGCGGATGCCCAACCTGACGCGGTGCTTCTAAAGATCGACCCCGAGCTTCCTGCCATTGAGAACTATCTACTTCTCAATAAGGCCAGTGGCGGATCGAGACGTATTGCGCCTCTCTCACTCCTGGCGGCTCGCTATGTTGGCTTCTCTGAGCGGCATTTGCTCCCGCTGTTCTGGCACTGGCCGACCCTCAAGGACAAGATCCGGCGTATGATGGTCGAGGATCGTTATTTTCAGGATCCAGCCATAGTTCCCGCGCAGGCTGACGCTCTAAACTGGCTGACCAAGACAACGCCTGGCCGCCTTGTCACCACTTTCTTGACGGATGTAGGTCTCCCGCCTGACAAGCACGACAAAGGCTACCGCAAGGTGACAGCAATTATGGACTTGGACGGCAAGAACGGCAAGGGAGGGCTTCGAGAACACCTCGGATGTTTGTGGGCCGAGACGTTCGACCCAAGGAGTGGCACGGCAGGGGTTATATCCTCAGGGGCTCGATCCGGACCAACGGCCGTCTGCTACAGGTGCTGGCGTTTAAACTGAAGGAGCTGCAGTCTGTTCGGTACCGCCGTGTTCCCGAGAACAAGTTGCCCAATCCTTTCGTCACCACCATTGGCGGCACCAACAGGTACCTGACTGAGGCCCGCAATGTCTTCTCCACATCTGCAGCTGTGGAGAGCTTGTTGGCTGCAGATCCAAGTCAGGTTGGGGTGTTGCCGCTCGATTTGGGTACCTCCTGTCTCGTTGGTGCCACCGTCTCGCTCCCACCTGGCCAGACTCCTGCCATATTGAAGCGACCCCTCGGCGAGGAGGGCGACCAGAAGAAGAAGAAGACAAGGCGTGCCAAGCGGAAGCCCAGTGATCGGAAGGACCAGAGGAAGAGGCAGAAGGCGCGCAAGCTGACCAAGCAGACTCAGACGACTCAGTACTTTGATATGGTGGTCAAGCGCAAGGCCGTGTCGCGGCCAACGGACAGCTTTGCCAATTGGCTCGAGGAACGAAAAGAGAATTCCATTGGAGCATCCACCGGCAGGACCATCCAGGATATCGAGACTGACCTGCCACTGCTCAAGGGAGAAGGCGCCTCCTTTCGCAAGTACGTTGCAGCGCGTCGAGCATCAGAAGAAGATTTAAACAACTTTTACAATAACACCAACTTCTGGAAGCATGGGTGGGACGCTGAAGTTTGTCGAAAGGAGGAGTTCTACAAGGTTACCAACGGCTTGCTAAATATGATTGGAGGATCTGTCGGAAGGCCGAGGTTGCCGCATCAACATGTCGCGATCGCGATCGGTCTGGCCAAGTTTACTGCTGTGCAGGGCCCTCCAGCACTCAATAGCACGTTCGAGGCGTTTTTCGTCAATCTGGTAGGGCACATCGTTGCGACGACTGTTCAGCAGGGTCGTTCATTTACTGCGACATACTAACAATGTCTCCAAACAATGCCTTCATTTTCTTTTTTATCGACTTAGGCACGGTCATTGGACTACCTAGTGCTTGGGATCAATGAGCACTACTCGTCTAAGAAATGCCCAGTCTGCCATGGCTTTGTCTGCGCGACATCGAACTGGCGCACCCTTTATTGCAAGACGCGTAAGTGCTTCCGACAGCGGTACGTGATGGCGTCCGCGAACATGAACAATGCTATCAAGGCCCACCTGATCCACCAGCAGCGGCCGCTGTACCTTCAACCTCAGCGTCAAGACGGATCATACCCATGGATGAATGTCGCTGCTGATAGCGGTAGTGGTGGTAGTGGAGGAGAAGCAGGCGGACTATCAGCTGATGCCATTGACAGCATTGGAGTTGGAGCAGGCGGCAGTGGTGGCGGAGGAGCAGCAGCAGCCAGCCCGTCGATAGCAGCAGCGACCAATTCAGGTGGCCTAACCAGCAAGAGACGCGCCGCTTCGATCGTCTCGGTTGAGGTCTCCAACACCGACGTCAATCCCACGGCTGATGCATCAAGTTCTTCATCCGACCGCACAATGAAGAAGGCAAGGAAGGAAGGAACACAGGAGTTTCACCAAGTAGCAAAATAGCTAGATATGCATGCTTGTCAGCATGTTCATAGTGTAGGGTCACGTGCGCTCGGTGACGTCATCGTAGTCCGATGCGCGGATGTCTTGTCGACAAGGGCGTGGATGTGTTTTCTTTTTCCACTCTCATCTGTCCTCCATTTGGTTTACAGATAAATAATATACTCAGACCATTGCGACCCCGACTGCAGACACAACTTGCACAACCATCCATTTTTCCGCATCCTGCTCCATCCACGGGAGAGGGATTTCCTTCAAGCAACAACAACTGCATCAACAATAACTGCCGCAATTAGTGCCGACTTTCCAGCCCAGCCATAGAAGACAACACTTGCTCTTCCCTAACTAGAAACCAGACACGCGCGGTTGATTCTACGTGTACTCGAGTGATCGAGCTATATTTGCGGACTCCTTCTTCCCCTTTCTCCGACGTACAGCGATCCGCAACATGAATCCAGCACAATTACAACCTCAGCAACAACAACAGCAGCCTCAGCAGCAGCAGCAACCACAGGCCATTAGCCATGAGATGGTGGCCAACATATCTCAAGAGCAGATCACCAGTGTCTTGAACGTAAGTCATCCTAACAACAAACAGATTGATCCTGATCCCTGCATCAGTTGCGTACTGACTGTTTTTGGACCTGATGGCTTGCTTGCCTTCATAGGCTGTTCGCAATATGAAAGCTGCAGGAGCAACGGAGCAAACCAACCAGCAATATGCCCAGCTGATGAATTTGTTGCGTGCCTACCAAGCTGCACAAGCTCAGAATCAGCAACGCGCCCAAGCGGCTCAAGGCCTTGCACCTTATCAGCAGCAACAACAACTTCTCCAGATGCAGCAGCAACAACAATTTCATCAGCTTCAGCAAGCTCAACAGCAGCAGCTCCATCAGCTACAGCAGCAGCAGCCCCCTGGCGCGCCGGCCTTGCCTCCTACCCAGGGATCGCCCTTTTCAACAGAGCAGCTCACAGACCTTCGATACCAGATAATCGCATTCAAGCTGATCTCGGCCAACATGGCTGTACCACCACATCTTCAGGAAGCCATTTTCACACCAAAGTCGGTCGAACAAGCTTTGAGCGCCAAGGAACCCACAGCATCAGTTGCTGGTAGAATCGTGGATGTGGCCCGCCACCATTTATCCGAGCAGATGCCAACAGCATCCGATTACAACGCCTACACATCGCCATTCTCATATCTTCAAAAGACCCTGCCCGCCGCGGTCCATGCTTCACGGCAGCAGCGCCTCCTGATTCCCAGTATATCGCCAGTGGGCATTGACCCATATGCTTTGGCCCAGGAGCGCGACAACCGACTGAAGACACGTGTCAAGTACCGCATCGAGGAGCTCGACAGCCTCCCCAGCAATATTGCCAGCGAGGCCCTGGATCCCTCTGGCGGCCTTTTGGACCAAGAAAACAAGGCTCCCCCTTCGGGACCCAAGCTGAAAGCCCTTATTGAGCTGAAGGCCCTGAGACTTTTGGAAAGACAGAAGAAGGTGCAGTCAACGATCGTGCTACGCACGTGCATGTTGTATCGATGCATCTATGGTGGGCGTGAAAGCTAACTGTTGCTGTTCATCTCATTGATACTACCGATCAACGATAGCTTCGAGCTGAAATCATCAAGGGAATGTCCAAAGCGACCATGCTTGCAACGTCTACGGACAGAGCCGCATATCGCAGGATGAAGAAACAATCGTTGCGCGAGGCTCGCATGACTGAGAAGCTCGAAAGGCAGCAGAGACAGGATCGCGAGGGACGTGAGAAGCAGAAGCACATGGACTACTTGCAGAACATTGTCAACCACGGACGCGATATGATCCAGTGGCACAGGACACAGCAGATGAAGCAAAACAAGCTGGGTCGCCTGGTTCTTCAGTTCCACGCCCACGTTGAAAAGGAAGAGGCCAAGCGTATCGAACGTATCTCGAAGGAGCGTCTGAAAGCTTTGAAGAATGACGATGAAGAGGCGTACATGAAGCTCATTGATCAGGCCAAGGACACGCGTATCACACACTTGTTGCAGCAGACCGACTCCTATCTTGCGTCGCTTGCAGAGGCCGTTACTGCCCAGCAAAACGACTCTGTCCACTCGGACATTATTACGCGCGGCGGTATTGAGCTTATGGATGATGAGAGCGATTTCGATTATGGCGACGGAGTAAGTGATTCAACACAATGATCTGAACTTTGTGGAGATATGTGATATCTGCTTTGGAAGCTAACAAAGGTATCTTTGTGGCCAACTGGAAAAATAGGAGGACAACAGGCGCAACGACTATTACAATATTGCACACAAGATTCAAGAAAAGATCACGAAGCAGCCGGCTATCTTGACCGGAGGAACGCTGAAGGAGTACCAGATGAAGGGTCTGCAGTGGATGGCGTCTCTCTACAACAATCGTTTGAACGGAATTCTGGCAGACGAGATGGGATTGGGTAAAACTATTCAAACCATCTCCTTGGTCACATTTTTAATTGAGGCTAAGCAGCAGAACGGGCCCTTCCTCATCCTTGTACCACTTTCGTAAGTGTACTTTTACATGTGGATCACTGCTAACATTTAGACCTCATGTTTTTGCGATGGACGCGTCTGACTGACTACGCGCTTATTATTTCGTAATAACTACAGCACGCTCACGAATTGGACGTTGGAATTCGAAAAGTGGGCTCCTCAGGTCACGAAGGTTGTCTACAAAGGTGTTCCCTCGCAGCGTAAGCACATTCAGCAAACAGAGATTCGACACCGGAACTTCCAAGTGCTTTTGACAACATACGAATACGTTATCAAGGACAGGCCGATCCTCAGTAAAATTAAATGGGTGTACCTGATCATCGACGAGGGTCATCGTCTCAAAAATGCCAACTCGAAGTTGTTTGTGACCCTGACTCAGCACTACTCTTCCCGATACCGACTCATTCTCACTGGAACGCCCTTGCAGAACAACCTACCAGAACTCTGGGCCCTTCTCAACATGGTGCTCCCGCGTGTCTTCAATTCTGCCCAGTCCTTTGACGAATGGTTCAATACGCCGTTTGCGAATACAGGAGGTCAGGATAAGATTGAGTTGAACGAAGAAGAGGCCCTGCTAATTATCAAGCGTCTGCACAAGGTGTTGCGACCTTTCTTGCTGCGCCGTTTGAAAAAGGATGTCGAGTCAGAGCTGCCAGACAAGGTCGAGCGTGTTATTCGATGCAAGATGTCGTCCTTGCAGCTGAAGCTCTACAACCAAATGAAGAAACACGGCATGCTTTTTACTCAGGGAGGCGAAAAAGGGTAAGAGAACAGCGGGACTTGAGATTTATGACTATCAAGCATCCTAAATCCAATAATGGCTCACTTCATCTTTTCTGTATTGCCTGCTGCATCTAGACGCACTGGCATCAAGGGTCTAAACAACACAATCATGCAGCTCCGCAAGATCTGCAATCATCCATATGTTTTTGAGGAGGTTGAGCGCGTTATCAACCCCGCAAAGAATAACAACGATGGCCTCTGGCGTGTCGCTGGAAAGTTTGAGCTTTTGGACCGCATGCTTCCAAAGCTTTACAAGACCGGTCACAGAGTGCTGATTTTCTTCCAGATGACAGCCATCATGAACATCATGGAGGATTTCCTGCATTACCGCCACTACCAATACATGCGTTTGGACGGTTCCACCAAGGTACGTTTATGACAGCTTTACCTGCGATCGCTACAATATTGTACACCGAAATGCCTAGCCTAACGCCGTTTGGTTTCTCTTTTCTTTTTCTTTTTCTTTTTTGTATTTTTTTCTTGACTGGCTGATGAACTGTTTAGTCGGACGATCGTTCGGCCCTGCTTAAACAATTCAATGCCCCAGACTCGCCCTATTTTGTGTTCTTGCTTAGTACGAGAGCTGGTGGTCTTGGATTGAACTTGCAAACTGCAGATACAGTCATTATCTTTGACTCGGACTGGAACCCTCATCAGGATTTGCAGGCACAGGACCGCGCCCATCGTATCGGTCAGACCAAGGAGGTCCGCATTTTCCGTTTGGTCACGGAGAAGTCGGTGGAAGAGCACATCTTGGCTCGAGCCCAGTATAAGTTGGAAATTGACGGCAAGGTCATCCAGGCTGGTAAATTCGATAACAAGAGTACGGCGGAGGAGCAGGAGTCGTTCTTGCGGTCATTGCTGGAAAGCGACAACAATAAGGAGGAGAACGATGTCGAGGAGGAAGACATGAACGATGAGGAGCTGAATGAGATTGTTGCGCGATCAGAGAATGAGATGGTAGTTTTCCGAGAGATTGATGCGGAGAGAAAGATTGTTGAAGACGCAATATTCAAGGAGACTGGTGTCAGGCGCGAACGTATGATTCAAGAGTCGGAGTTGCCTGAGGTTTACTTACACGATGAGGACGTTCAACAGGTAGCTCAGGTTGAGGAGGATCTTGGACGCGGACAGAGAGTCAGGGCTGAAACTCGCTACGATGATGGCTTAACGGAGGAGCAATGGCTCGAGGCCCTAGAGGATGAGGACAAGGACCTGCAAGAGGCCATTGCTCAAAAAGCAGAGCGTCGTCGCAGGAGAGAGGAGAGGAGATTGCTGAAGGAGGCTGCCCATACAACAGGCGAGGACCTTGAACCGGAACCAAAGAAGGGCCGTGGAAGAGGCAAAAAAAACACGCGGGACGATGACGAGGAGGAAGCCGAGCTAGCGACCGTAAAAAAGGGTCGTGGACGAGGCACCAAGTCATCGACCTCAACCGATATTACAAAACCGGCTGTTAAAGGGAAGAGAGGAAGGAAACCGGAGGGCGTCTCTCAGGACCCCCTCAATGAGAGCGAACGCAAGGCATTGACTAGGGTGTTTGAGGAATCCTTCAAGGCTGTGGAAGAATGCATGGCAGACGATGAAGAAGAGCCCCGACGCCGGTGCGAACTTTTCTTGCAATTACCAAAGAAAAAGGAGTACCCGGAGTATTATCAGGTCATTGCGCACCCTATCGCCATGGACATTATCAAGAAGCGAATGCGATCTGCCCACTACAAGTCCCCGACGCAGTTCCGAGACGACTTCCACTTGATGTTCCAGAATGCACGCATATTCAACCAAGAGGGCAGCTGGGTCTACGTTGACTCTGAGCGCTTGGAGGTGACGATCTTATTTCAGTGCTCTTACGGTATTATTTTTTTACCTTAATTCTTAGTTTACTAACTGTCTTTCACGATTTCCTTGATTTTTCGCCCTTGTGCTGCATTACAGGAAGCATTCGATGAAAAGTTTGACGAGTTGTGCCCAGGTGGCCAACTTCCAGCCAACGAGTCAAGTAAGGATGGCAACACGTTGAAGCGCGCCGCACCCCTTTCAGATGAGGACGAGACTACGTCATCACAGGATCAACGCCAGGGTTCTGTCAAGGCACAACTGAAGTCGAATGGCCATAACCGTCAGCACAGCCGAAGCAGCAGTGCCGGATCCCGATCAGCGTCACAACTAAAGAACGTACATAAGAGGCAAAAGAAGGACGAGCAGGACGAAGATGAGGAGGAGGAAGATGACGAAGAAGACGAGGAAGATGACGATGACGATGACATGGCCGTGGACTCTTTGGGAACGGACGACAGCGACGACAGCGACGCAGGGCCAACAAGCCGGAACCCAGGTGGCCCGAGCCACATAATCAGCAACAGCAAGAATAGTGGGTCAAGTTCGAAGAAGAGACTTGGAGACAGTGACGAGGATGATGATGATGAGGAGGATGAGGACGACGACTGAGTCTTAGGTACATATATTGAAACAGTGACCAAGAGATGGGGGACAGCATTATCGTACAATAAATTCTCGAAACTGACACGTAGCCGCAAACATCTTGTTGACTATCCAATTGTGGTGCAAGACACGTCTCGAGGACTTGGTCCTTTATTGTGTCGGCCAATGTAGACATATACACTACATGAAAGTCACCATTGTACCTCCAAATAGCCCCCACCAAATGAGCATATGAGCATAAAGAGATCCATCAACAAAAGGCGAATGGGGGGGGGGAGATGAACCGGCTTGATTGGTGTCCCGGCTCGTCGCTAAAAGGTATCTTGATGCGTTAGTCTGCTCCAGAAGCATTTTTCACGGTATCTCTGCGCAGATACCGAAGAGTATCTCTGTTACCGCTGACAGTGAAATCTTTTTCATTTCTCTCTGCTGGGGAAACTATGATAAAAATAAGGTTTAGTGAAATCCAATCTGAACGAGGACGCACTTGCCTTCGTTTGCCGAGCCATGAAACCTTATACACCAAAACAAAGACGGGCCCGAGATAGACTTTGCGGTTGAGGGCGGAGGCGGGGGATAGAACCGAAAATGATTTATTACGGCTGGTTCCTGCAATAGTCCTCCCTCTTCTCCGCTACATGTCTATTCGGATTTTCCCACGGAGTGTTCACTTGGAAGTACCCGATGAAGTATCTGCGGAAAGAAACAGAGATTGGCGGATAACTAAATGGAGGAGTTTTGGGTGTCTATTCGCGCAATGCACAAGAAGCATTCCTGTGCAAGGTTTCGATTTTTCCCTCCATATCTGGCCGAGAACTAACTTGCGATGCTCTCAAAACGAAGCAGGGTTGACGTGCGGTTGTGAGAGCACGCACAGTTACACACTTGAACACACACAAACCTATGCTCTCGGACCTCAAGAAGGCCTTTTTTTTTTATTTACCAGATGGACTATGGCATGTTCGGCAGGCTTGGGTACAGAACAAAGAAGAAAAAAACGCGCAGATTGGCGCAGGTAGCGAAAGCTCTTTTTTTTTTTTTTTTTTTTGAAAGAGTAGGGCTCAATCCCGAAGCCAGGTTCGCAGAGCGAGGTCATCGCGATGGAGACTAGAGACGATAATAATAACAAACAAGGAGATACCTAGGCTAGCGCCACTTGACGGAATGACGAAGAGCGCGCGAAGCAAGCCGAAAAAAGAAACAGAGACAGAGAGAGAGAGAAGGAGAACGAGAGCTTCCGATCTGATTTCTAAAGAAAGAAAAGGCTCACAAAGGAGGAAGAGGTAGCGAGGTAGCGTAAACTATTTTACAATGTAGTCTAGAAGAAGATTTGGGTGTATGGAAGCGCGCGCGCATTACCTGGAGTTGTTTTTCACACTTGTTTTTGTTGCGCTCTTATTCGTGCTCTTTCTTCGCTGCTCGGTTTTTGAATTCATTTGACACATAGTAACAACAACAAAAAGAGCTGTTTTATATACAACTTCGTGTTTTCATATAGATGCACAGAAAAAGCGCGTTTGTTCGCAAACAAGGAAAAAAAAAATAGCACTGGTCTAGAAAGTCTAGTACTCGTTCTTGACTAGGAACAACATGAGCAAAATTAGTGCTCAAAGGGATCTGTTGCACCGTATTTTTAGTTATGAGAGCGAATGAAGACGAGCATTGGATGACAAAGGCGCGAGCTGCATGGACCGTGATCTAAAGTAGCGCAGCGCATGATAATTGCTGGTTAGCAAGCAATAATAATAAAAAAAGGAGGGGGATCAAGGCTCGGTTGAGCAAGGGTTGCAGCCGACAATGACACAGCAAAGCATGAAGACGTATGTGGTGACACATGCTTAGACGCACTTCCCGGGTCTACATGGGGTACCGCTACGTACATGTTGAGGTATACATGTTCATGTAAGCAGTACGACATCTTTGGTGCAGGGAACCAGCCTGATGCAGTGTGTCGTAATAGGCGGCAGCCCGCAGGAAGTGTAGTAGGACGCGAAATGGTGAACACGACAGGACAGGGGGACGAATGGCGAACATGCTGCAGCCGCAGTCTATACCTTAGATGGATATATGTAGAAAAAAAATCTCCTTATTATTGCAGGGAACACAAAGACGTATTGACAATGGCCAGGGATGGGCAGGGTCCATGTCAGATTGTCAGAAGGCGCATGAAGTAGCAGGGATACAAAGCGCAGAGCGGGAATACGAGACACATCAGGCAAAAACAATGGCGATAGTACTGTAGACTATGCATACGAGGCACTAAACCCGACTCGGAGGACGAGCGGATGAAAAACAAAAAAAAAGATCTCCCCCTGCCGCAACAAAACGGCGATTTCTTTGACAGGTTTGTCGTCCGCAAAAACCGAGCAACCGATACCTCTGATTCCTTCTGCAGCTGGCTTGCGTCTCCCATAGAGTCACACACACACACAAGGGTAAGGGGACGGAAACGACTTGCATCTGCATGGACTGTCCTTCCGCAGACGCGCTGCATACAGCATGCTCATGCAGCACCTTGTTCTTTTTAAACCGTTTTTTTTTTTTTTTTTTTTTTTCCCTCGACCACTTCTGCAAATAAACAGCGGCCCCGAGCGAAGCTCAGTCCTGGAGCAAAGTGCTCTTCCGTGCATTTATCTGTGTTTCCATATGAGGGGACTACGTCTCTTTCAAAGGACGCGTTCATTCGTGTGGTTTACAACAATTTTTCTTTATTGAGTGCCCTCTATATCCATCTTAGCGCCCAAATCGACGCCTGATCATTCTCAAAATCCTGATACTTTACAGCAACACCATCACCTCCTATGGAGCCTTAGAACGAGGGTTTATTCTTTTTATCCAATTCAGTGTAACGCTTAAAGCCGCTAAAATAAGGAGTTGGAGCGTTAGACTACTGTACGATATGCTCTGTGCGAGGAAGGTAAGAGTGCAGATTCCCCCGCCCCATGTCCATTCTACGGATACTAAACTGACGACAGGGCCACACATCCCCAGAGCGAAATAAAATTAGTACCAGCTACTGTACATGCCTGTACGGTCGTCGGGGTCCTCCTGCAAGGACCGGTCATGTGCCCCCTCTCCTCCTCCTCCTCCCCCCCCCCCCCCCCCCCTTTCGCTTCATACATTGCAGGAAACGGTGCCCGGGTGCAGTTGGATCATTGGTCGAATAAACAAATAAAAACACAACGAGATCTGTAAAAAAAAAAAAGTTAAGACGGTACTTTTTTGACAGAGATGAATGGAACAGAACAACGCATGCTGCAGGGAGGAAAACAGTGTTTTCTTTGTTACACCGACGAGTGCAGGCCTACGAAACCTTACTTTTACACTACGACCGCCCTTGATGGGTCATGCTGTACGACAATGAGGCTGGACGGCCGAGCAATTGGGTTGAACTAAGGATTAGAGAAGAGGGTTTAATCCTTCCTCCGCTCAATCCCATCTCTTTTTATTGATGACATTCAGAAAAGCGATAGGAGCCGTGCCTGAAATAGCACACCAAAAAGTTCGTTCGTATCTGAAGGATTGTCGTCTTTTATTTTATTTTGTGGATAACAGGGAACGTCTGCTCTGAAGCAGGAAAAAGGTAAAAAAAATCTATAGAACTCTACCTGGACCAACGTTTGTTCCAGCTCATGCGTGCTCTGAACCTCGTCTGTTCTCTAGAACTAGCCCTCGGCCATTGCCGTTCTGCAGGCATCCATTTATGTATGCGAGAGAACGCATCCTTTTTACTATCGCCGTTCGGATGAAACATTAATCTCAAGCAATAAAGAGCGTCTGGTCTATAGTAATGAAAATGAGATGGACTGAAAACCTGCCAGATATGAGATGGAGGGATCCTTAGAAAACAAATGATATGACAGCATTTATTTTCGTACGCGATGGAGGCATTGTGCACGTTTTTTAATGTGAACCGAAGCAAATATAGACAAATGGAGAGATTCACTCGTCCAGAATGGAGAAAACCTCCATAGGGGTAGCACTTTCAGAAAGTGATTTGGCGGCTTATTGAATAATACTTAACGCAACGCGGTTATGTAATACAATAAAGAGAATCCAGGGGCACCTGCCACACAGGAAAGTATAGGGAACAACTTTATGATTATCGACTTCAGAATACACGGATGGCTGTTGAGATAAGCCTTATAATCATCAGTATTATTACCATCGTCATCGCCATCGTCATCGTAGCTATTGTAGTTTGCATGGCCTGACACCCGATTTGGCGCCCCAATAGCAGAGAGAACGAGCATATATGGTGCGATGAAAAGCAACAGAGTCTAGCACAAGTGGTCTCATTCCTATGAGAAGGCAGGACGCCGGTCAGCTATTTCATCCGCTCATTGGGTTCCTTTTGTTATGCTGAAGACAAGTAAGTGGCTTGTACAAACTTTCTTGACGCTGGAAAGAAAGATCGGGCACGGTCAAGGAGGTGGACAACCACAGGTTAGAGAGAAGAAATTCCTCAACCCCTCGCTTCTTTTCCTTCCATTTGAATGTTCTTTCTAAGTCGTGTCTGTCTGTCTGTCTGTCTGTCTAGGGTTGTAATCCAGCCATCTGCTTGACGTGTTTGTGTCCTCCTTTGTAAGTAGTACAAACTCAAATACATCCTACACACAACAACATCTTTAAGGCACAACAACAGACACAGACATCGTCCCTTTGCCGCCAAGACAGACCTCCGTACTTCAACCTCTACCATAGAAGGTCGTTCGCTTGGTTGTAAACTACAGTGCTTATTGAGATGTGTATTCGTATCTTTATGTGCCTTGTTGTTTGTGGCAAGTCCCTGTGCTATAGAAGACATAAATCCATGTATCACCATGCAGATACACCGGCTGGGATACATCCCGCCAGGTACCTGAGGACTCCACTTGCGAAGACCTAGTCTATAGATGAAGTTACTTACTATATCTGGTATGTATAACTAACTCCGTTGAGGGCGTGCGAGATGGACTGGCCCCATTCTGCTCTCTGGCCTGCCCTTTGCGCTCACTGTTTTCGCACACACACACATTTCTATACACACACACACAGCTGGCCTGGCCTGCCTAGATGCAGCCAACAACGTATCTTGTTTACTATTCTGCACCGGATCTTATTCAATCGTCCATCGGAGTAAAATATACAATGTTCTATATATTTAGGCATATATTCAATACTATTCTATAGACTATTCAACATACACAAATAAACTGTGCAAGTGCTCCTTACTAACTGTGTATCCTTCCGTCATCCTGTAGAGGACGTCGACTGTTATTGCACACAGCAGTGAACAACCTCGGTCATCTCTTCTGAATGTACATTTTTGAACGATATTAAAAATGAAACATGGACATGAAAAATGACCAAAAAAAGGCCGCGAAGACATGTACATACATCCAGATGAAGATCTAGAGTGTACTGTTAAACCGAATTTACTTTTAATAGAAAAAAAAAAAAAAAAAAAAAAAAAAAAAAAAAAAAAAAAAAGACAAGAGGAGAAAAAAAAAAAAAAGCACTTTACCAGACTAAATGTTCCTTCTTCGTATGGCCTAGTCTTGCCGAACAGATGCACGAGGCAGTTAACGGCATGACGATTAAAAAAAAAAAAGACGTCCATGATCTGCCCTGTTGACCTCAAAGGATATTCGTTATGGTCAGCGCAAAAAAAAAATACCCGCTAATCTGAGTGTCGTGCAGAGGCAGATCAGGACCATGGACATCGACCGATCGCAAATGAGTTACAATGCACTAAATCCATGTCTTTGACTTACACATAGTCTATTCCTCTGTTGTGGTTTGTGTCGTGTGTTGAGTTGCGTTGACTAGAGCTGTGGGGCGCAATCTTAAAAAGAGGGTTCTTCCTGTAATTTATACATTATTTTATCTTTACTTTCCATTCCATCGCGAGCCTTGACCAATGTCGATCATAGGAGGAAAGTTGGGGGAGGAAGAGGGTGGGAGATATGAACTCAAAGATGTGTTTGCACTGACTATGACCAACATAAGGGTCCATTCTTTTTCCTTCGGCCTCGATCGATGGTGGAGAAGGACAGGGGGGAGGGGCCAGTACGGTCATCGGCAGTCTGAACGCGGCATTGAGCTATGGTTCCAAGGAATGATCTACGGAAGGGATTGGGAAGCAAAAAAGAAAAAGAAGGAGCCACCTTTAAAAGAAGAAGCATTCGTCTCTCTTTATTTGCATATCCACTTATTGATGCATATGGATAATCTGTTTTCGTTCTTTTCATTCATTGTCGAAGCAAGGCGGCTTTCTATCTCTTTTTCTTTCTCTTCTTTCCTCCGTTCGTTCCTTCGCTCTCTTCTTTTCCTTTTTTTCCTTATTCTTTTCCTTCCCTTTCTTTGCTTCTTTCTTTCCTTCCTTCTTTCCCTCCTTCCTTTCCTGCCTCCCTCCTCCCATACCTCTATTTCTTGATACACTTCTTGTTCCTCGGGCCTACCTACTTCCTTTTGACTCCATTGCTCTACTCTCCTCAAACCCTCCCCACTCGCCACCCCCAACCCTATCTTACTTCTGTCTCCCCGCATCCCTTGTCCCCCCGCATCCCTTGTCCCCCATTCGTGTCCTGGTCCCACGTCCTCCCTTAATTCATCTCTCTGTTCCCACATCGTCGTCCATATTCGTCACCCACCAATTCTGAGCGTCCCTCTGAAAAAGGCAAGCAAACACACCCTCCAATGCTCCACAAACAGCTTGCATTGCATCCTTGGTGTGTGTCTGTGTGCGTGTGTGTGTGCGTGTGTGCGTATGTGTGAGAGTGTGCGGGTGTTTTTGATTTCCCTCCTTCTCGGCCTGAATCTATCTTCGTTTTGTATTACAAGATTTAATAATGTTAAAATGGCAGCCTGTCGTCGCTCAAAGCCATTTTGGTTCCGAGGGCCCATTGGACTATCTGCGGACCCATCTGAGCCATCTGGCTGGCTGTATCGCCCTTTAGCCCTGTCCTGCTGCAATACCTAATCACTGCCACGACCACCACAGCTTTAGTTCATCATCATCATCATCATCATCGTAATCATCATCGTTATTGCTGTTATTATCGTTGTCATGTTATGCTCCCTATCAAGCTGCATGACCCTTTTTGGCCCTTTTGACCGTAGTAGGAGGGAAGGGAAGGGAAAGAGAGCGAAGGGGCCCTTCCCCTAGAGTTGCCTGGATCATTAAGGCCTCATTCCATGGCACGACTCGTTCATTCCTAGCGAATCAAAGATCACATTCAGATATTGCTACTATCTGTTTCCACTATCTCTGGGGACACAACAGCGCATACTTCTGGGTCCACAAACAAATTTTGGACCCTAGCCTGAGTAACCGACCCCACAGAGTGTATCGTAACCTTCTTTCAGAGAACCCTTGTGGTCAGTCGTTGGGAGACCATGGGATGATGTCGACCCGCATTATTCGCGCCTCATTCACACACCCCACGCCACCACCACCACCAGACTATTGATACTTTCTTTCGCCAAACCAGGGTGTGGCACATATGCCCTAACTCTGCTTCTTTTTGTCACCAATGCTGGTAGCAGCATATATACACTACAGCGGCAGTTTAGCCTACAGTTGACCTACTCGCGCACGAAAGCAGACGGTGAAAGTGGGTAGGACAATCATCCTTTCACTGCAGCTAAAGTGCGACAAACATAAATACACAGGCACATACGTATCACCAGAGCGGAGGTCCGACCGAGAGGTGTGTTTCATTTTCATCAACAACACGCTGTCCAGGGCATGACCAGGCCGATGCACACACATGCCCTGTTCCTGAATCTGTATCTCTTTTTCCAGCTCCTTCGCTGTGTTCTTTTGGTGTACACTCCACTCCCCTGCGGCCATCCTCCTAGGTCTTGTCTATCTATGCACTTACATATCTATCTGTCCACCTCTACCCACTCATCTGCTTCCCGCCCCTGTTTTTGATCTTCTTTCTCCCTGGGAATCATATCCGCTCAGACACGTCTTTGATCTGGCAGTTCACACCTCTCTGAAAAACGGCCCATGGCTGCGTTGCTGTCAGGGCCTCATACTGCCCCATTACTATACTCATACCTCCATGGCCCGACCTAACAACAGATTCCTTTCTCTCTCTCTTTTAGTCCTCTACAAGAAGCCGCTTGCAGAGAGTCGTCATTTCGGCTTTCTTATTCTTAAATCCAGCTACTGCTGCACAGGATTCGGACGTGCCTGGAGTAAACCGAAAAGCACATCTCTCCCCTTTTTATCTGTAAGTCTTTTGTGCTGGATGGAAACAACAGAAACATATTGTGAGGCATGCTTGCCCTCCTTTCTTTTCCTCCAGGCTTCTTTTTCTTCATTCTTCTGCTTTATATCTATGTATACTTTTATTTGCATTGCGTGTCGAATTCTGTTTATACCACCTTTCTTTCTTTGGCCACGACCTCGTTTGCCTCCGTTTTTGTTCCTCAAGGAAGCATTTTGATGAGTATGTACTTTGGAATGGGGTTCATGTCCTTTCTGCTGACGTTCGTCCCCTTTGGACGTTTTGCCTCCAAATTTCCGCTCTCCCCCCTTCTCTCCTCCCCTTTTTTGACCTTGGTCGCTGTTGTACTCTGATAGAGTACAAATGCACAATTGATTCTATGATTCCTTACAAGTGGCTACAATGGTTACAATGGCGAATGAATAGAGTTTTTTTGTGTCCTATTCAATCTCCTTCATTATATTATGCGAGCAGCCCATAATGAATTTTGGCGGGATCATCGCAACCGACATTGAGAATAAGCGTACAGCGCATTGCTCTCGCTCTGTGCATCCTCGCCTTCTCGCAGTATACCACACCATCCTTCTCTTTCTTTATTCCAACACTTTTGAGAGACCTTTCTTCCCTATTTTCTATTCCATTGTATCGTATTGTATCGTATTGTGTTGTACTGCTTTGTATTGCTTTGTATTGTATTGTATTGTATTGTATTGTGTTCTATTGTCTGTATCCTGCGCACACCACCGAACCTTGTTGGCGGTTGTTCGTGCAGCTGGTACACTAATTGGCCGTAGGTGTGCCCGTTCATCTGTCTTGCCCTGGATCGGTCTGTCATCTGGTGTCTCGTTCTGTTGCGTTGGGTTCGGGCTCCTGGGCCTCCTTTGTTTTTTTTTTTGGGTTTTTTTTTTGGTTTTTTTGGCGGATCCTCACCATCTCCGCAACGCCCTTTGTCAGCCATGCCATCTCAACCCTATCAATCCCCTTCTCCACCCAGAAAGCCCGCCCTTTTCGCTCCTCCCCATTCACCAGGCCTTTTGATTAATTTACAGATCCCTCCGCCGTCGGTAGTAGCTCCACATCAAGCACGACTCCTCCTGTCCTGTGTCCCTACTTGCACAGCACATATATACAACAGGTATGAATGGGTCCGGCGCCAGCTATTTTCAGCTAGCATGCTGTCATCTCTCCCTTTGCCGACAATGCCTTTTATCCCTCCTCTCCTTTCCTTTTCCTTCCTTTCAGCACCATTGCCGCCTTATAAGTATCCTTCTAAATTCTATACGAATAATTCCCTTCGCGATCCTCTCCTTTTATTTCTTCTGCATGCGCCTGCACGACAAAGAGGGGGAAACGCCAAGCAGACAGCTGTAAGCGTACGATTCTTTCTCTGTCATAGCATTCCATTCGCTATCTCTCTCTCTCTCTCTCTCCCCTTCCCCATACATACAAACTCGGCCCGAGTTAGGCCTTGCAAGCTATCTTCTCATTGCACCTCCCTTGAGTTTATCTGTTTTCATAGAGTCGTTTTCGCGTCTCTATTGCCATTGCCCATCTTCTCTACCTATGGCTTTTTTATTTTATTTTTTGGGGTATGCGAGCCGCTCATTTGAATGTGATTGTTCTTGAAGCCATTGACAAAGAGCAGCAGTAGTTGTGCCCCTCGTTCTTGTTCATCTCTTATCTATGCACGCTCTGGAGATAAAGGCTAACACGAACGTTCCAACGTCCGAGAACGTACCCGAGATATTATCACACGTTCCTGTTCGCGCCAAATTTCGAGCGCTTGAAGGGGACAAAGAAACACTTGCTCACTTTGCATTCCCGCCCTTTGCGACTCTCTCCTTCCTCTCTCCTCTATTGTCTATTTACTCAATCATTCCTTGCGCGGTTTCTGTTTGTTTATGCGGTGTGTATGGGTCGCCCGTCATGCACGTCTGAGAAGGAACCAACAGCAGAAGGCACCGCCTAAAAAAATAAGAGTACATCCACGGCGGATTTCACGCTGGGTCCAGGATTTGGACCCTCAAATAGTACACATCAACACTCTGCAATTAGCTGTGGGCATGGGTCTCTAATGCAGGATCGTGTTCGTGATATTGGCATCATCCTAGTCAGCTCTCTCTCTCTCTCTCTATTTCTTGACGATACTGTTTAAAGACGCTGGTGCCTTTTTGTTTATATGCCCGTTCTTCCCAGTTCGTACGGTACCGCATGCTCCTTACCCAACTTCAGTAATCATGCATCCTTGCAGGCCCTTCCCCTTTCCTTTTGACGTTGCACAATCAAGCTGCGTATGAGCCTATAGCGCGTACAGCTGCATCTCTCCGATGGGTCCCGCTCTCTCTTGTCAGTTTTACATCCCTTACATCCTGACAAACATCCCACAACGACAGAAACGATTCTGCCTGCTACCACACTTTGACCGATTCTCTCTCTATGCTGACGCTTTTTTTTTATGCCGCCCTTTGTATTGCCCAGCCTACTCTTCCTTTTTTTTTTTTTTTTTTTTTTTTTTGCAAAGTGTCTTTAAATGTGTGCCTGCACATCATGCGAATGATTATCGTGTCTAAACGCCAAGGTCGGGCATAGAATCGACAGCCTGCAAAAGAGAAAGGCAGAACCTTACTTGAATCTGCCATTGCACTAACACATTACTTGTTATCTTCCCGTCATGTTGAATATTTAGTTCCGCAGTGTATTCTTTGGCACAGATACGATACTGATTGACTGCATCGGCGTCAATACAGGTAGGCACTTATTACGTGCATGCTGCAGGGGAAAATGTGCGATGTCGCAGTTGATGCTGGTTTCTCTTTACTTACTTCTTCCTCTGTATGTTTTTTATGTACTCGCGTTCCGATACGGTTAAGCGTGTACACGCGCCTCATCTTGACTTGATATGGATAACACCTCCAGCAATAGAGGCAGCACCACCTTCCCTCAATCCGTATCTGACGAGAGCGCACCAGACACTTCCTTCCCATCTACTTCAGTGGCTGCAGCTGCGCCAGAATCATCCACACTGGCTGTAAAGTTATCCGAAGATCCCGAAGGCCAAGTCCGTTCAGGGGACAATGGCAGTAGTGATGATGGTCACGCCTCATACCGCGAAGATTTACGTCCAGCTTTGAAAGAAGGGGAACGTGAGTCTCGCGGACAGTCGCCAGCTATTCGGCGGAGCCGATCTGGTCGGCTATTGCGATCAACTGTCCAATACGATGAGCGGAGTAGTCGCAGTAGCAGTCCAGATAACTCTGCCGAGCTACAAGGCTCTTATGGGCGTCGAGCGCGATCATCACTCCACAATCCGAGTGGCCAATCGGAGGGTCAGGGTCACCCTGGTCGATCTGAGCAGGATTTGACAGCTCCTCGCCGTGACCCACCCGCATCGACAGCCGAAGGAAAGCAGCGGCGTCCTTCGGAGGCCAGCGACAATGACAATGACAATGACAATGCCAACAAAGACAGCGATAACCACAGGGTGTCTCAACAAGGCGACAGTAGCCACCAAGACGAGCAGTACGAGGATGAGAATCAAGACGAACTAGCAAGTGAGGATGACCAGGAAGATGATGGGTATGGGGAAGAGGGCGACGACGTTAACAACGAAGGGTCAGGGTCCATTGAGACCAGCTCGTCTAGGAATGATGACGGGAGCGAACCGCTTGTGGTTTCCATGTACGGCTCCCCCAGCTTAGTCAAGGTTCGTAGCATGTTTATTGACAAGCTGTTCAAGTAAGTGGCGCTTTGCATTTTTTATTTCATATGTGCGTGTGTATGCTGAGATGCACATACTGCATTTAGAGATTACTAACCAGAATCTACCTTTACCTAGGATGGTGGAAGATCCATCTATCCAGCACCTCATCTCATGGGCCAAAGAAGGCGATATGTTCTACGTGTACAACTGTATTGAATTATCCAGCTCGGTCCTGCCAAAGTTTTTCAAACATAATAACTGGCAGAGTTTTGTCCGCCAACTCAACAGTAAGTCATGATACGGTCGTTTGCGTATGATTATGTCCTCATTCGTATCTCCCGTTGCTGACTCTCTCGCTGTGCATGTCTTTGCACCTGCAAAAATATCCAGTGTACGGATTCCATAAGAGTAAGTCCGTGAATCTTTCGTTCTCAGCGTCAAATCGTCTCATGCTCTTGGTATGTCCATGTATTAACCTCTCCTCCGTTGTTCTTTGGTTCTGACAGTTTACCGCTATGACAGAGGTAACAACAAATGATGGAGTGAGAAGTTTACAGCGTACTCGATGTTCACTACAGAGTGCACATGTACTCATACAGAGGTTGAAATAACATTTTTGTCAATCTAGAGGAATCCACCATGAACCGAAGAAATCCAGAGACACAACGGTGGCAGTTTTACCATCCTGACTTTCAAAGGGATCGACCCCATCTTCGGAACAACATCAAGAGAAAGTCTGCGCGTTCAGCAAACATTGCACCGACATTCTCGCGAGTTGTGTTTGAGCGCGATAAGGGATTCTATGTGCAGCAGGAGGCCCCCGCCCGTCCGTTCAACGTTCAGGGCGGTCATAGTCGATCACACAGCTCTAGCCATTCGCTGGATCAACATCGCCATGGACATTTGCACGGAGCACCGCCCCCAGGGCCCCCCCATTATGCCCCCCATCCGTCTCCTATGCACCGGTCACCTCATGAGACGTCGCAGCGACTTCCGGCGTCGAGATCCGCACCGGATTATAGACCGCCGCCAGGCCATTATCCAAACGAAAACGTACATTCCCGCGATGAAAAAGATATGGTGGTACGTGAATAATCCAGAGATATTGTCTTCAAGTCCTATCGAGCCCAACTCGTTCATATCAACTGTATTGTTAACCCAACAGTGCTTTGCTCATACTATCCTACAGACGTCCAAACACCACGTGCCGCCACCCCATCAGCAGCAGCCAATACGGGAGCATGATCCGCATCACCATCAGAATTATCCAGGGCCACATTACAATCAGCAACAGCAACAACAGCAGCAGCAGCCTCCATACGGAAGCCCTCACCAACGTCAGCGCTCCTATGTCGGCCAGCCTTCTCAAGCTCATTATTCCCCTGAACATGGGTATAGTCTCAAAGCACAAGGCTTCAGTCCGATTCATCCCCCACCACAAGACCCGCATCACTCTAGCATGCCTCTCTCCCATCCTACGGGCCCAGGACGGCCTGGGCATGGCTCAAACAGAGATCCAGGAAATCCAGAACATGGGCATGACAAACACGGTGCACTTATGAGCGGCGGCCATTTCCGTAGCCAGAGTGCCCCTGGAATGGACCCACGCAGAGAAATTCCACGAGGTCCACATCCCTTTAGCCAGCAGGAACCCCGTTCACCTCTTCATCTTTCGCCACACCCTTACTACCAACGTGAGCCCTATCCCCCTCACGGACATCCATCCCATAGACAACAAGGGTCCTTTGATGAGAGCGCAGCAAAAGTTCCTCCTGGTCCAGAGGCAGGGCCAGTAGTTGGTGAGGGGTCTTCACCATCCCATCGAGGCTCCCTGCCAAAGCATCCACTGTCACCGATGGGACATTCTCAGTCGCATCTTGGTGGAGTTGGCCATCCACCTCCATCACAAGTTCAGCATCCATATACAGACCAGCACCGGAGGAGCTATGTTGGAGGTCCAGGAGAACAGGATGATCCCAAACGCCGATTCTCGCCACCGACGCCTGGAGCATCATTTCGTCCAGCTCAGCAGAGGCACGCGATGGTGCCTCCATCACCCTCTCATCAACAGCACCCGCCTCTGGAATCTGGTCTACCTGGCGAAATTCTTCCCACGACACCTGGTATGGATCCGAATGCCAACCCAGGTCCTCATGATCTTATCCCACGGACGACTAAGCAATTGGAAAGTCGGCTTCAATTTGTGGAGGATGCTTATATGTCTCTGAGGCAGGCAGTGCTGGATCTTGAAGGCATTCAAGCTACGCAGGAACAAACTATTGCATGGATGCGCGACCGAATCGATCAACTGACCGAGGCGAGCACACCCAGAGGTATGCGGTTGACCAAGGAAAAGACAGGCTTTAGGGGTTAGATACTCAGACTTTAAGGCGCTTGAGACTAACAGACTGGGATTTACTATAACTCTCTTCCTATCTCATTTGATAACGTAGATGTGATCACATCGCCATCACTCGGTCAAGCAGGTGTTGTCCCATCCAAAAGAAAGGCAGATTATAGTCCAGGCGATCCTCGAGATTGGCCACGACGGGGAGCACCAGAACATCAGCAACAGCATGTCTACTCAAGGCAAGGACTTCCACCTTCTGGGGGCCCCCCTCCTCCACTTGGCCAGAGAACAAGCCCGGGTGCACAAGGTCATGGAAGTCGTTATGAGTCTGCGGGCTATCATCCCTCCTTCAACCCAATTCACCACCCATCCCAACATCCACCGCCACCTACACCGCCATCTCAGCACCAGCAAGTGCCACCTCAGCACCAGCAACAACAACTGCAGCAACAGCAGCAGCAGCACCCTTCCCCTCCGATGAACGCCAACAGCTCCCATTATCAGAAAGCTTCCATCACCAACATGATCCACGACTGAAAAAAAAGTTTCCTTTTCGCCATCCATCTATCCTTGGACTCGATGCGTCAAGCTCCATACACACACACACATACACACACTAGAATAGGTCTACACTAATATCTCGTAGTCAGAAACAAATACACCACCCCACTCAAAGATATATATATATATATATATATATATTTTTTTTGTTCAGCGATCGTTGCGCTTACCCGCTAGTTCTAGCGTAAAAAAAAAAAACTTTTTTTTATTGACGCCAGATCCCCCCTCCAGACGTGCAGGCGTGCCACAGGCTGCATAGTCCAAGCCCTCGGCTTGGACTGGCGACTGGCGACTGGCGTAAAAAAAAAAAACTATCATACACTATCTGGAACAAGGTTCTGTGACGTGTTCCTTATGGACGTCCTGAAAATAGGGTTTAATGAGTGAGAAACCGGCGGCCATAGAGGGATTTGAGCTCGAACCACATACAACAAAGAAACATAAAAAAAATAAAATGAAGCACAGCAACAACGCTATGTGGAAAGAGAGCATAAAAAAAAAAAAAAAAAAAAAAAAGTCTTTGTTGTTGTTGCTGTTGTTGTCTGTCCTTTACCCGCTTCGCAAATAATAATAAAAAAGAAACAGAATTGCAAAGAAGAGAGTTTATTATGATTATAAAAGTACTACATACTATATAAGTAACAGGTACATCAGAAACGAGAAGATAAAGAGGCGCGCCGTGCAAAAAAAAAAAGTACCGCAGCGGTCGTGCGTGTCCTTTTGTCCCTCGTCCCTTTTCCTGCACATGGACATGGCTAGGAATGTGAGAAAATGGGTGGGGGCTCTTATTGAGATGCATTGGCGGGCTTACGGGCGACGAAGAAGTACATGGGCGTAAAGATTCCAAGGATGGCGCCCTCCAGAACGGAATCCGCGGCCGTCTGCAAGATACTCGAGACCTTGGCACTACCAGGGGCGGCCAAGCCCAAGCTCTCCAGGGCCCTGACCATGTATGTCGTGGCAGCACGTCCAGCAGTTGTCGTACGGAGGACCGTCAAGTAATCCCAGAAGGCATTCGCCTGACGGATATCGCCCTGCAAAGGGTAGTACCACTTGATCTTATCATCCGTCGCACCCATGTCCGTGTTCTTCTCGATCGTGAAGCCGACGGTCTCGAGAGCCTTGACACAATCCTTGACGGTCATCATCTTGGCGATACCGTTGCCGACCTCGAGTCCACGGACGATGCGCAGGTGCTCAGGGTTGGTGGGGTCGTACTTGTCGGTCATGACCCACTCGTAACATCCAAAGACGCCACCGGGCTTCAAGATCCTGTAGGCTTCGCCGTAGACGCCCTCGAGGGTGGATGCGTGGACAGTGGCCTCGATGGCGTAGCATGCGTCGTAGGAGTTATCGTCGATGGGCATGTTCATGAAGTCTCCCTTGATAAAGTCGGACTTGTGGTCGAGACCATAGGTGACAGCGTAGCGCCTCGCACGGTTGATCTGGTAGTCATTGTTGTTGAGACCGGTGATGTGGGCGCCCGTGAAGTGTCCGATCTCGCGAGCGGGACCACCGACACCGCAGCCAATGTCGAGGACCTTCCAGGTGGGCTGGATGCCCATGTTAGCGGCCAGGTAGTGCTCGTGACGGGCCATGGCCTGCTGGAAGGGCTCACGGTAACGGAATCTGCAGAAGTGGAAGGAGGTGCCCCATGCGTACTAAGAAGGATATCAAGGGTTGGGAATCAAAGTTCAGTCGATCAATACGGATTACACAAAAACAAGAGCCCCTTTGTTGTTTTGCGTTGAGTCGTTCAGGCCGACGCAAAATTGATTGTCGGCGGCGTCGTTTAAGAAAGGGAAAAATAAAATAAAATAAAAAAAATCAGGCCACACTCCACCACACTCCACCACACTCTGTCTGCATGCCGTGTCTTTCCCATTCATTCTTTTGTCCAACACGATGTTCTCCATCCTCAGAGTCGTTGCCGCCGTTACTACTGCAGTGGTTGTTGTGGTTATTGTTGTCAACCATGATGGATGGAGCAATGTCGACTCCTTTGCACGCACCCAGCGTCCTGTTATCCCACGCTCAGCTGCACTGCGCTATGAACTACGGTCTTCTAGAATCTCCATACATGGTTCGTAAAATGCGACGACCCACCCTCAACTGACAAATAACAGAAGCGAGCAAATGCATTGAGGGGATACACAGAACTACTGTGGGGGAGAGGGGGAAACAAAATACTCGTTGTAGTAATATCCCAGGGACTTGGCGGTTGGCGGGGTTGTTGTTGATGCCATCCTCCTCCCTTTTTATAGCACCCATCTGCACCCTCTTGGTCTGATTCTCTCCTTGGTCTTAGTCAAGAGTTACCCCCACGCGATGCGATTACGACATAAGAGTCCTGCAGTTGGGGCGGATGAAGGTAGAAAATCCATCATCTGCAGCAATCCAAATCTTGCACACGGCCATGGCCCGTAATCTGCAAAGGAACCCAGAAATCACTTTTCATTTTTTTCAAATATAGACAGCAGCTTGAGTGCTTCCTTGCCACCAATACGCGTATTTGTCACGTCTCGCGAAGTAAAAAAGAAAACCCTTCCCCCCCCCCCCCCCCTCCGATCTTCTATTCCCATAATTCAAAAATAGCCCTAATCATTCATCCACTCCTTCGTTTCATTTGTTCTTACCTCATAGAAATCCGTGGCAAGATCATAAAACGAATTGGCAACGGCCTTGTAGGCGTTCTGTCGCTCAGCCTTGGCCTCCTCCGTCTCGTCCTCGGGCTTTTCTTCCTTCCAGTTGTCGAGGTAGTTGTCAACGACGGCGGACTGGAACTGGCGATCCTTGTTCTTGAGCTTGAAGATGAGGGAGTCCTGGTGATGTGATTCGTCCCAGCTGTTGCCGTGCAGGGTCTTGGACAGGACCAAGTCTTCGCGGTTACGCTGTGTGATCATTGCGGTCGAGGTTCTTGTGGGCGCCATTTCTGAAGCAGATGTTGGGTGGAGGGTGCTATAGGAGAGGATGCGGGTAGCGGCGTTGTGGATGGAAGGGTGTGAGTATATACAAACGGCGGGCAAAAAGAGGCAGGACGATTTATAATGTATTAGAAAGAGAGAAAAGAAAAGAGAAAAGGACGCGAGGGAGCGCAGCTGGGTAATTTATAGTGAGTCGGGGTTTACGATCCCGCTGGAAACAATTTTTCCTCTGTATCGCGCAGATCCGACGGAGCTTGGCCGATAAAGAAAAAAAAAAAGAGGGGGGCGCCGTTTGTCGCTCCAGTCCTTCCATGTCTCCATCCAATACCGATGACATGGAGCATCCCTGGCATCCGTTCTCCCGTCTTTTTCGCAAGCTGTTGTGGCATTACGCTTCCTGCACTAATTGGCCTTTCTTCAACCGCTACTGCTTTTTTTTTTTTTTTTTTTTTTCCTCGTCCCTCCCATGCGACTCAAGGTTGCCCAGGGTATAATTACTCCCGAAGAGAAACCATATCCGGTGCGAATACACTGACATATCCAATTGAATCCTTTGTAATTCTGCCTGTCAAATTGAGGGGGCCCTACCAGGGTATTTGTTTACGAGAAGATCTTCATCTAAACCATAACCACGCCGATCCATCGATGTCGCTCAAACACCAGACACCCATCAAACAGAGCCCCAATTGCCAGCTACCTTGTGTCTCATCTGGACATGGACCCTTTAACAGGGTAGGGTCCAAGAGCGAGAGGCGCCTCAGTTCCGGAAGGGAGGAGAGAATGCCTTTGTAATCCGGAGCGAGGCATATATTCAAGCGAATAGTGTCATTTGGTGGGTACTCCACCGCTTACATCTCGTTCTGTGCTATCGAAAAAGAAATAAATTACGCAGCAATAGAGAAGGAAAGAGAGAGAGTAGGGTTCGCCCTATTATCCCTATTATCCCTATTATCCCTATTATCCCAACTATCCCTATTATGACAAATGTGCTAACGGGGAGGGTATCCTTGACATGTCCAATTGTAAATTCCTCCATGCACGCGCCTGTTTTTCTCTCTTTCGGTCTTTTTTTTTGTCATCCTTCTGCGCAATTAGGGTCCCGCTGCGCGCCAGGATTCTCTGAGCTGGTCTCACTGCATGTGATCGTCCACTCCCCCGGGAACTATTTGAAACCGCGTCCGAGTCCCTCAACGCCACTTATGCCATAGGATCTCACATTCTGGAGAAGGTGGGGTGGAGAGGGGCCCCCAAGTGGTAACAGCGGGGGGGGGGGGGGGGGGGGGGGTTGTTCGCGTCGTTTCCTAATCGATGGATTTTGATGCTTGACCGAAACGGGCCGAGCGCGTTTCTTTTTGGTTCTGTCTAGGGCCAGAGAAATACGTGAATACGTGTAAACAAAAAAATGGCATGATCAATCCACCTTGCTCCTCCCCCCCCCATTCACCCCCACGATGCAATCTCAAACACAGACGGTTGCAACTGCGGGATTCCTTGCAGTCGTCCATTGTTGCCCAAGCTCGCGCGATGCGCAGAGTTTGTAAAACAACAAACAATGAGCGATGCGAGGCGTGGGGGTGTGAATAAAATACAATGAAATCGATTCCGTGAAAAAGGTACGTGTTCGTTTTCCATCGTGGGGGGAGAAGATATGGGCGTAACGATCTGCCTTCATCTTGAATTGCGGTTTCAGTCCAGGTGGCCAGGTGGCATGTGTTTTTTTTCTTTTTTCTTTTTTTCTGCGTGGAAGCTCTTTTCTTTGTGCCATCATGGACGCTCTCTTTTTTTTTTTTTGTGCTATCAAGAAAATCGCCTCCTCCCCCTGCGGACTGACGCGACGCTAACAAAAAAAGGAAAACATCGGACAACCATCGATTCCCCTGTCAACTTGCTTCCTTGGCAAATGTAGGTTTCGTTCTGTGGATCCACCTTCCCCTCCATTATCGTACTGTCTCATCCACACTCTGCCGCGTGTCGTCTCTTCCCCCACCCCCCCTCCCCTCTCTCTCTCTCTCTCTCTCTCTCTCTCTCTCTCTCTCTCTCTCTCTCTCTCTCCCTTCTGCGATGTACATGTACATTATATTACATTGCATTCAGTGGAGGGTTGACCCAGGTAGTCTATGATGGGATCTGAGTCTACTGAGTTATGTCAATGTTGCGCAGCGTAAACTATTGAACCCTCTTTTATTTCCTTTATTTTTTTGTTACTCAGCCGGCGCGCTCTTTTTTTTTTCTCTCTCTCTTCTACTCTCTGTTGAATGAGCAAAGAAGCACGCCATATATATATGCGACTCATGTGGGTTGCTGACCCTGGATCGTTGCCATAATGATCCTATCCTATCATGCCATCATGCCTCCAGGAGGGCATGCATGCTTGCTTGCTGCCTTGTGTAACTGTGCAACACCTGCGCCGTGTTGCCGTGTTGTATCGGACCTGTGAGAAGAAAAAGAGGAAGAAACAATTTAATCTGGTGCCCGACATGAGGGGTTCCCCCTCCCCTCGCCTGTATGTGACTATTCGGAGGAGAAGGAGGAGTCCCTTCATGAGTTGAGACTCAGAATGGGGGAGGAATACACGAGGACCGGAAACCCTGCTGCGGGGGATTTTTTTTTTTTTTTTTTTCAACAGAGAGGGGTGGGGTGATCCCAGAGTGACGAACCAGCGGAGGGGGAACTGCGCCCAGGGCCGGGAATTTCTTTTAGGGTTCAGGTGTGCGTCATTTTCCTCTCCCGCGCCCCCATTCCTCTCCCACACACCACATCGAAAGGGGAAAACAAACAAACAACACAAAATCTCTTTTTGATAAACCAGCTGTCCCCCCACCCTCCTCCGCCCATTGATTTCCCCCTTTGCAACGCAGATCTCAACTCGCGTGGCAATGGGCTGTAGTCGGCTGCTTTCCCCCTCTACCTGCTAACCTGCTAACGAGCAAGTCCGTGTTCGCGAGCAAGCCCATGTCCAGCTGTAGACGCCGCGTCGGAGCCGTGCACACTCCTCCCCCTCCCTCCCTCTCTCTTTCTCCACTGAGGAATGGTAGAACTGCATCCCCCCTCCCTTCCGCCCGGCTCAACCTCCCCTCGTTCGTTGTCCTACCTTTGTGTCTACAATAGCACTTTCCAGCATGAATGTTTTCCCGCCTGGGGGAAGAGAGGGGGGGGAGAATAGAGTCATTTCTGCCGTTTGGACCTGAACTCAATATACATACATGTCACTGGTATCCGTCTTACATCCGTGCGACAGCATCACTGGCATACACACGCATGCTCATGGACTAACCTGTCAAAGATGGTCCATGGTGTCAACGACGCTAGCAAGTGGGATAAAAGTTCTGCCATGGACTTTTTTTTTTTTTTTCTTCTTTCTTTTTTTATCGGAGATCGTAAAATGGCTGCCATCGTACCATTGCATACACGCTACAGCAGATGAAAAAAAAAAAAAAAAAAAAAAATGGTCGCAAGTACAGTACAGAAGCGCAAAAAGAAACTCTCCTCCCCCCCTCCCACGTTTTAATTAATCTCTAGCAAGGTCTTCATCCTCTCGTACACTGTGAACGAGATCGCCACCATCGGCGTGACCTTGAGGTATCCAATGCTCAGTCCAATAAAGAATCCACGTGCCCCCTTGGCTATGTACAACCGCCTCGCTGTCTCCCACGTCCCCATAAACTGGCCCGGCTCCAACGCTCCTGCGACCTGCATCTTACGCCGCAGCACCTCCAACGGGTACGCTGCCGTCTGCGACAACGCTCCCGCAAGCCCTCCACACGCCAGCTCCGCCCATGTTCGCAGCTCCGGGCGTGAATAGTCCCCGTTCTTGTCCGGCAATCCACGGTTCTGCTTCTGCTTGATGGTCCAGGGCAGATGCTCGCGACAAAAGTCTTGGGCCACATCATGCGTAAAAAACGACACTCCTGCATACGGAACCATGCCTGCGACCGTGCAAAAGAATCCGCGATAAAAGTTTGAGACTCGCAGCGCTGATCTCCAACCCATATGTGCTGGACGATTCCGACCTGCTGGCTCGTTGTAAATCTTGCTGACAAGTGTCATATACGGCGTGGCAGTCGTTTCATAGGCCAGGCGCACTCTGATCAGGTCTAAGGGGTATGTAAAAAATACAGACGTAACACCTACAGCACCAAATACAAAGAAAGACATACAAGTCAGTTAATCAACTCTACAAGAATCCGGTTCATGTGCCTTCATAAAAAGAGATCGTCCACTTTACCGGCCATGGATCCGGCCACAAACTTCTTGTAGGGCGTCTCATCACGACGTGTTGGCATCAGCAACTAAACAGGCAGCAGCAATCACAAAAACGGAGCAAGTCAGCCTCCTTGCGTCATGTCATGTCAGCCCAAAAAGAGTCAATGTTTCCAGGTACCGATAAAAGTACATACACTGCGGTATTGTTCGTATGCCATAAACTTGATTGCTGCATAGGGAAAGATCCTGAGAACCGTCGCAGAGTTACCCTGGAACAATCCTCGAACGCCTCCAATCTTATGAATGTCCCGAGCTGCCTTGAATACACCCGTCCATGTTCCTATAACGATCACAGAAAAACGTAATTAGCGGTGGGATAGACATATGACATATTGGAAGGGTATCATAGACCTCAGAGCATGGGCATGTTTAACAGTACCCAATGCTGATCCCATGTCCTCTGCTGCAATAGCGTCCGCTGCCGCTGCCCTGGATGTTCATTGCGCATGGATCCTGTGCACCATGTTGAATATCCCTCATGCGTAACATACCTGCATATTTCTCAAATTGAGGGTTGCTTGCTTGGAACAGAATCTTGACCCGATCGAGAGGAGCAATAGCAGTTTTTGCCTAAGGAATGTGCAATAAATGGGAGAACGAAAAAAAGAGCGCGTCATCAGTAAAGATCTTACTGTTTTGTTGTCCGACGCTTGAAAGGATGAGGCACATGTCCATGACATAATAGGCGCAGGCATGTACATGCGCAGTGGATTAAAAACTGAAGGGCCCCGTGGCCGAAAAAGGAAAGTCCAGATGTGGGGGCAACCAACGACACTTAATAATGAGCGCAAAGACTAATTCCCGTTTGCACC